GTAAGGCAGGTAATCAACAAGAAACTATTATAAGACCAAATAGTTTTTTCCGACATGGCACGTGACATAGTAATCAACAGTTGTCTTCGAGTTCGGAGTGGGTGATGTCGCCGAGAAGTCGCTACTGCAGGGATAGTACAATTGATTGAAAGGTTCGGCAGAACATGATGGAAGAATGGGAGACTGAACGATTTTTTCGTTGTCCTAGCCAAACAAGCGTGGTGGAAGGAGAAGGCAAGTATAGTAATTGTAATTATTTTTGTGTATTTTTCTTACGACACTTCCATTTCGCATTTCAAGTACTACTCATCGTGAAAACCCGAGGGTGAATTAACCACGTTCCAACTTATAGTTTAAAGCAACGTAAGTAACGGGTTATTGTCCTTTTATGCTGAATGTCTCGTTTGCGAGTGCTCGTTGAAAAAACTCCAAAATTACGCTCTGCTTGTCATCTGGCGTACCAAACCTGGCTTTCGTCAATGGACCAATCCACCATACTATCGTCCAAGTTAACCAACCACAAACCCAAACATATCCAACGAGTTTGGAAAGTGATGTGGTTTTACGAAACCCGATTTTCGAAGCGAGGGCGATGATCATGTCTTCAATTGTGATCCCCACGGCTTGAATCACAAAGAAGCTCATTGCCCCGCCCGAAGTCCAGTTATTGAAGATTCTGTACTCTCCCACCAGGTGCAAAAGAGCAGATAGGGTGAACACGACGAAAAGTTGAACATGCCATGACAAGGACGTGCCATTTTTGATGTGGAGGACTTTGACGACGAACTTGGCGTGGACAGTCAGGAGCTAATTCAAAAGTCATGAGCGCCATGCTCGCCTGAGCATGCTATGGATCCCTACCCTGCGCAACATCTGATGCCACGTCCGTCTAGAAGAGCGACTCTCGTAATTAGTCAATCGCAGCGCCTAAAAGGTGGAAACAAACCCCCAGAATCGCCCAATAGTATAGGCCTCACTCCAGCTTCCGAACATTGCCGGCCATTCCTTTGGTTCCGTCAGCCCTAGCGCAACCGACACCGCCGACATGCAAATATACGGCATGGTCAGTCCCATCTGTACCTCTGCCAGCGCTGTCAGGTAGGTCATTCGATCCAGCAATGACCCCAGTGCTCCCACATCGGTCGTCCCCCGCCTGACAACCGCAAAACGCCATTGCGCCAAAATTCGAAGGAGGTCAGAGAGCATATAATAGCACGCTCCCAAGAACAACCTCGAAACAACGAAAGTCCACCGAGAGGTCTTCGGCTTTGCGGGGATGCGTCCTGTGGGCTCATGTGCCCAGCCAACCGCACGCTGGGACGTCATTAATTTGAGCGCCCAAACCATGCGCGCGCTCAGCGACGAAGCGGGAATATCCCGTTTATCGTTCTGTAGACGGAGTTCTTTCTGCACATCCGTGAGGAGGATAAAGTCGGACGCGGTGAGAACGGAGCAAAAAATGGCACATCCTAGAGAGTTGGACGTTGATGGTGACTCTCCTGTATTCGGCACGCAGAAGAGCAACCAGATGTTGAGGCATAGGATTGGGAGGAACCAGAGTTTCCGATAGGGAGATGGGCGCACCACAAGCGCGATAAATAAAGGGATGCGGTTGTAGAGATACACATAGAGGATGGCATTTGCCATGAAAGATGGGCGAAGGCTGCGAGGAAGGAAGTATGGTTCGATCGGATGTTAATAAAAGTCAAGCCCAATCGATCCACCTATGTACGAGGGTCTGTGGTGCCTGGTGTACACCCAATGAACTTAGTGATGCCGAATGGAGATGTGGTCTATGTCTGGAATAAATTTCTCGTTTTCTTATCATCTTGCGACTCATTGTATCTAGTTCGTAAGCGCAAAAGACGGAATGACATGCCCGGGAGCCGACTTCACCTATCACAAGTCGATACATTATTTTTCGGCGGCCGACAATATTCGTGGGTATCGAAACTTCAAGCCAGCCTTTTGATTAAGCGTTCTATCGTCGAAAAATATGGATCTTTCCTGCTGAATCAAAAATTTGTAAATGATAGGATTGAATGTTGGGAAGGAACTACCAAGAACTTTTCAACTCTTATAACTTCCAGGTTTTAATCAATGTATCTGGGGCAAATAATAGACTCGAACAGGTTGTCGCCGATGGAAATAATTCGGAATGTCAATCTAAGGGAAGGGGAGAGATGCACACCAGTGAGCCTGCCAAGGAAATGTGTACGTCCCTAACATCCAACCTCGAGGTGAGAGATTGTATGATCTTTTTTGGCTTTATCTAGAGTGGTAATTATGGGTCGGACGTCGGAAGGGGGCCGGATGAATCAATGATGGATGCATGATGATGACGGATCTATCATCTAAGTATGCTGAGCGCTGAGGCTTCGTGATGAGCTTGATGCCCCAAGGATCGATTTGGAGATCTAAAGTAGCCGACTTCCCTCCGAGTCTCCCAGTACTTGCTGACAAACACGCAAAATGAAGCTCTGCCTATGGTGACCCACTTCACGAATCCTAACCTCCGCCCATGGACCAGTCCACGGAGGTACTGCCCAAATCCACCAACCCAAGACCCAGAGATATCCAATACATTTCGAAAGCCGTGTGGTTTTCCCAAATCCAAGCCTCGAAGCCAGGTTGATGACTACGTCTTCAAAACTGATCGCTACCGCTTGAAGCAGGAAAAATCGCATTGTGCCTCCCTTCGTCCAATCGTCCTGACCGCGGTAGTCACCCGCTAGGTGAATAAGACCGGAGAGGGCAAAAGCAACGAATAGTTGCACATGCCATGCCAGAGACGTGCCACTTTTAAGATGGAAAATGTTCTTGGAGATAAATTTACCGTGGGCGGTGACAAACTGCAGAGTAGAAGTTCAGGCAACAGTGAGCGATATTCGGACTAGCATTATAGATCTTACTCTTCGAAAATTCTGATGCCAAAATCGCCTGGAAGAGTAAATGTGAGTAACAGCAGCGTTATGAGGTGAGAGCGAACAAACCCCCAAAACCGTCCAACCGTATAGGCATCGCTCCAATACCCAAATATTGCCGGCCAATCCCTCGGCTCCGACAGCCCCACTGAAACTGTCACGGCTGCCAGGATGTTATACGCCATATTCATCCCTGTGTACACCTCAGCGAGGTACACGAGGAACGTCGCTCGGGCGAATAACCCCGTCAGCCCCTCCATACCCACTTCACCTCTAATAACCGCAAAATTCCACTGCAACGGAATCTGCTCAAGGTCACTGAGGATATAATAGTATCCCGCCCATAAAAGCTTAGATACGACAAAAGCCCAGCGGGAGATGTTCTGGGGCTTGGGCGGGAAACGAGTTGTGCACTCATGTGCCCATCCTATCCCGCGCGAGGTCGTCATAAGGCGAAACCCCCATGACATACGCTCGCGGAGGGGCGCAGACGAGATATGCCGTTTGTCGATTTGAAGCCGGAGTTCGTTCTGCACATCAGTGAGAAGGATGAAATCGGAGGCGATGGCGACACGTGTGGCAAGTGAAGTGCCCCAAATATTGACTACTCTTGAATAGTTTACTGGGCTTGATCCGTAGAGAAGTATCCAGATGTTGGCGCAGAGGATAGGGATGAAGAAGAGCTTCCGATAGGGCGATGGGCGTACGACGAGCGCGAGAAAGAAGGGAAGGTGACTGAATAATGGTTCTATCAGGGCTCCTATTGCCATCGAGCTTGAACGCTGACGAGCACCAGGAGTCGGAGGACTGGGCGATGTTTGTGAAGTGCCCAAGAAAGTGCCACCTGTGTGACTCCGCAGTCTTTACTTACAGCCCTGAACAGGACCCGAACAGAGCTAAACAGACCGTATCGTCGTTGTCGGTGAAGGCACCGTGAGGCCTGTCTGCAGGTTCCAGGTCAGGCATCCAACTAGAGTTTGCAGTGTGGGCGACTCGGAGTGGCTCCCAAACGAGAACGAGGCAAGACGAGGAAAAAGATGGCCTTGCCAACTACCGCTGCAGGGCAGTGGCGTGATAGAATTGAACTCTGAGCTGGCCGCGAGCAAAGTCAACGCTGGCGAGCTCACCATCCTCCTCGGTGAAGGGTAAAAATGTGACCAAGATGCTTATTTATAAATATGTAACTCTCTACTTAGGATTCTTAGGAAGACATCTTTCTCACCAACCGCCATGTTGAACATCGCATCCCGCTCTCTGCTCCGTTCCTCTGTCCGACTTGCTCATCCCAATGTCGCCAGCTACGTACCTACACGCTCCGTTCTGACGTTGAGCAAAACAAACGTGATGACATCACCCTACGAATGAGTGATCGCTGGCTCACACTTTACCGCACTGCAGTACACAGCGCATGCAACGGCGACAGGTGCAGGGCGTAATGGAGAAGTCTCTTCAGGAGGACTCGACCTAAAGCTCGCTTCACCCGGAAGCTCGAGGGCGGGACAGAACCCAGAGCAACTCTTCGCCATGGGATATGCAGGTGAAGTTGGATCCTAGCACTAATAGCGCTTCATCGCGTCGCTGAATACTTGTTTTGTTCAGGGTGCCTCCTCGGCGCCATCCAGTTCGTAGCAGGTGGCTTGGGAAAGAGCGAAATGGCTAAGAAAGCTGTTGTCCATACCAGTGTGTCTCTGGGTGACGCGGAAGGCTTGGGAGGATTTGGAATCGCGGTTGACATTAAAGTTGAGGGTGTTGACGATGAACTGTTGCAGGCTGGTCATGCTGTAAGCCCATGTTTCTTTTCTAACGTCGTGTATTTTGCTTACCCACTTGCTCGTCGTTATAGTTCTGCCCGTACAGCCGTGCGTTGAAACACGGTGCTGTTGTGAACATCTCCAAGGCTTGAGAAGTAGAAAATTGCTCCTATCTGCAGATGTGTGTTGAAAACTAAATTCAAAAGTCGTTCTCGTTTTTCTTTAATCTTCAAGCATCAGGCGTGCCCTTGAAACTTTCCGCTACATTGGCTTCGCTGCCGAGTACCAGACAACTTCAGTCCCATGCATGGCTCAAAAAGACTCCGCAATAGGACTGTTCTTTTATTTCCCTTTCAAAGTCCTACATATCAGTACTGAGGTGTCACCGCAGTCCCCGCAAATTTCATGTTGCTGGTATTGGAAGATCTTTTCGCAATTCTCTCATGATCTGAGCATTGATTGACGCGGTTGCGGCCAAACCACGATAGTCAGAGAGAGTTATGGAGTAAATTCCAGCTATTTAATTTTGACTTTCAGTTCCGAAACCATCCAGTAAGCCGACGTGATATAATGACAAGCGTTGAAATCCTCAATTACTGCTTGACACCCAAGAACAGCAACCCCCTCCGCGCCAGCTCTACCGCCTCCTCCAAATCCCTTCCGTCCCCAGCACTCCACTTCAACTCAGGCCCAAGTTCCTCCGATGTCTTCCCCGACCTGAGTGCATTCTCAAACGCCGCTTTCCGCGCATTCAACGAGGACATCTTTCGCGGGTCAGAGTGCCCACTAAATATGACAATCGCTGTTCGCGGGGGAAGCGCGGCATGCAGAGTTTTCAATTGTTCGTTCAGAGTAGTCAAAATCAAAGAGAGCGCTTCAGGCGAGGGAGGCGGTCCAGGCTGAGGGGGAGGCGAATCTGGCGTTGCGCGTGGTGTAGTCCCTAGAATAAAGCAAATCCACGTATGTTACTTCGGATCGATCAGCAAGCAATTGAAGAAGCACTTACACCCAAGGACGTCAGCCAACGACATGAACCTCCCAAATACAAAGTGATGTGAAGGAATCGCACCCAACAAGCCTTCCAAGACGTCCGCGTCAGTCTTGCACCCAATTGCGGTGTTCGCCTTGCTCCCATGCATAACATTTGGGTTTCCATGATCCACAACGCACGTTTTGATGCTCCCAGGCCCACCACCACCAGCCCTCCGTGATGCCCTAGCCATCCTCTCAAAGATAGACTCATAGTCGATCTTAAACTCGCCAAACCCAGGCCCACCCTGGAGCTTTTTCTTTAACAGATCCAAGCATGCACGAGCGTCTTCCTCTGGGTCATGGCCACCTTCTCCGCGTGCTTGGATTTCACGCCCGCACCATTTTTTGGTGAGCCAGGCGAGGCCTGGTTTGAGAGGCCGACCACGGGGGTGGTGGTACATCAAGGCAGTATCGATGCAAAGTGGATGACATATTTTGAGTGCGTTGAGGTCGGATTCTAGTGAATGGCCAAGGAGGATGGGGGTTGGTGGAGCAGGCTCTGTTGATGATTTGGTCGTGGAAAAGGGATTGGGAGTTGGCGGTGATAGTAGACGAAGTACATGTGCTTGAACTTGGGCATGAGTCGTCGTCACTGGTCCAAGGGCTTCTGCTGTAATTCCCGACCATCTGCGAAAAGGAATCAGATGTAAGAAATGGATGGTTGTCGCCAAACGTACCGCGTGAGGTAGTCGATGATAGGCTTTTTCGGTTTTACCAGTTGGTCATAAACCACGATGCCAGAATGATAGTCGACTATGCAAACTCGCGTTAATTCCTTTCCATCCTCGGTCAAACACTGTTGAAGAGACTGATGTCAGAAATAATAACATTCACGAGGACGAGATCAAGATACCATTTCACAATCAATGGCATAAATTGTCTGCTGGGGTCTCATTGTACCTTTTGAGGGTAAAGACGCTTCCGCCTGTTTTGGGGGTTCTGGAGTCTCGACCCAGCCTTCAGGCTTCTGGAATATATCCGCCATGTATGAGGGTATCGGGTATTCGTTCTCAACCATTTGCTCCAGCGTGAGGAGATATTGCGCAGGACTATCCTTCAGGATCTCGGCTATAAACCGTTGAGGAAAGAATCCGAGAAAAAATACGAAAATACGCACCTTGCAGCCTCTGGGTCATCCGTCTCTTCTTTTCTTCTCCACTGATAGGACCTTGAAAAAAGGTGCTGAGGACACTATGCATCCGTGTCTGATCGCCAGGCGCCCTTGTTGGACACGCATGGCTAAAAGTAGCTGCGATAAATGGAACGCTGTTTATAGTTTGTCCTTCAGTGGGTGGTGGGGGTAGGGGTATTGATAAAGGCAGATTGGGGTTGGAAGTCGCTGATGTTGGAAGTGGTGGTAGTGACAGTAGGTCTGGTGTCAGGCCAGGTATCAAAAGAACCACAAGCCGTTGAATCAGGTTGGTATTCTGTCGTATTTGTCAGTTTGAAACACCATTGAGTATTTGTATGAAAACCGCACGGTGATATGAAGCCAATTTGGAACTGGTGCGTCGGCAATAACGTGCAGGCATAGATCTCGTATGTCCTGCAAAGGTTAGGTCAAACACGAACTAGGTGAAGTAATGAAAGCCTCACGTCTATTCCTATAGCATTATTCCGCTTAACAATCTCTTTGTTAGAGTACATGAACAAAGGCTGGGCATTCTGTTGGGCAGAAACGAATGAGAACATGATCGACACTCGCAACCAGGATCGCGAGGCTTTCCTGGCAACACAAACACCGAACACGAGGAAATCACACACACATCGAGTTTGGCCTCGTTTTTCGTAGCTTTCTTCTTCTTCCTCTTCTCTACTTTCGTCCACCCTCCACTTTCTCCGTTTTCGTCTCCGTCGGCCATTTTGGGCTTTTTTGCTTGTGGAGCGTCTATGGATGTATCTTGAGAGTCTTGCGGTCGTTTCATGTCGTAGAAGAGGTGCACGACAAGAGGCCAAAGATGAGAATAACAGAGTCTGCAAAGTGCGAAGAGTCTTGCAGCAAATTGCTGAAGTGCGTTTGTTTTGGATTGTTGAGCAAAGTCGACTATGTAATCACGTGAACGAATATCGTTACCGACACGCCATCGTCGACATTTGCTACAAACGAGGCTTCAGGACGCGCGGTACAGGCGGGTTATAGATACTTAAACCATGGTTAGTTGCCCATATTCTGATATTGAACGTCATTGACGAGGAATTGATTGGTGTAGGTTGTGCTAGCAGCGTCGATATGCACCAAAGGCGGCAAAGGTTCGTATCTCTCGTTGCAGAAGATTTTATGCTGCTTATACACTACTCTGAATTAGCCGTCATTTCTCGACAATTCAGGGACATGTCGCGAACCCGGATCGAATCTCTGCTTGCCTCTTTTCCTAAGCTTATACCCACAAACACCCAACACACCTCTGTAGAAACTCCAGACGTTCGCTACGTCTACCAGCCCTTAGAGGACCTCTACATCCTCTTGATAACAAACAAAGCATCCAATATCCTCCAGGACATTGATACACTCCACCTCTTTGCTCGCGTCGTCTCTGATATTTGTAGATCTGCAGACGAGAGAGAGATTTTGAAAAATGCATTTGAGCTGCTCGGAGCATTCGACGAGGTTGTTAGTCTGGGGTACAGAGAGCAGGTCGGCCTCATGCAGGTTAGGAGTGTCCTGGAGATGGAGAGCCACGAGGAAAAGATCCAGGAAATAATTGCAAGGGTGGGTCTTTTCTTCTCTATCACTTGCACTAAACTAACACCGTACACGTAGAACAAAGAGGCGGAAGCAAAAGAAGAGCTCAAACGACGCGCAAAGCAACTTGAAATGCAGCGTCGCGAGCAACAACGCCGCGCAGCTTCCATCGGTGGTTCACTCAACACTTCCAGTCCATCCTATCTCGGAGTAGGCGGAGGAATTTCAGGATACTCACCCATCCCCCGCTTTGAGCCCGTGGAACCCTCTTCCACCATTCGTAACACGACTCCCGTAGCCAAGTCCCCCGCGTTCAAGGGGAGCGGAATGAAGCTTGGCTCGGCGAAAAAGACGAAGCAGGCAGAGTTGTTGGACGCACTTGGGGGTGAGGTGTTGGCCACCACGGGCTTAGGGGTAGAGGAGAGGACAGAGCCGACCACGCCAACACAGGCAGTGAGCGAGCCGACGATTCAGAAAGCGAGTGGGAGGGGAAGTGTTCCCGAAGTTGAGGCTGAAAGGTACGGCATTTTTTTTCACGCCTCTAACTAAATCAGACTCATCTATTCGCAGCGTACACATCGTCATCAAGGAACAAATCTCACTCTCCCTTCTCCGTGATGGCGGCCTTCAATCCTTCGAACTGAAAGGAGACATGAACCTCCAAATCTCCGACCCTGCATCTGCGCACCTCAAGATTACGCTCTCGCAACCGCCCGCTGATACATTTGGGACCGCGTTACAGTTCAAGCAGCACCCCAACGTTGCCAAGTTCGCACCTGGTGCAGGACCAAAGGTGGTTGCGCTCAAAGACCCTGGAAGGGCGTTTCCCGTTGGACAGAGCTTGGCAGTGTTGAAGTGGAGGTATGTTGGGACGGATGAGACTAATGTGCCGTTGTCGAGTGAGTTTTACATCGTGCTCGTCAATTTTTGTTAATCATTTGCTCAGTCAACTGCTGGCCCTCACCCTCCAATGACGGTACATGCGAAGTGAGCATTGAATACGAGCTGGAGAATGAACATGTCACTCTATACGACGTCGTCATCTCTATTCCCCTTCCGTACGTCCTTTCTTCTCTTCCATCCCCACCCCTCCTTCTAATACCCCTCTCCCTCAAGTGACGGCTCCTATCCAACCGTCTCCTCCGAACACACAGGCTCATGGTCCCTCGATCCCTCCTCACACTCACTTGCCTGGTCCATCCCCGTCATCTCGCCTTCTGTGGAAAGTACAAAGTCGGGCTCATTGATGTTCACGGTGGGAGGTGACGACGTAGCAGCGTTCTTTCCTGTCGAAGTCAGTTTTGTTGGGCAGGGGTGTTTGGCGGGTGTTGGTGTTGATAATGTGCAAAAAATCGGGGAAGGAGAAGGAGGTGAGGTAAAGTGGAGTGTGGATAAGCTTGTGGTTGCAGATGAGTACTTGGTTGTTTAAAGAGTGAACTTTGCGGGTGAGGGGGAGTTGACTTCGACTTTTGTACGGGCTCGGGTAGAAAAATTCGTCTGAACTGTGACTTTGCGGGTACTAACCCTGTCCCTTACTTCGGACGGGTGGCGTCATTTGGTCACCCCGAATAACTCGCTCAATTCTTCACCAGACATCTCCAAATTTTATACACTGTTTACAGCTAACTGCATAATCGTAGACCACATCTGAAATTTCACTTTGCGCCTTTGGTTGTGCATAAACATCCGTTTTAGGCTGTGGCTATGTAAACCATGATGCCCATATGCGCGCGGGCTGCCTATTGCTCCACATTCTAGCACCGTTTCGGTAGTTGCTCCAAACGCTCCAATCCCGCCCCGCACGTCATAAGGGTGGAGCGGTTGGAACTTGCCAACTTGGAAGGGCGTTCTACCTAATATGGTTGTTTGTACAAATAAAAGCGCACAAAGTAAAATTTAGATATGGTCTACGATTATGCAGTTAGCTGTAACGTTTAACAACCATATTCATTCCAGGAAGACTCGCGCCGCCGTTCCCACGTGTCGCCATGGAGACCAAAACTTTCGCAGAATTAGGGATCTGCGCACCTCTCTTGCAGGCACTAGAAGAACTCAAGCACACAACTCCCACCGAAATACAGACAGGTTGCATCCCGCAAGCTATCGCCGGGCGAGATATCATCGGTATCGCACCCACCGGTTCCGGGAAAACACTAGCTTTCGTGATTCCTATCCTCCACCGCCTATGGGACAATCCTCAAGGCTACTTTGCATGTGTTCTTTCACCTACTCGCGAGCTGGCTTATCAAATCTCGGCACAATTCGAGGCTCTGGGCGCAGCGATGGGTGTCCAGTCGGTTGTGATTGTCGGTGGCGACGACGACCGAGTTCAGCAGGCGGTACGACTCGCCCAAAAGCCGCACATTATTGTCGCTACACCAGGGCGGCTTCATGATCATCTCAAGTCAACGAAAGGATTCAGCTTGCGCTCCTTGAAACATCTGGTGTGGACAGCTTTCACACCACTCTACCCATCATTCATCTCGGCCTATAGGTTCTGGACGAAGCAGATCGTCTTTTGGACCTTGATTTCCAGCGTGAAATAACTGAAATCATGCAGTCAATACCCAAGGAACGTTGCACGTACCTCTTCTCGGCTACCATGACGGCAAACGTCTCCAAGCTACAGCGCGCAAGTCTCTCTGACCCAGTCCGCGTAGACGCATCGTTGTTCAGGTTTGGACCTGCTTATACTTCGTTACAACTTCTTCTCATTCGATTCGACACAGGTACACCACAGTCTCCACCCTTGTCCAACATTATCTTCTATGCCCTCTGGTGGAAAAAGAAGTCACACTGGTCTATTTGATCAACTCTTTGGTGCAGAATCTGATCATCGTTTTTGTTCGAACTGTGGCTGACGCGAAGCGGTACATGAATTTCCTCTTCTCACGACTCCCATCTGAACCTCTTTTCCTCAGCCTAAGCATCATTCTACGCAGTCTCGGTTTTGACGCCGTACCTCTTCACGGCGAGCTTACGCAAAGCCAGCGATTGGGCGCGTTCACTAGATTCAAAAGCGGAAAAAGCAAAATATTGGTTGCCACTGACGTGGCAAGCCGGTGCGTCGCTACAGCTATAATCTTCCCGCTGAGAAGCCCATTGTTTTCATCACAGTGGCCTGGATGTTCCCAATGTTGACGTTGTCATCAACTACGACACTCCCACTCACTCGAAGGACTACATCCATCGTGTGGGACGTACAGCGCGGGCAGGTAGAGCTGGCAAATCCATACTCATGGTCACGCAATACGACGCCGAACTCATGTTGCGTCTGGAGAAAGTCCTAAATCAAAAACTAGACCTTTATCCAACCGACTTGCAGGAGATCGCGCTGCTCAAAGAGCGGGTGGTTGAAGCTGGAAGACTAGCCCGCAATCAACTCAACGAAGAGAGCAAGGCTCGAGGAGGAGGTAAAAAGCGCCGTTACAAATTGTCAGGTGGCGACGACAGGGATAGGGATGACGACGTGGTTGAAGCGGGGATGCCTACCCTGTCGCATAAAAAAAAACGGCGTACATAGTCTGGTTCCACTCAAGTGTTTTGCTACCCTAGTTATCGTGTTCAGCTTGTTAACGTATTCAGCCCGTTCATGATCATCTGACTGGGTATAAACCCGCGTAACCTAGGTTTTTTTTTTTGGTTAGAAAATGGTATCCTGCTGTAAGTATGGGAAAAATAATCCCAGATAGTGAACACTTCTCAACTGTCGTGCAGTTGCAGCGTGTCCAGAGTGGACTGCTTGCTTCTTCAGATACACAATGGGTAGTACATATACATCAAGCAAGACCTGCAAGGGGTCATAAGGGAGGCCAGGTGTTTCAACAGTTGAGTATCATTCATCCTCATGCGGCATGCCCTCCCTACGTGACGGTTCAGTTTAGGGCCAAGCGAAAGGCGGAGCGACAGTGAACTCACCTTTGCGTTCTCGTCGGCTGTCGATATCTCTTTTTTCCAAGCAGATACTTCTCCAAATCATTCGGATTCTGACTAATACTTCCCGTCGCAGGCATTGCATACAGCCATTCTAACTTTTCTGTTCGTTTCTTGCCTGTCTGTTCCTCTTGCAAACGTTGAAGCTCATCCTCTTCCTTTTCTTTACGAAGTTGGTCGATTTTCTTCTTCTCCTCAAGCTGGTAGCTTGTGGCATATGAGTGAACGGCGTCGGTGAAGATGGGGGATGATGACTCACAGCTTTCTTGTCATCGAGCCACACCCTCTCCTGATTCTTCAGTAAGTAGGAGAGGGTGACAGGACCTTTTCATGTTCAAATCTCCACCACCCATTATTGCGAGAATTGCAGATTAACTGTTTATAGAGGATGGTGGTAAACGTATAGGTGAGCAGTTACGATGTTGAAGCGATTTCCGGTCGCCCCGCCATTTGGCGATACTTACCATCCTTTGGCATATTCTAGTTCCGTCAGTACGGAGTGGAAATTTCTGTTCAATAACTACGCATAGGAAATCACCGGACTCGGAATCGCCGACCTTGAGGAACTTTACGAGTATCGTAAGTAAGGGACATTGTTTTCACATCGCGTCATTCACCCGATTGTGCAGCACCACTGGTACCGACTCATATACCTCTTTCTCAGCTGACAGTGGCATGCAAGCTTTCAAGTCATACGTACACCTGTCTAAACGCTGCTTCTATGAGGGTTCGGAACATTCCTATCCAAAGTTCATCTCCAGGTAGTATCACCTGGTATCACTTCCAATTTTCAAGAAAGAGGGTCTTTCTGTTTCACTTTTCCATCATCATCTATACAGATCACCCCTTGATCACCTCATTGCTCCTCATCCTCTGACCAACGTTATCGCCGTTGAATCCGTCATTTGTCTTTTCTACGGACTCACTTCCGTCTCTCGGACTCCTCTTGCCTATGGAGGAATTCAAGACGTCGACTCAGCATTCTGGAAGGAAAATATTAATAACAATTTGAACGCAAATGTGCTTCATATCCCTTTCAAAGCGTGAGGAGCTTGCCTATATTCAGAGGCTTGAATGTGATTGAGGAAGTTCTTGGGAGATCTTGGTAGCGCCACTCATCGATGACGCTTGTTCCCTCGTCCTTCCTGCAGAAATTATTGCGAAAATAGTCGACCATCTATTTGGACACGTTCGACACCTGGCGCTGAAACCGGCGAACTTGTCTCTCCGGTCGCTCTATATGTATACAAAGTTGATACGAAGCATCTTCATCATTCAAGTCAGCGGGCCATCTTCATGACAGCGAGCATCTTCATGACAGCGTTCCATTTTGTCCTTCACTTGTTCTTGTTGATCTCTTGGGTTCCTAATGCAATGCTCTTTACTTCCTCAAAGGCGACAACACGATTAAAAATAGCTCACCTGGCCCTATATAAGCAGTTCGTGCAAACATCTCCACCCTCATCGTTCGCGACCGTTTTCATTGGTGCGTAGGCAATTCTACTCAATACTCTCCTGGGCTTACCTCTATTCAGTCTGTGCTTTATCAGGTTTATCAGGTACATTTACCCACTGTTGTTGCCCGTCCACGGTGCTGAGGTCTTCAAGTTTCGCAACATGCCTTGGAAAAATATCCCTGGTGGTCTCACGCGAATCTCCGCCGGATCCGTCACCAATGTTTGGGGAGTCAACGCTGCCAGCAACATCTTTCGTTACACAGGCGATGACACCAAACCCTGGGTCCAGATCCCTGGTGGTCTCACCGACATAGGCGCGGCCGCTGATGGCACCGTTTGGGGAGTCAACGCCGGCGGCGACATCTTCCGCTATGTCTGGGATTCCAATCACTGGACCAACATTCCAGGAAAACTCAAACGAATCTCTGCTGGATCCCGCACCAACGTTTGGGGAGTCAACGCCTCAGACCAGATCTTTCGTTACACAGGTGACGACGCCAACCCCTGGGTCCAGATCCCCGGTGCCCTCAGTGACATTGGTGCGGGTGCTGATGGCACAGTTTGGGGGGTGAACGCCGGTGGCTCCATCTTTCGTTATACTGGGGACCAAGGAGATCCCAATCACTGGGTTAACATTCCCGGTGCCCTCACTGCAATCTCTGCTGGAATAAAAACCAATGTGTGGGGGGTCAACGCGGCGAACGACATCTTCACATCCACTGGCGATGACAAGAACGCTTGGGTTAACGTTACTGGTAAATTGGTTGATATCGGCGCGGGCACCGATGGTGTGGTTTGGGGGGTCAACGCAGGTGGAAGCATTTTCCGTTGGATTCGTGATTAGCCTCTCCTTGATGTTAGGGTATGTTCACGTCTCCACATGCTTGTGGACACATTCTCATCAATCCCCTCAATTTAACGTTACACAGATTACCTTCAAACGCTCAACTGCTGTGAAATGAAGTTTAGGACAGTGTTCCGTTCCCAATGTATAAGACAAAGAATGAAATCAAATCGTTTACCTGCAACGAGAACTATTACTTTCGTTAAGTGTCCTCGATCAACAGTTCTTACGAGGTAAGACACTGCAGTGCTTCTTAACTTCTTAACTTCTCCCATGCCTGGGAGTCCGATCAACGAACTGGGGCTTGCTTTGGTGTTGTGGAACAGGGTGAGTAACGAACGGGGGCAGTTAGCGAGGCAAAAGATCGAGTGAATAAGGAATTCAGAGGTCGAGGATTGGTCGAGGAAGGGAGAAGGGGGTCACAGAGGAGTCACGTGCCTGACGTCAATAACAATGACATTCGTTCACTAAGGCCCACATCTCACAAAGAAGCGATGCAAGGTGAATATTAATGAATAACGACAGGCCTCTCAAATAAAAACCTTCTCCCTGCGCTGCCGGATGAAGTTTTCGAGAAAAATCTTCGAAGATGTGTTTTTCCAAGAGGGCTGCGATTAAGTAGTATTCTCATCCGGAACCTCTCCAGCACTTCGCACTCGCTGGAACTCTTTCATTGTCGAATCATACTCCAAGCCATGAGTGCGTTCCTGATGTCGACTTTCGTTACAGCAGGCGCTTCATCACGTTCGGATGTGTTGGATCTTCTCGACATGCCTCTAGTATGGTACCGCGCCGCTGGATTTCTACATAACGGCCGATGTTGAGACTCCCCTTGAGTTTAAAGGGCTGAATGCAGGCGCAGGAACGGGATGTTTTCAAAAAGGCAGGATTCTCTATTTCAATTGGTTTCAATCAAGCAACTTCTCAATCTTTTCGTTTGATTAGGGCCAGCCTTTGAAGCTCTGGGGAATCCGCGATGCTTGTTGGGCTTGACTTTGTTAGCCATCTCACATTTCTTCCGCTCAAAAGTATAGATACTTGAGGTGCGGAAGCAAGAATCCAGCCTTCATTCTTTGGAAAGCGTTCGGTGACAACGAAGGTTTTCTCCGTTATTAAATGTGGTTGGCGTTGATGATCTCATGTCAATGCCCTCTACCTCTATGCTGAAGGTGTAGAAGCAAGGATCCAGCCTCGTTTCCGGAACGTGTTCGGTGACAACGAAGGCTTTTTCCGACATAAAGGGTGGTTGGCGTTGATGACCTCATGTCAATGCCCTCTACCTCTGTGCTGTCCCTGGTGATTGGAGCGACTCAGTGGGTACGATGTTTGACTTTTGTAAGTCTCGTTCCGGACTAGATTTCCATAATTCCTAAACTTCTCATTGTGTGTTATGCGAAGACGGGCCCCAATTTATTGTGAATTCCAAAGGAAAGCCGCTCGATCTTTTTGCTTTAAATAAAGGTCCAATCTCAACGAGTAAAATTGATTCGGCAGATACCCTGATTTCTTCCATACAGCAACTTCACGCCCTTTTGCTGGTGGCCTCCATCAACAGTGGATGTTGTTAGACGATGGAACTGGTACAAAATTCGCTCTCAAATCTGAGCACAATGGTTCGTAGGCGTAAATGAGTTTCAAATAGGAAGCGGCGCTCTCCGAGTCGTTGCGAAAGTAGACCCGTTTTATTGGGCGATATCGGAGAATGGAGCAAATTACAAGTCGGTATCAATCCCACCACCTGCGAGTATTTTTGATATCTTCGTTTCTCACTTGCTTGTTATCCAGGTTGTCGATGCCAGGTTTTAATTATGCACTAGTTGTCGGAGAACCTGCGGCCACGTTCCCATCGACAGACAGAAGGACGGACCTACTCATTCTGCCAGTGGAATGTACACGGGTGAATCGAGACAAGATCATCAAACATGACTCGCAACAAACCACCACCACGTTGTCACCCGACAATCCTCAAGGTACCAATGACATACCTCCCGTCATCGCTCCCACCTCCTGCTGCGCTGTTTATCGTCGATTCGGGGTATCAACTCACCAACTGGCCCTAGCACCTCCCAGTTCCGTCGACAAGTTGCCGTATGGCATTCTTCTGATGCGTTCAGCGTACGCGGAGCAAAACAGCGTACAAGCCGGGATTGTCCTCCAACTTGTTGCGACACTGCGCGATAGCGTGTATCATATGCCCCCCGTATTTTACTGTCGTACTGGGGGAGGTTTCTGGAGTGATCTTGCAGCCGTATTCGACCCAGTTGAGGGCAATGGATGGACGTTTGCGTTTACGTTGATGGGCCTCGTCGATTTGGCTGCTGTCATCCCAGGCCCTGCTGGTATTGATTTCACGAAGATTCCGGAAGATCAAGCAGAAGTGGTTTCTTTGGATGGCGAGAGGGTAGATACTGCTCAATGGCAAAGGGGGACTTAGTGCATTGCCTCGTATTGCCTTCAGATCATTCGTGCCCTCCCGGAGCATCCGCGTCAGAATTGCGTATAGTTTTTGACCTCAGGGGGCGATTCAAAGTACAGAGTCTCGCTGATTTATCTTTGCATGCATAGAATGTCATCTGACAAGTGCGCAACTACCGTGCAGGATCAGTCAATTTGGGAGGACGGTCAAGTATTCCTATACTTCAAGCCCAATCACTCAAGCCATCATCTTCAGTTGGAAAGGTATCCAATTGAGTCAAACGTAAGTGTCATTTGAGTGCTATGGAGACATCAGAGTGGTCGTCAAAAATAACAAAACATTAGGGACACCAAAAAGAGTGGTATAAATGAAGGTATCAGAGACTTGGCAGGTCTACTTGCATCACTCGACACTGAGGTGCCAATACCTATTAAGCGGCGGAGGAGAAGAATAATTAATCCTATTCATTCAAGTTATTGGCAGAATGTCACTCACTGTTAATATACTGTCTCCCAAGAGCGTTAATATTTCCATTTGCATCCATGAGCGCGTTGCCCTAACAAGAAGTCAGATCAAATGTCATTTATCATAAGCGAGCCACAGACAGGATTTACGCCTTGTGGCAAATGCTCCATCGCACCAAACCAAGCATATCTCTCAACAAAAATTGCACCATCCATAAAAGATTGGGTCTCGTTCATGAAATGTACGATATCGTTATCAGAGCACTGCTGTTGGACATTAACATAATTCTGACAAGCCCACTCCGTTACCCAAAGTGGTTTCTGGAAGGTGGCGTGGAGGTCGTTGAGATATTGAATGAATTGTGTTGCGTTGACGCCATACCAATCTAATGAAAACATGGTTATATGGTCGCATGTCTTCTTTAGTAGAAAATGGAACGCACGAAGAGCGATGAAATCGACGGTGCAGTTACCAGCGCAAACAGTGAAAAAATCTTGAAGCCAGGTTTTACCAGTGGGAGCACTGGATATTGCTGGGCTACCGAGACGTACGCCATTAACCCTCAAGGGTTCTAGATAGGATTTCCACATTTGTGCGCCCTCCAACGCAGTCAAATTCGACTGGCTTGTTTGATCAGGTCTATGATAATTTCATTCTACAGATGTTCGAGTTCGATGCCAACATAAAGACACATACTCATTCATCCCTAGGACTGCGGTAATAATGGGACGCGTTTGAGAAAGCGTTGGCTGTATGGTCGACGAGAACTGATCCAGAGTTTTCGTTCCCCATAACAAAGGAACAAATTCAAGATCAGAATTGACGAGGTTCGAAGACCAGGTATAGTACCTGATGGTTAAAATTGACTTCTCACACAGGCTCATTTTATCAAAGGACGAACCACGAAACTTTCCCAGTCACCTCATACTGCTTGATACTGACAGCATTGGAGTTCGCCCACGCCATGCCGGCCTTGGAGGTGTCGTTCACCTGTCGTACATGGTGGTTTCCCGGCGTCGCTTCAGAAACCCCAAACAAGAGCGTTAAACAAGCGATCAAGGTCGTCAAACTCGTGTTGAAGTTGTTCATCAGCACTGCGCCCGGGATGCTTCGAGAACAGAGAAACTTCCTGTAGATGCCTGCAGCGCTTGTCGGTTCGAAAACAAAATGATGCTGTAAAGAAAGCATATATCATCTTGGAGCACATTCACGTAGAGCAGTGTCGCCTTGGTGTCGCCGCTCCAAAGTGTGCGCGGTCACATGGAAGACCTGCAACTCCTTCTTTCATTGTCGCCATACTTCGTTTGAGCAATCCTATCCCCACTTTCCCACAAAAGGGGGATCTTCAGAATGTCTGGCAATCTGTTGAACGCGACTCACGACAGGCTAAGCCTCTCCCCAGTTTTGGACACAACTGACCCACCGATGAAGACCGTCCATTTTTGTGGATTTTCTGTGGTCCATGTGGCTCTTAGTCCCCTCTGGTATACGCCTGAAGGCATATCAGGCTCTCTGGCGTTTCTCAGTGAAGCGTGGACGAGCCTCCTCCCCTATGGTGAGGCGCCTCGTCCCGTTCAACTTGTATGCAAAAAAGGGTCGTTTTGTCATGGCCTCAGAAGCCCTCGCCACTCAATACGTTTCGGAAAACACCACGATCCCAGTGCCACGTGTGCTGGATGTCATCGCACTTCCCTCTGGCAAAGGCAAATTTCTTCTTATGACTGGTGTAAAAGGAAAGGAGTACGGGCCCACCGGGGTCACACTGTATAAGATGGCAGAAAATCAACGGGCGGTATTCACAGAAACCTTGCGCGGGTGGTTCGACCAACTACGCTGTCTACGACCACCGGATGATCATACTATCTCTGGGTTTATGGTAACCGGGGTGTCGTCCTATATTATCCGACACCCCGAGACTGTCGATCCGTTCGCCTCCCAGGACGAGTTTCACGCGCAGCGCTTTTGCCAACCCTGGGAACCTTATGATGACGCGTTGCGTGCGGCACTGGAGAAGCGAGCGAAGATGCGGTACAAAATATGCTTCACGCATGGGGATATCACGCCTCACAACATCCTTGTTGATGATAACCTTCGTCCATGTGCGTTGGTTGATTGGGAGTGTGCGGGATGGATGCCGGAATACTGGGAATATACGCGGGCATTGTACATACGCGAACGATACCTAGGATGGAAGAAAGTGTTCACAGATATCTTTCCAAATTATGAGGCGGAGCTTACTATCTATGGGAGCATTATAACCCATGACATGCCTTGGTATTATTCTCTCAACGTTGTTAGCTGAGCTATTACATTGATATCATTGAAGCGTCGGACGTGACGAGTACTTGAAGCGTTTCGCTCTCCAGCATCCAAAACGCGTTGACGACGACCGCGGAAAAAGAATTTGTTAGACCATAATTCAAAACATCACCTCCAAGGAAGTTCCATCAGTATGCCGATCCTCTAAAAAAATGCGAACCAGCGGGTTCTTCAAACCGAAGACGAGAAGCAATCGCATGAAATTGTTTGAATAAGCACAGATTCGAATTCTTATACTCGACAGATCAAAACCCTTCATTCTTTCCAGTTCGTCTTAGCCCATCTGAAATAAACTAACTATCCACTTGCTCGGGAAGCACGATCTTAGCGCGGTTCGTCAGCCCACCAGCGATAGCAGCAACCAAGGCAAAAAGTGACCATCCGCCCCACCATTTAGAAGTGACAGGCGCCGCAGGAGGACCAGTTGGCTTGGCGGGCACACTTGGCAGAAACATGCCTGTTGTTTTCAGTTTGTCGTCCTGAGCCAGGGTTTGGGCACGTTAGCAAACAGGAAAGACAGAAGGACAGCTGACGTTATAAGGGGGGTATCGGAACTTGAGAAGGGTATCAATCCTGAACCAGAATAAAGTCAGCCTAGGAGTAGATTGACATAGACGAGGATGGACCAGCTGGGTGAGTCTAGCGATGCCCTATGATGTGTGAATGTGTCAAAGCCAAACTTTCCCCTGTGTGCGCCTGCTGTTAACATGATCGCGTCAGGAAAACCGACATGAAAGGTCTACTTGTAAGCACTCACTTCCACTCGCGCCAATACCGCCGACAGGTAGCCCATCAGCTATGCAGCATTCACTCAGTTATTAGATAAATCTGTAGGCAATAAAAGAGGCCTTACCACCAAGGTAAATGAGAGTCTCGTTGGCAACGCATGCACCACTCTGCGTATTCTGGAAAACTACGAGCGAGACTTCATCACTATGAAAGGAAAGAATCAAAACCCACTCACCCTTGGCCTTGAATGCGGCATCTTGAGAGAAGACGTATAACACGAGTGGGTGGTCACTGTACCCACATCAGCACCGTTTCTATCAGTGCAATGCGAAAAGCTACTCACCGCTCATTCACAAAACTGATGGCCTCGTCCACATCCTCCACAGGGATGATTGGCAACAATGGCCCAAAGATTTCTTCACTCATAAGAGAATCGTCCGCAGAAACGTTCTTGATAACAGTAGGCGCAATGAACTTGGTCTCCGCATCCGTCTCGCCTCCAAACACAATCTCACCCTTGGTGTTGTCCAAGAGGGATTTCACTCTGTTGAAGGCTTGCGGCGTCACAATGCGTGAAAACACCCCAGGGGCCTTGGCAGACTCGGGGTAGAAAGATTTGTATGTTTCCTTCAAAGCCTGAACAAAGGTATCTTGGAACGCTCGTGGGACGAGGACGTAATCTGGAGCGGCACAGGTTTGACCTGAGTTGACAACCTTTCCCCATAAGATACGTTTCGCCGCTGTTTTCAAGTCACATTTCGGGTCGATGATGACGGGGGATTTACCACCTAGTTCGAGGGTGACGGGGGTAAGATGCTTGGCGGCAGCAGCGGCGACGATGCGTCCGACGCGTCCTCCACCAGTATAAAGGACTGGCTAAAAGATGACAACGGTATATGGACAAGTTAAGGGAATACATACTGTGATCCCAAGGCAATTCAAGGATCTGGTGAAGGGTTTCAGATAACGTTGAGTAGGAGGCCAGAACGTTGGAACGTACCTTAGTCGTCTCTGGAACAGCACCGTTGACAACTCTCACAAGACTCGGGTCCAAGTACTTGGGTACGAGTTCTGCAAGGAGAGCGCTCGTTGCCGGACTTGACTCTGATAGCTTAAGTAGAACCGCGTTCCCCGCCGCCAGCGCTCCTGCCTAAGCCATACCGTCAGCATCAACTTTTCTGAAACAGCGAAAGCTTACAAACCAAAGGGATAACAACCAACCACAGAGGATAGTTGAATGGGCTGATGATAAGCACGACGCCCTTGGGCGTCTTGTACACGACAGGCCTCATAGGAGCAAAAGTCAAGCTGAACGGTGGCTTCTCCGGTTTCGCCCATGTGTCTACACCTTTGTAGGCCACGTAGGCTTCGCTGATTACAGCATTAATCTCCAGGCTTTGAGAGGAATCAAGAAATTGCAAAAGAACAGGATAAATTCAACGCACAACCGGCTCTCAAGAGGTGGTTTACCCAAATCCAACTTGAGCGCCTCCTCGAAACGGTCCGCGTTGTCCTTGACAAGATATATAAGCTGGAGAAGTTGGTACTTGCGGTACTCTATCGGCCTGAGCTTTCCCGAGCGGAAACCTGCACGAAGCTCCGCATGAATCTACATATTAGGAGGTCAGCATTTGCAGGAGAAAGGAAGATTGTGGTCTGGCACCTCTTCAATTTCGTCAATGGGGGTATACGCGAGCTCGGGCATGGTGGTAAGTTCAGGTGAGGCTGGGTGAAGGTGGCCCTGACTCCTACATAAGGAAGTAAGCGTTTTCGGTTGGTTTCCGACGTTTTATGTAACTGTTTCGAGATTCCTTTCTCTGCCACTTCATCTTGGCCAAGATGACGTTGATTGTAGGCTCTTCATTGCGACCATATGCGGGATCTACGTTCCGCGACTTGAGAGCAGTGTTCCGAAGTTCGAGCCAAGTTTGAATAATTCCAATTGTGCGTGGTCACGTGGAGTCCAAAATTAGACATCCCACTCACTCACAACCAAACAAATATGATTTACAGTAATGTACACCATGAACTCAATAATTCTCAAGACCTCCTTTCTGCGTACTAATCAACAGGGGGGTGCTAGCTGCAAGAGTTCGATATTTTTCCCGCCCCGATAAATAAGTTTTCCCTGAGAGGCTGAGCCCATTCCCGACTGAGGCTGGCAATTGTGCTCGTACCTGATGCTGGGTCAAATGAAGAAGAGGCTTTAAATCAGGACACATACGAGTGGTGTGACTTTTTCGCAATCATTTCATATATTGGTCTACGTACGCGTGTTGTTCCATATTGAGCGAATCACAAAATCCGTAGTGCTAAAATTCCTTTTGTCATGCGCAAGAGGGGGTTCGTGGATAATAAATTTCACTATGGTTCGTATAAGTGATGCAACTCACCCACCCCAAGTATGTAGGTGCACTCACAAGTGCGATCAACTCCAGGGATAAGATAAAATCCATTTGTTGGTTTTCCGGTGAAGGCGTCTACGAAAACGCCAACTGTGCCCAACGGGTGATCGATCCAAGTCCAAGGAGCTACCCCACCTTGGGCCGAGAGCGTAATCTGCAGGTCGTCCGCGACGTACATACTGATCTTCGGATCGACGATGGCCGCATTCGCAAGTGAAATCGTTGTAAACTCCATTTTCCCTGCCTGGTAAGTCTGGACTAACGACCGAATAATAAATTACCTACATGTTGCTCGCTTGTTACCGTTTTATTGTCGACTTTGGCCGTCGAATTCAGAAGCATCCACACCTCTGAGGGCTTTTTTCCATATGGCAAAATTGAAGCTAACCCAGCGACGTTCATCAAAACCGTGTTGTTGAGGGGCGGGACAGTGAAATGATATACACAAGAGGACAGCTCGTTTCCGTACCAATCGTACCACGTTAGCTGAGCTACTCCATTAATATCATTGAAGCGATCGGATGTGACGAGTACTTGTAGGATTTCGTTCTCCGGAGTCCAAAACGCATTGACGACGACCGCGGAGAAAGAATTTGTTAGACCATAATGCAAGACCTTCCATCGCCCAGAATATTCAATGCTAGACCAGCTTACACCTTGCCAGATATCGTTTAATTGCCAGACGAGAGCACCCATATTATTTTCGCCTTGACCAGCACCGCGCCGATACCACGCAACTTGCGAAGTTATGGTCATGGCCTGAAAGACCTGAGTGCTCCAGCACCATTGCGCAAAGGTCTCATTTGATAATTTTTTTGACGGCGACGGCAACCAGCGCTTCACGGCACTGGACATTTGATGATGGCCTTCGTGCGCATTTGGGTTGGGAAAAGCCAGATCTCCTGGTGGTGGGTGACGATTCCGCGACAGCACAACAGTCGAGTTGAAGAGAAAGTCGTCAGGCGAGGTCAAAACTTCCTCCCAGGTGTAGAAAGATGGCATGGAGTGATATCTTGTCCAATTATAAACATCAAATGGGGGCACAAAATAATGTTCTCACCCAAACTCGTTGACAAATCTGCCTGGTCAATAAAAAGAGAAAGTGACCGCAAAAGAAATAACAAACCGAGAAATAGGGAACGTATTATAATCAAAGGCCACGGATGCATCGTAATTGAAGCGCTCTGTAAATTTATTTCAATTGTAAGATATCGTGGTCGCCGAACAAAAAGCTGACCGCTGTTGCCATAGATGTGTCCCGGAGTTCCGTTGTTCAGTCTGAGAGTATATGGATCAAGGCTCAGAACTCCTTTGGTTGTTGAACAGCCGGTATATGGAACCTTGGAGAGAAGGATGAAATCGAAATATTTATTTTGCAATAGAGGGGCCCGTACAGAATGCGTCTCTGACACAACAATGTCATGCAAGAACCCTTGAAAGAGGGCAAGAAACTATATCGATCCATCAAAACCTCGTCTGACTCTGTTCAATGAAGCGACATACTTCATTCAAATAATGTTTGCCATCAGGAACGTACTTCTCCGTCCAAAGCGCAATGCCTTCAATTTCATTACCGCCCGCCCATTGTGCATTGCTAGGATGTCTGTTTATTCTTCTAACGTTCTGACGAACTTCCGGCTCGATTGTTTTGAGGAGAAAATCGTTGATCGGTTGCAGAGCGTCAGAGAATATAAGTTCCGACCAAACGAGAATCCCGAGCTCATCGCAGACTGAGTAAAAATTATATCCTCCACCCGAGACGTCTGAGCTCGAAGGTTGGTAAATTCCACCTCCCCATACGCGTACCTGAAACTCGTGTTCAGTGCACGTCAAAAGGGAGCTTAAAATATGCACCATATTTTGTCCACTCTTCACCACACTCTCAAGAATCCATCGGACTTGGTCGTCCGTGACGCGGCTGTAAAATGGGTCGAAAGGAACAAGATTACTCCCCATAATGTACGTGTCCTTGCCGTTAACTTTGAAGTGCCATTGATCCCCGGGCGTAATGCCTCGCTCTCTTACATCTTCATGCGAGTATGAGTTCTGTACCAATTGAATGGTACGAAAGCCAGTTGGGATAGTGAGTACCAAAGGCGCACATCCCTCGCTGGTCGGGCATAGATCCAAAGATATCGTGATATTGTAAAGTCTGGGTCGGCCAAGGTTGTGAGGATACCACCGCTCAACAGCCAAGTCAGGAATCGCCCATGAAAGTTGTAACCACGTAGGGCTCGTCGTATTTTTAACAATAGACGGAAAAAGGACCGCCTCTGACGTCAGGCCAAGCTCAGGTAATGCAATGGCTAGCCTTGGATTCCAAAATGTGGATGCCGATCGTACGGAGAGAGAAACGTTGACAAGCCAGTCCACCGTCTCGTTTGGAGGTACCGCGGATGATTGTCCGACCTTGTAGATGTCCAGCGATGCCTCCTCAACGAACAGCATGTCGGTGGGAGGAATAGATGCCGATGAGGCGAACACCGCTTCTTTGATGTCCATTTCCAATGCAGTGTTAGGTGGGGAAGCCAAAGTGACGAGAAACGCTTGTTTATATATTCCACTTGGAACAAATGCTGGACCCTTCATTGCTTTGTGAGAGATATACCGAGGATGAACATAACTACGAACCCAGTCCCAACCAAAGTCGCATGGAACCTTGCGCATCCAATACCGAATGCCAGGGAATACAAACTGCAAAATTAATTAAGTTATTCGCGACCTGAAAAAAGGAAGCAAAGTACATCGCCATTTTTTCCAGGGAACGTCTCAGCGTCAGGTCTAGCACTGACATTCCGACCATAATAAAACGCAGATTCAAAGGAAAAAGTGATGTTTCTATCCCGGTTGTCGCTCGATAATATCAAGTCGGTGACGTCGAAAACATATTGTCGAAACTGATTGTCGACCCATGAAACGGGGTGGCCGAAGAGTGTCTGACGATCAAAGGTAAATAAATATGGATCAGCTTTGTCTGCGAAATTTTACGAGCAATGTTCGCAATAGCGTCAAGACCATAGGCAACGAGCAAAACGCTTTCAGGTAACCGCGTTGTCGACGTCAAAGTATCGAGAAAGGGACTCAGATCTGCCGTGTATGTCCAATTATCATAGACAATCCATCGTTGTGTGAAATCTGTCAACGGGAGATGTCACAAATCCATTGAAATAACGCTGTGAGATTGATGCGTACCGTTGATGTCGATGAGTGGATCCGTAATGACGCCCGCCTTGAACAGATCAAGGTGCACCTGTGAAGGTATCTGAGCTGGAATGATGATAGACTTGTTGTCATTCTTCAGAGTCCAATTCAAGTTTGAAAGGTCAAATTTGTCTGCAACAACTCCCCGAAGTGCGATAGAGAATAGGAAGAGAAGAATCATGAGTGGAGGGTAGTCGCTCGATGCCGAACAATTCGGATGTGGCCGTGGTGAAATGTTTCAAGGTTTCTCACCAGCGAGCTCTGGAATGTAGCAAACAAATAGCCCTTCCTTGCCATATTCAACTTATCAAGCGCCAACCTGAATCAAAAGATGAAGCACGATTCACATTGGATGACCAACAGAACAAAGAATAAACGAAGCGAAGTGGAATAATATTAGCGTTAAAGGGGGCAGCCTCTGCACAAAGCTGAAGTCCGCGCCCGAGGTGTAGATAAGCATGAGCAACACCAAAGAAATCAAAGAATGAGTGTTCATCCAAATTAGAAACGACGATTCAGGCGGGTCGTATTCCGCCAAAAGTACAATCCATCTCCATCTCCATAGCAGGTGGATGGGGAAAGGGAAGACAGAGGAAGAAAGAGGGCATCAAAGATCGTCCTCCGGATCCCACCTCGAGATCTTATCCAACGGCCGCCAATAGTATTGCTTATACTTCTTCGTCTCAGACCGCTTCGCAGGCCGCGGCATCATACTGCGAATCAACGTCGCTCTTTCTTGGTCTTCGTCCATCTCAGGAACGTAGAACCACTGGGCTTCAAGTGAGCGCCCGGAATCGTCCTACGTTATCAAGAACCGTCCGTCAAATCATGGGGCAACGAAAGAGGAGATATGACGCCACGTACCTTGCCACTACTCTCCACCTTGCCAAACACACCGCCCATCCCGCCTCCACTGAATATGTTCAGCACACGTTTGAAAACGCCCATCCACTCCTTTTCGCTCCTTTGCGTCTTGAGTGAGGGTCGGCTCTGCATGACAGACTTGTAGAGAGAGGATACCGCCAGAGAAGATGCGCGAGAGGTAGCCATAGTTTCAATGAGCATTCCTACGATTTCCCGAGTCTCTGGGTTGTCAGCTGCAGACCTGGCCTCTGCATGAACAGTCGAGCTCGATTTGGGTTTCGACTGGGAGTTAGGATGGGGGGTGGATAACGAGGGGTCGGAGAAAGAAGGGGAGTCCTTCTTGTGAGCTTCAGCCTTGTCATCCTCTCGTTTTTGCTTCTTGGCTTTTGGCGCCGGATCAAGATCGGTTAGATCAGTGTCGTCCTGATCTTCATGCGTCTTCCGACGCTTGCCTTGCTTCTTGATGCTTTCCGATCGCGCACTTTTTGTAAGAGCATGCTTGCTAGTAGACGAAGAAGCATCCTCAACGGTCTCTGTTTTCTGCCTCTTCTTCACTTGTCCATCAGCCATCTTGTCGTGCGTCGAATCCTTCTTTCGTTTTTCTGATGTGACGCTGGTAGTCTTCGCCTCCTTCTTGCGCAGATGATTGTCGTCTTGGGTCAAAGCATCTTTCACCCTCACCGGTTTGCCATCCTTGTCGACATCCATAGTTGTGCCGTTGTCCCTTTGCGAATCCACTTGGATGACAGACATGGCGTCCTCATCCTCAGCGAGCGGCGTAAGTGGCTCGAGCAGTGGTGAAATGGGGCATATGGCATCTTTTGAACTTCCCTGTACAATATTGACGTCATTAGCAAATAGGTCGAGAACGTCGGGCACTGAGGGGTGATTGATAACAAAGGGTGATTGGTTTCCAGTGGGAGCAATGACTAGGAGAGGAGTTGATGGCGCAGATGGCGAAGAAGGGACAGACTTTGTCTTGTGACAGTCTTCTTCATTGATTAACACCTCGTGGCTTGACTCTGCTTCCAGAGAAGTAATCGCCGCTCTGACCGGCATTTCCAACTCTGCGAGCGTGGGTATGGGAGTGGGTAAATCAGAGTGAATTGGGGCTGGGCGCGGAGTCGGTATAGTAGGCTGCAAGATCCGGGTGGGTCAAAACACCAACCAAGACAACAGTAATGGAACTTACCATATTCACATTCATCAGCATCCCAAGTGTGGAGGGCCTGTCAGACGTTTGGATCATGTCATCGGAAGGATCGACTCCACATTCAGCGTTTTCCGCAAGTGTATTGTCTTGCACATGCAGGGTAGCGGAGTGAACTTCTACTGGAGAAGAGGTACCACGCAACGGAGAGGAAGGTGCAAAAACCAAAGGTGAGACCGATCTCGATATCGCTGATACCGAGAATGACATTGGCGAGAGAGGCGGAGATGAAGAGGGGAGAGGTGAAGATGGGGCGCGATAGTCTTGTTCCTCCGGATCAGAGGTGCTCTCCCTATCGCTCGTCAAAGAAGGTAATGTATGCGGTGAACTCGCCTCGCGAACACCTTGATCGGGAAAGGGCACGGTGAACGTTGAGCGTGATGCCTCAAAGTCATCAACACCCGATGTATCCTGAGCGCCGTGGCTAGAGGTTGAAGGCAAAGGTTCCGACGTAGGCCGTGAGCCCATATTCGAGGTAAGTGTTGGCACTCGCGATATCGTTGGGGCAGATTTGCGGATCTGAAGCAGAGCAACCGCAGACGGTTTGTACGGTACGGGATCACTCCTCCAGCGTCCACGCTCCGCAGAAGTCCTGAAAAACGTTGCCCGCAGACCCCCATCACCAAAGCTATACCCTTCGCCCTCATCCTCCTGTTCTTCGTCACTGTCCAGTGGAAAGACGGGGCTTTGGTAAGCCGCGCTGTTGCTGGAGTGGTCTGAGTCCAGATCGGGGAGAGAGGAATCTACCTCCTGATAGTTTTCCGATGGGTCGTACTCCGAGGAGGGGGGAAAGTGATCCTCTCCATCGGATATTGTTTTGTGGCCGTTGGTAGGGTAGCTGCTCGCTGTATGCACAACGGGGTGGTATGGTCGGTCCCAAGATGCCGCCAAATCGTCTGAAAACTCGCTTGAACCACGAAAACGGATGTCTGAATCCACTCGTGAAGCAGATACTATGTGTGTATAACTGTGGGCGTATCTCGAGGTCAAGGGTGTCCTGGGGGGTGACGAGTGTGGTGGTGATGAGGAAAAGTCATTGTAGTCGTCGTAGCTGCTCGACCAGCTCGACAATGAGGGGAGATTAATATCTGGTGTAGAGGTGCGTTTTCTGTGTATGTTGGTGAAGGCAGAAATTGGAGGAAGTGGACTGGACATGGCCGTTGAGGGTGATAAGAGAATGCGTCACGTGCTGCGCGTTGTTGTGTAAACGCGTTTTCATACGGAGATTGAATTCCGGCAAAGCCTCCGATGGTCATCCGACGCGTCAGTCACGGGATTTCCAGAAAGAAGCCTGATCCCAAGAACGCGAGGCAACGAGAAAATCCATGATGTTGGGGTCGGCCAGCGAGTGAGTAGAGATCTGGTCAATGTTGGTCAAGGATGACGGCATAAACGCGTAGAGGCGTATACAACCTCCCCACGAAGAGACGCGATATCGGCATCAGATGACATTTTGTAGATATCTGCGTCAGCCTTGATTGATCTGGATGAGTCAGGTGAGAGCAGAAGGCCCTTCGAAAGGAGATCTGACCAGATTTTAAAGAGTCAGCGGCCAATGAGAAGGTGGTATTGACGCCTCGAGGATGATTATGCGCATCAGGGAAAGAAGGTAGATGAACCAAGCAAATCGCAAGGTATCTCCATTAGATGCCGGAGTCAAAGAAAAGTACCCCAGTCTCCAAAGATAGGAACCGGTATATCGTCAGCCCGGAAAAGTGATATCGATGGCATAACATGAGGCATGACACGCGGCAGGTGGGAATAACACAAACGCCAAAGCAGGCCACGTCAGGATGTGCGCGCAAATGACTGGGAGAATATTAAACGGACTTAGATCAACATTTGAAGCCGTTTAGGGCACTCACCTCAGATTTTTGTGATCTATGAAAGTTTGTTACAGAGGTGGATATCCCTCTCATTAACAGGTCGGCTTCGTAGTCCAACCGTCAAGAAAGACTTGGAACGATATTGCAGTCGTTGTGAGGCGCTTGCGATGGCAGGTCAATGGGCGTCCAAAGCACCCTTCCTCAAACCCACATTCCACCATGCTGTCTTGAGTGGTCGTCGGACATAATTCCAAAAGATCACCTAGAGATGAACTTTAGAATACAGTCGCTGAAAAAAAAAAAAAGGTTACGAACCTTCTACGGCATGGACTGGTGAAAGGCATGTGTCAAGTAGGCCACAGATACTTAGGATCCCAACTGAACGTAAAAAGCCGTGCTCAGACGGTTATAACATCTTCCGTTTTGCGATCTGTAGAATGCAGTAGATAGCCACGACAGTGTTGGTCGAAGGTCAAGCTTTCAAGTTGGGAGCAGGGTACCACTCCGTTTAGGTAACAGGTTCATAATTAGCCGATCAAAGTCCACGTGGCCATAAAAGAATTATGTAAATAAACTGATAACCCTTGACGAAATCCGCTTCAGCTTCAACGCTCTACAACCATGTTTCGTTTGGTGCTCAAGACCCCCTCTGGATTCCCAGAAAAGTGTCATTAGGTACGTTATAACATTCATACGAAAATAATTGCTGGCTGAGGCGATGTTGAATTCTTAAGATTTTTTGGTAATGTAGGTAAGTAATACCAGAACCCAAGTTTCACACTGTCCAACCAAATCTCTAACCACGATGCCGCGTACAGCAGAAACGGCGAGCTTCAAGGTAAGTCTGAGCTACTTCCATCTGAATGCCAGTCCTGATGGACGATTCACGTATCCAGTTCAACCACACGATGTTGAGGGTCAAAGACCCGAAGGTGTCTCTCGCATTCTATCAAGATGTGAGTAGCACTCGGAATTCAAAACAATCTCGCTATAAACCCGTCTACCCAGGTTCTCGGGATGGATCTTCTCTCGGGTACGTTATACCCCTATCTCTCTGCACGTCCGCGTCATTATCCAAATCCTCCCTGAATAGTCAAGGAATTCTCGGATTTTACTCTTTACTTCCTCGCATTCAACCACGATGGTAAAGATCTCACTGCAGAAGAGAAAGAACAAACACGCTTCTCTCGGGAAGGCAAGCAAGCTTCCTCCATCCCCATCCTCTATCTAGCCTCTCTTACCAACCCCATCCAGGCGTCCTCGAACTAACACACAACCACGGAACCGAATCAGACCCCACCTTCCAAGGCTACTCCAACGGCAATACCGATCCCGGTCGAGGTTTCGGACACATCGCGATCACCGTCGATGATGTCGAGAAAGCCTGCGAGCGGTTTGAGCGGCTTGGCGTTGCGTTTAAGAAAAGACCCAGCGATGGAAAGATGAGACATATCGCGTTCATTTTGGATCCTGATGGGTTCGTGTGTCTCCTTTTGTGCTTTCGAATGAGCTGATGGGTTTGCTGTGATGATAGGTATTGGATTGAGATTGTCCCGGGTGTTCTCAAGCTTTGAATGGGCAGTAATCGAAATTGTTGCAACATTGACGTCTTTGATTTTCACGTTGGTTGCACGAACGCTTAAACAGCCGCCAAGGCGTCTATTGAACATTACCTCAAGAATATGATAACGTGTGACTTTCGAGCGCTTGACTTCTCTTTCTTCTTTTCTAGCCATTTGAGCACACTCTCAACGAACGGCATGGCTTCCAGACGCTGCAGCAAAGGCCAGTTTGGTTACGGTCAAGTCAGAAATGCAAAACAGCTTGGTACTGCGAAGGTGTCGGAGTCTTGCATTCTATCAAGATGTGAGTAGAACTCGGATCTCAAAATAATCTCCCCATAAACCCACCTACCCAGGTCCTCGGAATGGATCTTCTCTCGGGTATGTTATGCCCATATCTCTCTACACGTCATTGTCCCATTTCTCAGTGAAAGAATTCTCGGATTTCACTACTCTCCACTTCCTCACATTCAATCACGATGGTGAAGATTCATCGCAGGAGAAAAAGAACAAACCCGCTTCTCCAACCCCATACTTCAACCTCCCTTACCAACCCCATCCAGGCGTTCTTGAACTAACCCACAATCACGGAACCGAATCGGACCCCACCTTCCAAGGCTACTCGAGCGGCAACACCGATCCAGGTCGAGGCTTTGGGTACATCGCGATCAGCGTCGAGGATGTCGAGGAGGCTTGCGAGCGGCTTGAGCGGCTTTGCGTTGCGTTTAAGAAAAGACCCGGCGATGGGAAGATGGGACATATTGCGTTCATTTTGGATCCTGATAGGTTCGTGTGTCTCTTTTTGTGCGTTTCAAAGGTTTTCGAATGAGCTGACGGGTTTGCTGCGATTATAGGTATTAGATTGAGATCGTCCCTGGTGTCCTCAAGCTTTAAATTGCAGTAATTGAAACTGTTAAAAACATTGACGTCTTTGATTTTCCCGTGGTTGCATGAGCGCTTAAACAGCCGCCAAGGCGTCTATCAAGCATTACCTACTCTTGCGAACATCAAGAATTTGACCACGTGTGACTTTCGAGCAATGGACTTCTTCTCTTCCTTCTTTTCTGGATAATTGAGCACATCGTCACCGAACCGCATGGCTTCCAAACGGTGTAGCAAATGTCAGTTTGGTCACAATGAAGTCAATGCATGTTCGAAATGCAAAACAGCTTGGTACTGCGTCAGCCCTTCCCATCCCACTAATGCTTATCGTGTCGCTGATGACTTTGATAGTCTAAAGAGTGCCAGAAAGCACACTGGGAGATCCACAAGCCGCTCTGTCGACCATACTCTCCAAACGAAGTCTGGGGAATCAAACTTCTGTGCGACGCCGAAAAGCCTCCCAGCGCCAGCAAAGACAACAGCGGACCCGTTCCCGGGCGCTTTGTCCACGAACTAGTGAATACCAACCACCCCGTCTTCAAACGGGGCGAGCTTTGTCCCGTCACGGCGCTCTTTGGCATTCCGCTTCTCATCTATAGCGCTGCTGTCGAGAGAGGCATCGACATGCCAGGGCAAGGTAACCAGCCAGCGGTATACCTTCGGATTGAGCCGGATAATGGCTTCGCACCTCCACCGTCAGCATTCTGTTTTTCACCTCAACCCCCGTCCTTGCTTATCCCTTCGCAGATGGCAGATGTGCCTACCTGGATCTGTACGTTTCTTTGGGTCTCAGTTGAAATTGATTTTTCTCACTTTACTTACAGTGCATCGTCGTTCGCCGAGACAAGAAACCTTTGCTGAAAGCAACCCTCGAAGCAATTTACGCATTTCATGGGAAAATCCTCAACGGTGCAGGATATCCCGAGTCAGACGGATGGGCTCCCATTCGCGAGTACATGACGCCAGCAGCATTCCAGTTCTTTTCTCGGGATCACTTCGAAAAGCAAAAGGAAAAGAAAAGAGTCGGTTTCGACCCATTTTATGAGCCACTGTAACTCGAAGAGGAGAGGTGGAAATCGGTTTCCGAACGTGAAATGGGTTGATCAAAGATCGATTTGGGTATAAGTCGTAATCGAGTATCAGAGTCCGTAAATAAGTATGCTCTATCGTGACGAACTACATTTGCAGAGGCAGAAGGTTTCAGTTATATTAAATTGACCTGGGGATGCGTGATGGTATATATACCATTCATCATCGAAGCGGAAGGTGAGCTAGAGAGAGACGACGCCAACGAGCCAATGATAAAAAAGCAGGGAAGATACAAGGAACAAAAAAAGGTCTTACACAGGCTTCCGTTGGACAAGCCGAACACCAGCATTCGGCGGTGACCCACCTTCTGACGACGACGACTCCGTTGACCGTTTCCATAAGCTCTCACTTTCTTCTTTGTCGATGTCTCCGGACGCCCTGGGGTATCTCTTTCCTGCTCGTCCCCGCTCCTTCTCCTTTGCTCGCTCCTTCTCCTTCGCTCGCTCCTGCTCCCGCTCCCGTTCTTGCGCTGCTATCTCCTCCGGGTTCCATGTTTGACTCTGTGCCGAGTCGGTCACAGAGGGGAAAGACAGTAGCGTGCCCCTAGAACTTGCAGGGTCTCCAAAAATATCCCGCGAATCTTTTCTCGAGTTACTTCCCGTTTGCTGCTGATATCGCGCGTACATCGTTGGGGGCGCACTGTGCACATGATGTTCTCCAGAAAGCGCTGGAGGAAGGGGTAGTATTTGTGGGATGCTGCCATCATCGCTTGGAGGTAGGAAGCCAGACGGCGGGGGAAGGCGAGAGTGGGGTGGACTATCCATCCCAAGCAAGTTTCCTTCTGATGCTACCGTGTCCCGTGACGGAACTGGTGGTAGTGGCGGGTATCCATCCGGGGGAAACTTCGGTGATCCAATGGCTTCACGATGTTCATGGGTGGCTCTGTTCTGTCCTTGTCCTAGACGGTCATATGAATGTACAACGTCTTGGCTGTCAAACTTGATCGCCGTTCGTTTGGTTGGGAATGGCGAACTGACCGAAGGAGCCCGAATGGAGGAGGTATCGTCTCTTGGTACTGGCGCATCGTATAGTTGATGGCGCTTCATAGTCGAGAACTCCTGGTCTTGTGATATGCTGTATGGCATGCCGGATACGTGGGATGGCGCAGCAGCGCCAGGGGGTCGAGCACGGACGCCAGCATTGCTGCTTTGGCTCATCCTCCTAATAGTACGTGCCCGAATAATACTGCCCACAGTGCCAAACGATCCGCGCAAAGTGTCCATACCAGGGTCCTCGTACCCAATGGCGCCCTTTTCTTCGGCAATTTCTGTCTGCGCGCGAGCGGCTTGGAGAAGAATCGTAGAACGACGATCCAACTTGGCCAGCTGTGTTGGGTCGACTTTCGACATCTGTAATATTGTGATCCCAACACATATAACCAAGAAACCCATAACAAGTGTGATTATCGAAGAAACACTAGCGTGAAGGCCTTGGAAGAGAACCTTAAAACGAGGTAAGCGAATCATCTTGCGCATGATAAGGACAATACTGACGATCGTGGTGACCATTGAAAAGAATGTAACTAGATGAAGACACTTTTGAGGTGGTGTCCCTGAACAAAAGAAGAAAGGACGAACATATAACGTAGTATGTGGGCGTGACTATGTTGTAGAATTAGCATTACTCCCAGATAAAACACCAAAAAAGCCCTTACCCATAGCTAGAGAGGAAAGCGTAAAGAAATGAGTCTAGGCACCAACGGAGGGGAATGATGCAGCTCACCGGTGTTGAACAATGCAAGCGCAACATTAAGATAATACACCTCCGTTACTGTCAAAACAGAGATGGATTGAGAATGAATTGAAGCCTGACTAATCGCGCGCTTACAGAGCGTAATGACGACAAATACGAGTAAGAAGTACATGAACCAGTACTTGAACTAAGAGGGGTCAGCCACAAAAAGGCGAGAGGCGAAGGACACGTACCTGGTTACTACCCATTGCTGTTGTGACAATGGCGGCGCCGAGACCAGTGGTAACACTGACAGAGATCCCACCAATCATGCTGCACACAAAAATGTACCACAGCATGCTCTTCTTGCCATATCTAGCGTGGCGTCAATATGAAAGACGAATGAAGATATTAGGCCATAATTTGACCTTGGTGCGAAGTAGAAGATGATTACAAGTGACGCCGTTATGAGAACGCCGATGTAGGATAGGAAGCCTGGTGCCAGGAAGAGCTTCTGAAATTCACGAATTTGGCCAACAGAAGACTCTTGCGGACCTAAGGAGGAGCGAAAATCATGTTAATTACGCGTTCACAGTCAGGTCCACGAGGAATTTACCGTTAAGCGCTATAATTACAGATCCAAGCTGGTTTCGTTGGTTGGTCGAGCACAAGAGACGATGAACAACAACTCACAATGCATAGTCCGCAACCTAACCATCCAAAGAAACTAAGCTTCTCCTTCAGAAAAACTGATGACAGGATAGCACAAATAACAACAGAGAGGGCGCCGAGCGGAGTCTGCGGAAGCGAATTGGTGAGAGTTGGCGCAAGGACAAGTGGCGAAGTTCGTACAACAACAATAGCTTCAACAAATGCGTAGGCTGTTGAACTAGAGATTAGAGAACTGGAATAAGCCTGCTGACAAAGGGCGTACCAGCAAAGTTACAGAGTTCTCCGACTATCATCACTAGCATTGGGGATTCAGGACTTTAAGATTCTTTCATAGGCACAGAAGCACATACTGCTCATTCCTGTCCACCATAATGGCTGGAGACACGTCAACCATGTTCTAAAACGTCACCACGGCAGTCATCCTCACCGATTTCAGATAAGCAACACCTTCCCCGAGCTCTCCGCCCGCCTGCGAGCGAAGTAAACCCTTCTTCTTGAATACAAAACTTGAGCCAATAAGCACGCCGCTGGTGATAGCCAAGATGATTCCGACGATCTATTGCAAATGAGCTTCTTTGGTTAACAAAAGGAGGCTGCGCCGCACCTTGAGGTTGCTACCAGCTGAGATAGTTGAGGCCGCTGTTGATGTTGCAGCAGCTGCAGCTGACGTTTCTGAGGCTGAAGCGGACGACATGAAGCGTCGTCGTAGTCGGAGATGAAGAAATCTTTCAGCAAATGGTCGTCTGTGGAAGGCACGGTTTAAGGCAATGAGTGGAGGCCTCCGGCACTCCGTACATTTCGCCGAGGTGTTTCCAAAAGTGGTAACCCTTTTGCCGCGACTTGTCGCAATCCACCACAATCACCGCCAAGCATAGCCAAAAGACTCGAATAACAACAGTACTGGTTCAAAAAGCTTCTCAATAATTACAACAAGGGTTTACGGCCTGGATTTTTGCACACATCCCATCTCAACGTTTTCAGCAATTCACACGCAAGGTTCTCCTGCCAAGGCCGCCAAGCACTAGAGTAATGAAATATTGCGACAACTGCAGACAGAGTGCAGAAGAGTTTGGAGTCTGCGAGAGCGTGTCCGCGAGAGTGCACAGGACTCAGGCCTCAGGAACACGACGCCGTCCAGTATAACGGCCGTTGCGGTGCGCAGCAAAGGCTGTGATTGTTGAGCTGATACCATCCATTAGTCATTCACACTGTCAGAACCCGTTAGTTTTTTTTACTTCCAAGTCTTACAAATAACAGAATTTGGAAACAAGCATAATAGAAATGCCAATTGAATTAGAGATGTGATACAAATTTTACTACCTATGAAATCCATCAGACAGACGCTGAACTCGCTGGCAAATCTCTCGAGAAACTTTTTCAAGTTGCTTGAGAAGACGAACCAAACGTCCTCGAGACTTTGCTTGCGCAAAGCCATGTTCTCGGTATAACGAGGCAGCGCGGAGGTCATCGAGTGGATTTGAAGATGCGGCATTTGTAAAAATGCGAGACTCGGTCAGTTTCTGTAAACAGATCCTGTTCGAGTATGTTCTAAAGAATCGGTAAAGAGGCGCGCCAGCTTTATATATGCCCGCTTGGTGGTCCGTGCGCGAACGGTCACGTGTTCGTCATTTTCACACATCGAGAGGAAGCATGCAGTACTTGCACACATCTAATAATCGGCCATGCCCACATATAATAATTTTGCTCAGGAAGGCGGAAAATTAGGTGCTAATTCAAAAAAATAATGCAGCCGATGACAGATAGTTCCTTCATCAATTCTCATTATTTGATTCGTCCTAGCCTCGTAGTACATGAGATACTCAGTCAGGTCCAAGAAATCCGAGCCCAGAGTCCTAGCCGGCCAATGGTAGATATTTAGATGCTCACTCTATTGGTAGGCAGCTTGAAATGACGGTATGCAATCTAGACCACTCACAAGATATAAAAGTCAGCAACTTGCGCTGTCCAACGAGGCTTCTATCGACATGTTGCCTACTAGCCGGTATGCCTATGAGCTCGGTATTTGGGTCATTCTTTCTCGTCAGTCTGACAAGTTTTTAGCAGTCCAATGGGAGCTAATTTTTTGGGGCGAAGTTAATCACCCACCTGCCAAAGAGCCAAATTACAAGTGTTGAGCTCTTTCTAAGCCATCAGCTGAAGCGGCTGGCCTAGATTGATGAATTAAAGGGACCCGCCGGGTCCGGAGTAGTACGCAAGTTAAGGCCTTGAACCTTGGAAACGGGATAAACGCCTCTGGAAACTCAAAACATTTTATTCCCAACTTGAAGACCGGTCTTTCGACAGTAAGCGAGATCAAGCAAAGACAACGCAAACTGTGACAAGGAGGTCGCAAACTGTCGTTTAAAGATCATCGTCGGAGCGTACCAAAAAAAAACACAGTCGCTTCTGAGGTGGGAAATGATAGCCACTTTGAAGCCTGTTGAAGACAATCAAGAAAGCACTGGAGGTTCGAGAGTCCGAGGAAGGTTCTCGAGACAGTAATAACAGATGCCTGATTGTTTCGTAACTGGCCATAAAGCTGAGTTGTGAAAGTCCCGCCAAATAATTCGATATGTGATCACCCCGAAAGTAGTGCGCTCAGTTCGGCACCGGAACTATGTGACAAGTTCCATTGCGGGGTAGCGCGGAGTAGACTTTACGGTTGGTGGTGCCAAATTTGGCAGTGCCTTTTCCTACCTACCTGCTACCTTAAGGGCCATTAACCGAGAATTAGCACAAAAGGGCAGGATGATACTTACTGGTCACCAGTTTATTTTCTTTCGAGTTTCTGGCCAGTTGCAGATCAGGGGCATAAAAACCAGACAATTTTTATAAAGAAAAAGCAAACGCCTTCATGACATGATGTGACGTTCAGATCATGAAAAGTGGCTGTGAGTATGTTGATTGACATCTATAGAGTCATAAGTCATGGCTGTCGGGAACCTTTGGAAGTGGGATCGGAGGTAGCAGTGCCTTGACCACGTGATCGACGGATGATATAATACAACATCCTTCCCGATTCTGGTACCCACCATCCACCACCTTGCCGCTGCCATCCTTTGTGCTCATCGATCTCGCCAACGACTAACTATACATAGCAGCCAAAACATAAATGTCTTCAGATTACGAGTTTTCTGATGATGATGGCGACTACTATGACGATGAGGAGATGCTCGACGGCACTCAAGAAGGTAAGAGGAATTACTCCGCCGTTGTCCGGCGTTTACTGATCTAAATCGCGCCTCATCAGAGGAATCGGAAGACGACATGGATATGGACGCCTTTGGTGAGGACTTCAAAGTCGTGCCAAAGGGGAAGCACAAGGCATACGAGGTCGAATATGACTCTCTCAGCCAAGCTGCGGTCGAGAAGCTTATGAAGCAAGATGTAGACCACATTTGCGGAATATTTGGCGTAGATGTGGGCATCTCTTGATCCTCCATATTCTAACGCTGACGGAAAACAGGTTAGCACAGCCAACCTATTGTTGCGGTACATCAAATGGAACAAAGAACGCCTTATCGAAAAGTACATGGACAACCCAACGACTATGCTTGTCGCTGCTGGCGTTATTGTTCCTGAAGCCTCCTCCCAACCAGCTCCTGCGCCGATCCGGACTCACTCCTCGACATCGTCGTCCACCACACGTCGACCAACACGTGCCACCTCCAAACTCCTTGCCCTTGCCTCTGGTTCGAAATCCGCCAAATCCCCTTCCGTATCTCCTGTATCCCCCACCAGCGGCTTTCACATTCCCAAGTCACTAAAGCCCAAGGTGGAGGAACCCTTCGTCTGCCCAATCTGCTTCGATGACGACACTAGCATTCAAACCCTAGCGCTCGACTGCGAACACACCTTCTGCTTCGGATGCTGGACAGCGTATGTTAACTCCAAGATTCGCGATGAGGGGGAACATTCGATCAGGTGTATGGCAGAGGGGTGCGCTCTTGTGGCTCCCGACCCTTTCATTCGCTCCATCCTTATTCCTGAACCGGGGGCGCCTGTCGGCGACGCCAGCGAGGAAGCCGAAAACAAGAAGACTTGGGATCGATTCCAAGAACTCCTTGTTCGTCAATTTGTTGCATGCAACAATGACCTTAAGTTCTGCCCGTATCCGTCATGCACCAACACCGTTTCTTGCCCCTCCGCATCATCCAAAGCTAGCTTAGCAACTGTTGTTCCTACAGTATCTTGCGGCGCTCGTGGGCTTGGTCCCCAGGCGATGAGTCAGAGTCAGACGGAGGGTGGTCTTGGGCTTTCCATGAAGGAACACATGTTCTGCTTTGGATGCCCTATCGAAAGCGACCACCGACCCGTCGTTTGTGGAGTCGCACGCATGTGGCTGAAGAAATGTAGGGATGACAGTGAAACGGCGAACTGGATTAAGAGCAACACGAAGGAGTGTACTAACTGCCAGAGCACGATCGAGAAAAACGGTGGTTGCAAGTGAGTATTTTGTCTCGTGTTGTTGGATGTCCCTTATGCTTTCCATCAGCCACATGACTTGCAAGAAGTGCAAACATGAGTTCTGTTGGGTGTGCATGGGTGATTTTTGTATTGTACATCTTCTCCGATGTTCTTCTTATAAGGTCATCAGGCCCTTGGAGTGAACACGGCACAGCGTGGTACTCCTGCAACCGATTCGACGAGAAGACAGGCGTTGACGCCCGTGACGCACAGAGTAAAAGCAGAGCTTCGTTAGAGCGTTATCTCCATGTGAGTATCCTTTTCTTTCTGTCGCATCTGTAATCTAACTTGGGTTCCACTCCAAGTATTACAACCGATGGGCAAACCACGAGCAATCTGCGAAACTCTCTTTAGACCTTTACGCCAAGACAGAGAAGAAGATGGAAGACATGCAGATCACGTCAGCCCTTACTTGGATTGAGGTACAGTTCATGAAGAAGGCTGTGGAGGAGGTCGACAAGTGCCGCATGACTTTGAAGTGGACGTACGCCATGGCGTATTATCTGGCGAAAGGCAACCAGAAGGATCTGTTTGAAGATAATCAAAGGTTTGTGCTGACGCTTTTACTCTATGAGTGCTTACATGCTGACGTTTGATCTTTACAGAGATCTAGAAAAAGCTGTTGAGGATCTTTCAGAGCTGCTGGAGTCGCCTATTGAAGCAGAAAATATCCCAACCCTCAGACAGCAGGTCACGAATAAGACGGTATGTTGGCGCCTACACCTTTTCCTTTTGAGCCATGATTCTGATCTGCCATCACATACAGGTGTACGTTCAAAAGCGAAACGAGATTGTTCTGGAGGACACTGCGAATGGTTTCGTTGAAGGCCGGTGGAAATGGAATATCACCGTAGAAGGTTTCGACGACCCAGAATCTGATTGAACACCTTACTTACCCCTCCCTCCCCTCTCTTCGTCTTTGGAGTCCACGCACACGTCGAAGGAACGTGTACTTTACCTCCAACTCACTTGATATCGCGTATTAGGCTGGGTGACCTGTCGTTTGAACTATTGCTTTCCTGTCCTCCAGCTCTGTTTCTCCTTAGCGTACCTAAACACTTTGTCTGGCTCTGTGGATGTGGGCTGGAAATAATTATATATTTACAGGTGGTCAGTGACTAGTGAACGTTTGAACGTCGAACGTCGAACTTACCAGCTTGTTGGGAATTTGGATGTTTGTTTGCCATCAACGGGTCATTGAAATAAACTGGAATGTAAGTCTGATCACGTGCGTAAATGGCTCTTTCTCTTTGGAACACCTCGATGTCTCATTGTCTGTCGTGGTTATTGCAAACTATGTATTACAGGTTGGGTCACCGCCATTATACTCAAGTAATGCTGCGATTCCCACATCTGGTGATTGTAGTCAATTCTCTCCGAGGTGCCCGATAAGGCTGCCACTGTCCAATCACTGTCAACTCTCTGCCAGTCAACTCTCTGTCAACCAAAAGGTAGTTCTTGACGTCTATATCTCGATTTTCCGCTCTGTATATCATCGGATCGAAGTAGAGTCGCCTTCTGCTTGGCCATCCTTGGACGCACTGGTATCTTGATCAAAGTTTGTGGCCTTTGGCGCACCGTTTGTGCGACGTCGGGGGTCTCGGGCCAATCTAAGCTGTCTGAATCTATTTCGAGAGCACATGGTTGGCAAATCGAACGTCGGTGCGTCATTAAAGGCCAATTTCCTATTCTGTGGTCGATGGTCGTGTTTGTCGCTCGCCAGCATCGTATAAGAGCGAGAGAGAGGCCAGTAGAGAAAATTAGGATTCTTGCTCCCTGCCCGCTATTCCCCCGTCCGCTACCCGCCTACCTCCAATTCAAAAATGAAGACCACTCTCTTTTCTCTTGCCCTTGCCTTCCTAGGTGTAACAGCCAACCCCACCCGGCGTGCAATCGACGGTAATTCTTGTCGTGGACCGATGGCCATTTTACTTACATCACCTCTTTTCTTATCATCATAGATGACACCGTGCTCAATTTCGCGTTAACTCTTGAATATCTCGAAGCCGACTTTTATGCCGGGGCCCTCAAGAAATTCAACGCACAGGCTTTTGCAGCCGCCGGTTTCCCAGCTTGGGTCCATGGACGCTTCGTGGAGATTGGGCAGCATGAATCTGCTCATGTGGAGTTCCTGCAAAAGGCCTTGGGGTCCAAGGCGACTCAAAAGTGCTCCTACAGTTTGTATGATCTTTCCACAGTTCTGGGGTTCCAGAATGCTAAACATATGCGCGTATTCTAGCCCGTACACTGACCCAAAGTCGTTTGCGGCTCTCAGTCAGGTCCTCGAAGGCGTCGGTATGTGGTCTTTTTATATGCCCTTTCGATGATTTTTATTGAACCCTTCAATTTTTAGGCGTTTCCGCATATGCTGGTGCTGCCCAATTTATCAAGAACCCCGATTACTTGACAGCTGCAGCCAGCATCCTTCCCACAGAGGCGCGTCACGCTAGCTGGATTGCTGCCGCCGTCAACAGTTTCTCGCCCTGGAGCGGACCTTTCGACGTAAATCAGGCTCTCAAGTTCGTTCTTCAACAGCCTCAATTGACTATTTTTTATCTAGGCTCCTCTCGGATTGAGCTCAGTGTATCATCTCGCCGCAGGCTTCATCGTTCCTGGTTCCTGCCCTTCTACGAATCCCTCGTTCCCTGTCAAAGCGTTCCCATCCTTATTATTTGACAAGGCTGTCCCTGGTTCCACCTCTGCAATCACCTACGACAAATCGGCTTCCAATAGCGATCAAGTTTACGTCGCCTACTTCACAGGTCTCCAGACGTTGTTCGAAAAAGTGACTAATGGGCACGTCCTAGTCCCCTCTAGTCTCTCAGGCCAGGTATATGCGGTGGTAACGACGAATAGCAAAGCGGCCACCGACGCAGATATTGTTGCTGGACCTGCTGTCCTTGTCTTTGAGAGAGATTCCAAAGGAAATTTGATCAAAGCTTAGTAGCCCACATTGTATCGTTTTGTTCTTTCTTCCTATGTGGCCAGGACATTTGTAGACTCGCCGTAAATGACAACTATCTTCTAGGGTGACACACTCCTACAACTAGAGTCCAGAAGCAAAGACAAGATTTTGTTCGTGTACTCGGCTCAAAACTGAAATTGTCATTTAAGGACAACCTAGTTGTGGGCTGGCGGGCGAGCCAAATCTTAGGTAGACTGACAATCATCATACATGTGCATGAAACTTGACCCAGGTGTGGGGATTTGTTGAACGGTGGACGTATATGTACATTTTTTATATCTTTTTCTAGATCTGACCTGACGGGCCCAGAGGTGGACCACCAGGGTTGCCACCATTGGGCGCCTGCTCTACTGGCTTCATCGCGGGGAAAAGAAGCACTTCCTTGATATCTAGAACAGCGAGGGGTCAAAGACCGTTCATGAAAGGAGTAAACTAGTGAAGACGTACTCGTCGAGTCGGTCAAGAACATGACGAGACGGTCGATACCCAGACCCCAGCCACCTGTTGGGGCAAGACCGTGCTCGAGGCTGTAAAGGAAGAGACGTCGATAAGCGGACTGGAGTGTATGATGAACAACTTACGCGTCGATGAAAGTCTCATCAATACCCTGTGCTTCATCATCACCTTGCTCTTTCTGCCTGACCTAAAGAGGAGCAACAGAATCAGATTTCATGCAGGGGACGGGTAGCCAAGGTATATATATACATACCTGCTCCTCAAAACGCAACCTCTGCTCGAAGGGGTCGTTCAACTCCGTGTAGGCGTTGCAGAACTCCTTCCCGCACATGAAACCCTCGAAACGCTCACAGAGACCTGGGCGTGAACGATGCCACTTGGCGAGGGGAGACATTACTTGTGGATGGCCGACTAAGAGAGGTATGTATTAACTTAGATTCGGATTGATGTGAGAAACGGCTGGCTAACCGATGAACGCTGGAGAGACGCAAAGAGGTTCGATAAACTCCCCAACGAGCTGAGATGGACGTTAGTCGATTAGGAAAGCCGTCCATCGAACAATCTACCATACCTTGTCAAGCATCCGAGCGTTGGTGCGAGGTTCACTGCACTCTACGTTATGCTGATTTTTTTTGCTCTGTCAATATGTGCCCACAACCAAAGAAATGACAAACCCACCTTGGTGCACAGCTCCCTCAGCCACTTGTTCGTCTCCTCAGTATGAAGAGTCTCGCCAGGGGGGAACTTAACGCCAAGCTTCTCCTCGAGCGTCCCAATCATATCATGCCGCTTCCAAGGCCGCTTGAACTCCAGCTCGAGCTGTCGTGCGCCCTCCTGACCCTTGTTCCCATCGGGGTGGTATATAATCTTGGTGCTGCCACCAGTCAAAGACACAACTAGACCCTCAAGCATCGCCTCGGTGATATCCATGAGATCCTCCATGTCGGCATAGGCCATGTAAAACTCGCAGATGGTAAACTCGGGGTTATGTGTCAGGTCGATGCCTTCGTTTCTGAACACCCTTCCAATCTCGTATACGCGGTCAAGACCACCGACAACGAGTTGCTTGAGGTAAAGCTCTGGCGCAATGCGAAGATATAGATCTAAGTTAAGGTCGTTATGATGCGTGATGAAAGGCTTTGCAGTAGCACCTCCAGCAAGCATGGATGTCATGGGTGTCTCGACTTCCATGAAGCCGAGGTTGTCCAAGAAGCGTCGGACGTAGTTAAGGATCCTGCTACGTGTCTTGAACAGGTTACGAGTGGTCTCGTTGAGAATGAGATCAAGATAACGCTTGCGATAACGTGTTTCTTGGTCCTTCAAGCCAAAGTGGGATGAGGGGAGTTGGTGAAGGTTGGGAGCAAGGAGGATCATGGAGGAAGGGCAGATGGAAAGTTCGCCCGTCTTGGATCGCGATGGGGTGCCTACTACACCAACGATATCACCTCGACGGAAGTGCTCGTGTGAGGCAATAAACTTCTCGGGTTCGTCGGCGTCTCTGATGGGGTAATCAAAAATATGTTGGAAAAAGAAGCGAAGTACTGCTCACTGTTGTGTAGCCATTATCTGCACCTTGAACCCTTCGCCGTGCAAGTCGTAGAACTTGAGCTTTGCACCGCTGGCTCGGATATTGTGAATACGGCCAGCAAGACCCTCAACGGTTCCGCTGAGCCTTTCGCCAGCAGGAAGTTTTCCTTCGGCGCCGTATGTCTCAATGTACGACTGGATTGAGCGCGTTACATGAAACTTGTGAGGATAAGGGTTTGGCGATTGGGTTTCCTTGAGATGTAGGATTTGACGAGAACGCAACTCGTAGTATTGCTAGACCTAATTATTGAGCGCTGACTCACAAGCTCAAATTGCATGACTCACATTCGGATTGAGCTCTTCCTCGCTAGGCTTTGCCTCCGCCTTCGTCTTGCCGGCGGCTGGGGCTTCCAGCGCCTTGCTTGCCTTGCTGGCTTCCTTCGCTCTTTGTTTTTCACGGCGCTTAAGTTCCCTTTATCGCGATCAGCAAAACAAGAAATAATCAGCAAAACAACAACGTACTGCTTGGAAATCATCTCGCCAGTAACAGGATCCTTGTGGGTGCCTGTTGATTCTGAAGCCATGGCTCTATAGTATACGTTGTAAAAAGGTGTTGTAGGCTGTCGATGACGTTGACGATGTAATGGTAAAGCAGAGAAAGATCGAAGAAGCCGTATCATTCACTTTTTTGACCTTTGTCGATCAGTGGTTTCGATTAGGAAATCTCTCGTGACTGGTCATGTGTTTTGTTTACACGATCACGAGATATCGTGACTGCTTGTTTCCAAGTCACAAAGTCCTTTCGCCAGTCTTCTGTACCTCAAGCAAACCTCAAGCTTCAAGCACGCCTTCTCGATGGCAAGCAATCAATTGGTTCGTCTTTCTAAATCGCACGCACCCATTCACGTCCTTCCACCCGACATTCTCTGCGAAATCTTCATGTTCTGTGTCTTCAATCGAATCAACGGTTATTATCCATGCGTTCAACCTCGTGCAGGCGTGCCTCCAATGGTTTTATGTGAAGTGTGTCGGCACTGGAGGGCCGTTATGTTGTCTGTGTCCACGATATGGGCCTCCATTTCAAGAAGGGATTGTAGGCATCCACAAAAGGACCTACCACTATATAAAATGTGGCTAGCGCGTTCCCGTCTCGCGCCTCTTTCCTTGGAAATCTACGAACTCCAAAAGAAGTATTCGGTCTCTGTGGACGAAGTAATCTCCCTGTTCATTTCCGAAATTCATCGGTGGCGATTTGTATGGCTACAGCTCGAGAAGCGAGATCTGTACAATCGCCTCCTAGATATTCCGGATAATGCGGCTCCCATGCTAAATGGGATTGCACTGAATTTTCGGTCTACAAACGATTCGGACATTTCGTCAACCCTCTCTCTAATCATTTCCAAATTTCCTGAACTCCGACAACTCTCGCTTACAAGTGCTTCAGGTTTCAACAGTTCAACGCCTGCTACGATTGTCCCTTGGCAGAAAATGACACACATTAAATTATCTTGTCTTGTGAATGTTAGTGATTGCCTTCATATTTTGGCATGCTGTAGCCTTGCAATCGACATATCCCTCGAATCCTTTATGCCCCCACTCGGTCAATCGACGGAAACTACAACAGATTCAATCTTCGTTCCCTGCCTCCGCTCCATAACGCTACGTACTTTTTTTTGTGATCCCGCCCTTCTCCTCCGTCATCTCAGTCTCCCTGTCTTGACTCGATGGAAATTTTGATTCACCAGCCTGATGAGCACCGCGACTATATGGTTTTCAACGAGTTCATGCGCCGAACGCCGCAGCTTAAATACCTTGTCCTTGACCATTGGTTTTTTGAAGTTAAGCATGCACTCAGATACTCCAACCTGGAAGCTGTACGTCGCGTTCCCGACGTCTGCTTCAAGGTATCTGAGCGGGCATATAACCGGCTGCGTAGACGTGCTGACATGGAGAACATGGAATTCAAACTCGACCCCTTTGTACACCGCCATTACGTCGGATGGACGTCCCGACCTGACCTGGAGCTTGGTGATGATCTCCCCCGAGATTGGAAGCGCGCTTTTTGGGATTTATGACGAAGTTGCCAAATGGTCAGTAACCGTTCATCACATCCTCTTAGACTGAATGGTTGGGCGAACTTTTTTAAATGATGAAATTGGGGATCTGGGGCCCTGGGGGTAGGCTTCTCAGATGGTGCGTTAGGTGCAATGATCTACTAGGCCGCCGGTGCAATGGCTAGGAGAAGGTGGCTTGCCTTGTGTTTTTTTTTTGTGTGAATATTAGATGGTTCTGGAGAGGATTCGTTTGATCATGATACTGCTGGGGTGCACATTTTGAGGGAAGAGGCCAGGAATTCCCGCTGCGGTTGGTGGTAGTATTTACCTTTCCACAAACATTCAAATCCCGTCAGAATCCCGTCTTTAGTGCCAGTTAGATTGTCAATCGCACAACTCGAACGTAAATATAGAATTCAAGGATAAAAGAATGCTATGGAGTTGTGCGCGGAAGTGGACGAGTTGCAGTTGTGCGGAAACAGTTATTCGAACGAACTGGTGGTATTTGCACGCCTTCCTTATACTTACACGGGTTGCCCCACATTTCTGCAAGGATGATACAGTAGATATATAATGATGGTAATGTCAGCCTCATAGTAAATGTTACACGCAATACGCTCCCCAAATGCCACTTGCCAAACGGAAAAATGACGGTCTTATTCATCTGCACACCGACAATCACAATCAGCTACAGGGCAAACCCCGCGTGAGCGTTGACTGCCTTCGCCCATGAACCACTCCAGAATATGTGCAGCGTGTCCTCCATGTCGGCACGTCTGACAGATGACGATGGCTTCCTCGATGGTATCTACGAGAAATGCCAGGCTGTCAGCAACGTCACAAGATATCGTGGCAAAACAGCTTTACCTTTGTCCTGTGAATATCCAAGTTCAATCTCACGAGCGGGATCATGAACGATCCCCAATGTCATCAAGCAGACCGAGCATCTTGGTAGAGCGCGATTACAGTTGGGACATGCAGTCGGCTAAGACATGGTGGGTAAGACTGTGGAAATGAAGAAATGTCTTCTTACCCGTCCTTTTGTCTGATGCGCTGCTAACAGTATTCCAGGACTGTTCACAGATTTGTTACAGTAGTGGCATCGGATTAGGATTTGCCTTGGGACCCATTCTTCTGGCGCCATGTCACAGCTCTGTCTAGCCTCTGAGAGAAGTTGGCCCCTCTCGATGTCAAATCCGACTCGATGGTGGTGCAGTTTGAAGCCATCTAAAAGATCGCGGTACGTTTCAAGCCACCTCCCAGCTCGTCTGTCCTTGAACTTCTGGGGACATACGTAGGAACTCATGATAGCAGCCGTTTGTACATCCCCAGTGCAATCCACGTATGATTGCAGAATGTCAAGTCCAGAAGGTGTCAGGCCAGTGACAATGATAGCATCAATGTCTCCGCGCAAGCATGCACGTTCCGTGGTTCGGCGTAAGTAAGACGAGAGACTTTTGTCTTCAAGGAATTGAAAAGCGATAGCCAGACGCTCCTGGAAGGGTATGACTTCCTCCTCAAGGACCTCAGACCAATCGCCCAGGGCGAGGTGTGTGAGCATGATACGGAAGTATGGATCATGAAGTCTGACAATGAGTCGCTCGCAATGCTCTCGCAGCTCCACACTCATGTTCCTCGCCGTCCCAGATGAAGCTTGGGGAGCAAGGGCCGCAACAGTTCCAGACATCATACGATTGGATTCATCTGCAATAAAGATGGCTATAAGTTTGGAGTAGACTATGCAAGTGAAGCTGACAGACCATCACTTCGCATCAGAAGATCCACCGCTTTGCTATATTGCTTTGTGAATACCAGCCAACAGGCTGCTCTTGAGAATTTGCCTTCTTTCTCCCACCTATACGTCGCAAGGGTAAATCGACAACACAAACGAGTCAACGAAGAATACGTACTTCTTTATAGCAGCCTTCAACTCGTCCTCTCTCAAGCTCCATCCGCAGAGCTGTAAAGCAATCTGCCTTTGAACCAGTTTGGCTGTCGCCACTGTAGGTTTCCACGATGAGCGATCTGCGCTCCTCCTAGATGCCAACGTTGCTAAAGCAGCTTGCCAATTTCCATGAAGATCGTCTACTGGCGAATGACTTCGTCTAGGTGTTTGGCGTTCCTGAAGCACATTTCCCGAACTACTAGAGTAAGAAGGATGACTCGAGAAGCCAGGCGGAGGGAGATCAAGAAGAAGGGGCCGAAGCCCGGCAACTGGAGTGTCTTCTGCAAGCAGCGGTTGTGACTGAATAGCCATTGGTGGGATACCGTCCCAGATGCCCTGCAGGCCTTGATAGGACAGGTCATATCCGTGCAGTCTAGGTGTTGGTAGGGAAAGAAGCTCATGAGAATCTTTGGTGTGATATCCATTCAACTGATGGATGAAAAAAAAAAAACACCAGAAACGCACGCAATATCCAAGCCCACAGCTCCGAAAGTGATTGAGTTGATCCATCTGATAGCTCATGGTCGTCTTGAGTAACATGCATGTTGTTTTGAGGCTGAAGCACTGAAGTAAGAGACAGAGCATCGGACGCGGTGCAACACCAACCTGGCTGAGCCCATAACCTCGAAGCACTCTACGTCTCATGATCATGGAGATGTCTTGCTCCACAATGTGATTAATTCCCTTGGTCTTGCCCTCCCGTCGTCCTTTATGTTTCCTGCGTGCAGCACTGGGGCTAGAATCTCTCCCACGACCTCGGCTCTCAGCTTTAACTCTTTGAACAGTAGGAGGGGGAGAGAATGATCTTCTCCGGGACCCAAAGTCGTGGCGCTCTGTATTCCCAAGCTTCCTCATTGATGCGGGACTGTACGTTCTTGGTTTTTCAGGTCTAGTTGCTGACAATCCTGTTGGGGTGACAATGTCGCCTAATGCAGGGAATCCGTCATCATCACCTCTGCCAAATGGAGGTGGGGGAGAAGGGACGACAGGCAAAGGTGCGATTATATGTCCAGATTTTCCGGCTCGCCCACGGCGTAGGGATTCATCCCTAGCCAGAACAGACCTGGAACGAGAGGTGTCTTTCTCGCTAGGAGCGCTGTGCCTGTAAGACGATTGTTTGACGGCCTCCGAATCAAAATCATCTTCAAGTGCTTCGTCTTTATATCCTTCTACGACTTTCAGATCAGCACCAGACCCAATCAGCAGACTGCCTCTGGCACTCCAAGAAGCCTGTTTCGGACTATCATGGACAACATGGACTTCCAGATCGCCCTCCTTATTAACGACCATAACGTTGGACGTCAGGGGATGTGAAGAACCAAGATTTGGAACGAGCGCAAATGAAGCCAGTGGTCGAGAAAATGTTTTGGCTGGGCAAAGAAATCATCAGTGTTTATGAGAAAAATCAGGCGGTGAAACTTACTTCTACGAGTGTCAGTAAGGACCCAGGGCGAGAACCCGCTCTCAGAAGATATAGAAGACTCTCGTGTGAGAGACTGCTGACTTTCGCTTTGACGATCTGCCGTCGGCCAAGGCAAGTTCGCCCATGACCGCCTGGTAGTCGCCCTGCTAGATTCTCTAGATCCCTTATTGTCCCCATCTGACGACCCTCCACCTCCAGCGCCGCTTTGGGAAGGAACATAACCCCTTGCCTCGGCGAGATCCCAGAATCTCACATGTCCAGAGTCTCTCTCTAAGGATGCCAAGCATCCTCGCCTCGTGCTGGAGAACTCGATGTTGATATACGAGGAGCCCGTTCTGATTCTCGCCCCATCAGCTGTGGCGTCCCTTTCTGAGAACATGAGGACTGGTTGTGCAAGTTTGCGAGCGTCCCAAACTGTGATAGCACCGTCTCCGAAGCAGGCAATTCGATGAGGGTCGAATGGGTCGGTTGCCATTCCCAGAACCTTTGAGGCCACATTAATTATATAAGGTGACGCAGTCCGAAGGTCGAATAGGCGGAGCCATCGATGAGATATACCTGCTAAGAGCAAGTGCGTAGAGGCAGGGAGAAAAGTGAGGGATGAAACAATTTCGGTTGGCGCATGCTGCTGAAGGATACGGGAGTCGATGCGCGGATGGTTTTCTGCTCGAGGAATCTGCGGTTGCGGACGGGATGGAAAGCGAGAGACGCCCGCGGGTAGAACTTCATCCGTATTGGAGGCCGAGGAGAGAGAGAGCAAGGGTGATGTGGAAATGATGTCCCAAATGACAAGACTGGGGTCTCCACGGACTTTGTCAAGGCCAACTGCGAGATAATTGGGATCAGCGTAGCTGAACGCAAGCGCGTTACAGGCTCGTGAGTTGCGCACGGAAAGCGAGACGGAAGGTCCGCTTGTCAAAACGCTGTTTTGACCTGCTTGCTTGGCTGCCTCGAGTCGGATGAGGTCGACTTTGCCAGTGCTCGTCCCAACGGCGAGGAGATCTTCAAAGGATGGGTCTGGGGACCAAGCAAAGCACTGCAAACAAACGAGTTAGTACTGAGTATTTCAATGCTTTGTCCTCAAGCTCCCTGGCTCCTGCATCCTGACCATCATCCTCTCCACGAGACACTCTCACCTTCATAAATTGCAAATCATGTTGAGAGGTTACATGTCTGATCTTTGGAAATTCAGAAGCCCACTCGTATAGGGTGATTTGAGAGTTTCCACCAACGACAAACTTATTCTCGTGTCGTGGGTGCCAGAGAAGGCGTTTGTCTAGTTGAACCATCGTTACTGAATTGGGGGTCTGAGAGCTCAGACTCGAAGTTCACGCCCAACTCGACGCCTGCTCAAATCAATGTTTGGGTAAATGAGTAATCGGGGCACCGTTAAGATTTCTTAACTTACTTTCCGGTGAGAATGGTGGCCCCAGCAAGCCTCAAGGGGCATCGTTGGATGGTGTTGCAGTGACAGGAATCCAGTTCAAGTTTGGTGCAAATGTCGTCGAACAACATTGTCAAACTACAGCAAACCGTTAAGAACAATAAACTTTGTTCAACGTCCGCTTCGATTTCCAAGACGTCACACACTAAAACACCTTCTTACAATGTACACAATACAAAAAGAAAACTGGCCACCTCATTCGACTTCTATCTGAACCCGCCGCTGTACTGGAACACTCTGATAATGATCTGGAGGAATTCACAAGAAGGCACCCGAACCTCACGTTCCTGCGGTCAAATTACCTTGGAAGTGGGCTTCTCATCAAAGTCTTTCCACTTGATCAGTGTGAATGCAGCGTCGGTCTGGTGCAACATCTTTTTTAGCAGAAGTTTGGTGCTCGTTTAGGTGCACATTTTACCTTGCTGGTCCCGGACTCTTCACGCTTCTGCTCAAATCCTGCCCAGTTGTGGGGCGCCACAACGGCATCGCTCTGCAGAGTGCACATCAGCACAGTTTGTGCGATGTAGGGATTTTCTTACCTTCGAGGCTTCTTCACGCTTCTGCTCATATCCTCCCCAGTTGTGGGGCGCCACAACGACATCGCTCTACAGAGTGCACATCAGCACAGTTTGTGCGATGTAGGGATTTTCTTACCTTCGAAGCCTCTTCACGCTTCTGCTCAAATCCTCCCCAGTTGTGGGGCGCCACAACGGCATCGCTCTGCAGAGTGCACATCAGCACAGTTTGTGCGATGTAGGGATTTTCTTACCTTCGAGGCTTCTTCACGCTTTTGCTCCAACCCTCCCCAGTTTTGGGGTGCCGAAACGGCGTCGCTCTACATAAAGCGCATAAACATAAACTCTTTGAGTGATGTAGTTCTCTTAGAGTCTCACCGTGGCAACGTCGCGCTTCTCGAATTTGGCCCATTGGTTGGGAGGCTCGACCTGATCGGCCTGCGAGAGACCTCAGCCCCGCTAGACTAGTCATGGACTGGAATTGGCCCTTACCGTGGTTAGCCCAGTGGGTGCAGCAACAACGGCGCTGGCGAACAAAAGAACGGAGATGACGCTGGCGAAGGTCTTCATGGTAAGAAATCGCAAACGACTTACTTGACCATTCCTGCATCCAGTGTTTTATAGCTATCTCACCCCCGTCCTCATCGACGAATTACCTTGATTCTAAAGCCTCATAGGCGGCATCCCCCCCGTTTGTGTGCTTCTCAATGCCACCTTGTGTCCCCGGTTATTGGTTGGGCCGGATACTCCTGACGCCTTGGAGCGTTAAGCTTGCTACTTTCGACGCACCACCTCTCCCGTGATATGCCTTGTATAGTCAGCTTAGACACCGCATGACTAGTTGATAAGCCGCCGTTATGAGGTCGGCCCCTACGCGAGGCAGGAGGTAGGCCAGGTCAATCTCGCTCATGGTTCTCTTTCGATTTCAAGCAGCTTCTTCGTCTTTTAAAGAGGCAACATGGTCGGCGAAGGTCAGGTGGCGTAATATGGATGCGCCCATCATGTTAGAATCGAGACTGAGTGGCTTTTGCTATTGGAAATGAGCAGATAGTAGCCGTTGTGTTACCTTTCGCATCAAAGCTTTTCACGACCACGGGAGCCATTATTACCCACCAAGGTGTTGTCTCCCGAGGATGACGGGGATGAATTGGATTCTCACTATAGGGGCCTAGTTCTCGCTCATTTTGGTTTATCTGAAGGCTTTTGAAGTTTACAAGCCGCACATGCTCACATACCCTTCTCCTTGAACCCTCACTCCAACACCATGGAATCGCGCATGTACGAAGCCGTTCATAGGGACTCGCTCGAGGACGTCGCATTCATTGGAGCTGAAAAAGGGACCGACTTCAGCTTCGTCTCGCCGTCTCCATCCAACAAGACTAGCAGCAAACTCAAAATATTCCTGCTCGCCCAAGGCGTGCTCAACTTGACTCTCATCTGGCTCTGTGCTTGGCTTTTCGTTTCTCGTCACCCCAGTGCTGGACAGACCGTAAACCCTCAGATTTTGTATTGTGCGTAAATTGGAATCATTGGGTCGCCCACCTCAGCGCTGACTCCTTTCGTCGACGCCAGCTCCTGCGCAGGATGCTATTGAGTACGAGACGAGAGTATTCCACGAAGGTTTTGGCAAAGATAAAAGTATATACCAGCAGCCACCATCCCCCGAGGTTGATGAAGCTTGGGACGAATTGTACAACTGTAAGTCGGACGGCCTGACTTACAAGGTCTGTGCTAACGATTACTTTTTTTCGAAATAGTTCCTGTCACCAGGATCCCCAAGAGCATTGCATCGAATCTTGTCAACAAGACATATCGTATTCCAGGCGACGAAGAGCACTATGTCATCCAACTCGACGTTTTTCATCAACTCCACTGCCTGGTTTGCAAACTTTCTCACCTTTTTTCCTGATATATATCATGTAACCAAATTGTTGCCAAATTGTATAGAACATGCTGCGCAAGGCTTTCTATCCCGAATACTATCCTACTACCGAAGTCTCTGTAGGCCCAAACGCAACAGAAAACCATCGCGTTGAATTGATGCACTGGGGTCATTGTATCGAGAATATCAGGCAATCCCTGATGTGCTCAGTTGATATCAGCCCCATTGTGTGGCAGTGGGTCGATCGGGTTCAGGAGGTTCGGGTTGTGGGGAATATTATCCACACTTGCCGCAACTTTGATAAGGTTCGGGATTGGGCATTGAAACGCCAATTGACGCATGAGCTGAATTTCGAGGGATTCCATTGATGAAAGAGTAAGCGTCGTAGACAGTCCACTTGTGTGTTGTGAATTGACCCCTTGTTTGTAAACGAGCTATGGGATTTTAACATGTTTCGAAAAAACACATCATGTCTCAAAGGATCCATTATTTAATTTGATGGGGTAGATCGGTGTCCTTCTGTCTTTTTTATTTTATTGTGGTAAGCACACACCGAAGAACAGTTGTTCTGACTTTGAATTTTGGCATTTCTTACGCTTTGCGTGGGGTAGGAGATACGATAGTGCTATTGTTACAAGTTTCGTATGAACACCAGGTGTAAGTATGAGAGACTATTTGCTACCAAAGGACTTGATCGCGTCCCGAATGACGAGACTGGGAAGTGGTTTCTTATCAGGCAGAACCATCTCCGCCTTCGCCTTGGAACTCATCAAAACATCCTTCGAGTAATAATCCGACCAGAGGTTACCATCGGCAACATGCGGATTGATCAACAAGAACCGAGCGAAGTCGTCTGGGGATGGATGGTACACCTCGGATGGTAAATTTTCTGGAGGTGGAGGCATGTTTCGAATACCAAAGTGGACAATTTGAATCCAAAAATAGGTCATGGTGAAGTGGAACGAGCGCCCCTTTGTTTCAGGGCTTTGCGTGATATATCGTTCGATCCCAGTGAATATGATATCCTTGCCTAAATGTTGTGTTATCAAAGGCAAGAAATCAACAAAATGAATCTCACCTTTTTGGCGGTCATACGTTGTGAGGACGATGTACGCGAGGCGGATATGGGTATAATGATCCCATGCGGGCAAGCTTATCGCCTCAAATTGGGTCAAGAAATCTGTGGGGGATGAATCTGATTCCAGTCGATGTAACCAGGACCCCAACTTCTGAGCAAGGGTGCTGGGCGACCGGGCATTGGGCAAGTCTGCAGAGGTGATCGGTTCGGAGGGTTTGATTGATTTGGATATTTCCACCGCAATGTGTAACCAATCGAAAGCCTCGGGTAAACCGGTGGGCCCATCGAGTATAGCTTTAGTCTTGTACACGGCCGCCAACCGTCCCGATATTGCCTTGGAGAAAGCAATCCGTACACCGTCGAGTGGCATCGACTCGGATTGGTCCCCTTTACTTGCGAGTCTATATGGAAAAGTGTAGTTAGGCAAGCAAACGACGAATAAGGACATTTGAAAAAAGCTCACATTAAAACAGGGATAGTCTTTGGCGAGTCCTTCTGCAGGTGATCTATGTCGGAAAGGACATCAGAAAGGTGTTGAACACTCTCCGCAAGTCGCTCTTTATCACAGCTGTCCACTACCCAAACGAGAGCCTCTGAATATGGCGTATAAAATCGGAGCATCGAACGCATCTGTCTCGGACCAGCACACCCTCCCCCGACGTCCCAACCTGTCAACTTGAACTTTTTGCCAGACAGGATAGGCACCTCGACGTTCTCGACATTTAATCCCATACTCGGAATGGTCGTTACTATTTCTCCCAGCCTAAGGAGATATAGCAGTGTGGTTTTGCCGCTGTAGTCGAGGCCTCCGATGAGCACTCGGGGTCCATAGTCCGTAGGGAAGAGACGATCGATGAGATAGCGAATTCCGAAGGACATGCTTCAATTTTTGAATGAACCAAAAAGATTCGGTCCTTTATAAGGATAGGTAGGCACCGCAAACGCCACGCCTGAGAGGATGGAGGCTATGTGTCCAAGAATTGAGTTGACAAGGATTGACTCCCCTGCAAAATCGACACAGCCGCCACCGCAGTGGTCATCGTGGCGGGCTCAACGTAGCTCCTCTTGAGCGTGTAACACGTTGCATCGACGATGCGTCAGACGTGTACCCTTGAGAGAAGAGAAAGTTGTTTTGATTTGTTGTCACGCTACACGCTTCAAGCTTGCTTCAAGCCCTCCTGACCTCCTCCCTCCTATAAATTATCAGGCTTCTTCTGAATTTGTATAACCTCAACGATGAGACTCTCTTCAAAAGGGCAAGATGTCACGGAAAAGACGAGTTTTGTCTCCCCGACAGACCACAACTTCTCCTCAGGCACGCTCTGGCTTCGCGCGAACGCGCCGACCGCTGCTTCAACCGATCGCGCGACTGAGGTCAAAGTATACATAAATTTTTGAAGGACTAATCGACTACCTTCAACCTCCTATAACCCATCTCTATAATCCCCCACGTACTATTCGCATTTGTCCCCAACCCTGGAACGAAAACGTTTCGGCCGCCGCTCTCTGTACCGTTTGCAGTGTGCACGTTGATGGCGACACTCAATTGGTATATGCCGAAAGGCGGATGCCCACTGAGCCGCGCAACTTTCGGTGCAAATTTGAGGCCCGAGGGTTGCGTCGGGTTTTCTGTTGTGGAGTTGGCCTGTTTTTCTTCTGGGTCACAAAGCTTAGGCTGACTTCTTCATCTTTAGTGTCCTACGGTTGGGATTACAAAGGGCGCCAATTAGCGGAGCCAGATCCCGCGTCATCCAATAGTACCACACCGCAATCTCCACAAGTATCGCCAAGTACTTTCATCCCGTTGGGAGCGGATGTCGTGCCAAGTACTTCTCTCTGCTGCCCCAAAGGCTTCCCGTTTCGAACTGTTTTAAAGTCAGTCGCTCTTACTGCACCTAAGCATTTCCAAATTCACGCGTGTTTAGAAATGAAATCAATTCAGAAGCTGTCATGAGTAGCTGAGCCAGTCTAATCGTTGTGAAAACCTCTCTTCCAGATCCAATTCATTGATTGGCGCTGGCATATTCATGAAACATAACAGTGAGGTGCTAAATGGGCTCCCCTTGATTGTGAATTTCTGAACGTCTCCAAGGTCGACAGATCGATCGCCGCTGCGTGTACTTAGTATCATCCAAGTGATCACATCCGGGTCTACCACTCTGACGTTGAACATCAGGTGGGCTTTGTACCAGGACCGAAAGCTGATGCCACCTAGAATAGTCTCGTGCGGCAGGGTGTTTCACTCTACAGGCTATCTGGTAAGTGGAACTGTGGAAGAGGAGACGCAGGAAGCTACCGAGCTGAATTTCTTTGAACCTGAAGTTGTACTTGCGGCCTGTCGTGAAAAGAGCAAGCTGGTCGAAGAAACAAACCCTTCTACTAGTAGTAGAGAGACGAGGGTTATCTCCTCAACGACTTTCTCTAGCGACACACGACATACCAGTCTGCCAAGCTTAGCCAAGGATGCGAAGCTTAGCCAAGGATGTGAACGAACTCCTGCAGGCTTCATTATATGTAGGCCGTGTCACTTGTCAATGTCACAGTGAGAGTATTCCCCGCAATGGCCTGAATTAGGTTCAGGGCTCGAGAAACAGGACCCTCTTTCCAGCATATATATACAAGCTATTTTTCTCAACACCAACAACGGCATTCTTCTATCGATGATAACTTCTATTACGCCTTTTCTTCTCGTTTTCTTTGCCCACGCAGCTCTGTCCGCTTTCACCAAGACCGCTAGGTCAGGACAGGATTATGTCGAGCCCAATACTGCGGGAACTTGGTGCTATTACCCGGGCACCAATTCCAAGATCGACGTCGCATGTGTTGGGAACAAGGCAGAGTTTGCGCCAGTCATCGACGCGCACATTTCGCAAGGGGTTTCGATCAGCTACTACGGCGCAGACCACCAGCGTCTGGGAGGCGCTGAGTACCCTGTCAAAACCACAGCGGGCAAGGTGTACCTTTGTCTGAGTGGTCGCGCTGGGGATGGGACGTACAAGACGGAGTGCGAAATCTCCACGGCTGATAATCAATTTGGGCTTCTGTCGCGGTGCGCATTGGCAGTGTCGCAGAAAACGGTGACGGATGGATGTTACGTTTCTGGAGTTGCACCAACCCCTGCGAATGCCACTTCCAGTGCAACTGGGACTAGACCCGCTGAATCGGCGGGTTCAACAAGTTCTGGAACTGCGTCAACACTCAACTCTGCTTCAGGTAGGTATCTGAATTATTTTTCATGAAACCACCTGACCTTTACCATATCCCAGCAACCCACAAGAGCTATGCTCTTGGGCTTGGCCTGACGACCCTCGTCTTCGTTTTTCTGTTCGTGAATTAGTTTACAGAAGGTATTGTACATGGTTGGGATAGGGCCTCTTGGGATTATGAATCGTGAAAATACGAATTCTTATGGTTGATGTTGTCCTCTATGTATATGTAAATCATAGATATTCTCAGAGCCGCTACAAGATTTTCTTCGACGTGGCGATCGTAGTGAAGTTAAACAAACTCGGGAATGCGACCTAATGCGAATGCTAACACTTACACCAGAATCGCATCCTTTTTTTTTCGCTTCGATAGTGGTCCGGTTTTCATTCATCATCCATAAGACCCAATCTGGATTCTTTGTGCGGTGAAACATCTGTCCAATAGAAAAAGTAAGCATATGCCGTAGACTGTTCAGTGCCGTTGCGGATTTTTGGTCCAGAGTTGGCGATTCGACAACCGCTTCGCAGGACAACAATTGATATTTCACAGACGCTAGATACGACGATGAAACTGGGTCCATTTGGCATTGGTAGGCAAAATGCTGGGTCATCAGATACAGCAAGTGAGAACGTCCACCTGATACATTTATCGTTTTTAATAAAAAGGCGGTGCTCACTTCACTATGCATTTACCTCAGGCTCCAAGTTAACGGTGTCCACTTTGGTAATGACGTCGGCCTGGTGCAGCACTTTTCTCAGCAGAAATTCAGTGCTCGTTTCGGTACACATTCTACCTTGCCGGTGCCGGACTCTTCACGCTTCTGCTCAAATCCTCCCCAGTTGTGGGGGGCCCAAACTTTATCGCCCTACGGAGTCACGGTGCACGTCAGCACAATTTATGCGATGTAGCGATTTTTTTTTACCTTCAACGCCTCTTCACGCTTTTGCTCCAACCCTCCCCAGTTTTGGGGTGCCGAAACGACGTCGCTCTACAAAGCGCATCGACATAAACTCTTCAAGTGATGTAGCTCCATTAGAATCCTACAGTGGCGACGTCGCGCTTTCCGAATTCGGCCCATTCATTGGGAGGCTCGACCTGATCGGCCTGCGAAAAACCTCAGCGCCGCTAGACTGGTCAAGGATTGGAACTGGCACGTACCAAGGTTGGCCCAGTGGGAGCAGCAACAACGGCGCTGGCGAATAAAAGAAGAGAGATGATGCTGGCGAAGGTCTTCATGGTAGAAAATCGCAAACGACTTCCTTGACCATCCCTGCGTCCAGTGTTTTATAGCTATCTCACCCCTGTCATCATCCAAGAATTACCTTGACTCTAAAGCCTCATAGGTGGCATCCCCCCTGTCTGGGTGCTTCTCGACGCCACTGCGGCCCCGGTATTGGTTGGGCCGGATACTCCTGACGTCGTCGAGCGTCAGGCTTGCTACTTTCGATGGACCACATCTCCCGTGATACGCCTTGTATAGTCAGCTTAGACACCGCTTGACTAGTTGTTCAGCCGTCGTGATGAGGTGGGGCCATCAAGGGGCCATGCAAGGCAGGAGGTAGGCCAATCCTGCTTATGGTTCTCTTTCGATTTCAACCAGCTTCTTCTTCTTTTAAAGAGGCAGCATGGTCGGCGAAGGTCAGGTGGCGTAAGATAGATGTGCCCACCGTATCATATTGTCTTTTGATTGTCTTCTATGTATATGTATATCACAGATATTGTCAGTAGCCGACAGGACGACGAGGCTACAAGATTCTCTTTGAGGCAACTTTGAGGTGGCGATTGTGGAGAAGAAGTTAAACAAGCTCGGGAACGCAACCTAATGCGAATGCAAGACTCACTCAGAATTCCTTTTTTTCAATTCGATACTTTTTCGTTCATTGATCATCTATAAGACCATCCTAGATTCCATATCCCGTCGATGTCCAAGGGTGACATATTTTTAAAAGGGGGCCAAGCATAGACTGGTCAGCACGGGTCCAGAGAGGATAATTCAACGACCATTTCGCAGATTTTGGGCGAACAAACCTCGTTGTACCTTTGGAGTTTCGGCGCCAAGGCGGAGTTTGAACTGACTAGAAAGAAGGAATTACGAGGAATTATCAATCATTTTTTATTGAGTATTTTACATGTAATTACAGCCGTTTTCATAATGATAGGCCAGGCTCCTAAAAGCAGCCGCTCGTCTCGCGATGCTATCGTACTCAGGAGGAGAACTAAATATGTGATGGTTATATAATCTGATGGGGAAGACCAAATAAACAAACCTAAGAACGAAAGCTCGCGAGAGAGCGGCTGCCGGAAAATGTACTCGGTGAGCTCGGACATCATTGATTAACCCTATTGTTGGGTCCCAAATCCAAGCTATGTAATCAAAGAACCAGACACGTCACATTTCGGTCACGAACACTGTCGATGGTTGGCAGTAGGTGCGTAAGTTGTGCGTAAGGTCTACATCGAGGTTGTCGGAGGCATACAATGTGAGGAGGATTCTCCCAAGCTTGCGAATGTTGAAGCTGGACTACTGAGAAAGGTAGGAGACGGCGTTACTGATAGTTGACGGTGATATTAATACCCCCAGGTGTGCGAGGAGCTCTAGAACCGCGTCTGGTGTGTTACACGCGTGAAGGAAAAATCTTGGAGTCCTCTTCGGAAGGCATTCGAGATACATTTCACTTTGTTGAGGTGTGGTAGATTAGCCATAGGGTATTAGGTCTCTTTTTGTAACAACTTTATTGGCTATACATATATAATTTTGAACTTGACATGACATCAGTACACATTGACAAGTATGTAATTCTGCATTCCGTAGCCTCTCCTCCACTGCCAGATGTTCTTGAGAACCTTTGAGCCAAACCGGCCCATTGGAGGATCTGTCACGAAGGCCCAGAAAGGCCTTCGGTTTGGGACCCAACAATAGGGTTAATCAATGATGTCCGAGCTCACCGAGTACATTTTCCGGCAGCCGCTCTCTCGCGAGCTTTCGTTCTTAGGTTTGTTTATTTGGTCTTCCCCATCAGATTATATAACCATCACATATTTAGTTCTCCTCCTGAGTACGATAGCATCGCGAGACGAGCGGCTGCTTTTAGGAGCCTGATGATAGGCCAAAAGTTCAAAATTACAGATACAGTCGGACTTCAAATTCTAACTATGTCCACAAAAATCAGCATATATTTCAGGGATGACGAGCACGATAGATCTACAGTTATACTAAATAGAGTCATCATCCGACAACTTACACGTACAATTTTAGACTCCGCCTGTATGTGTATTTGGTCGGGATTAGGCCTATGATCTATCGTTATGAAAACGGCTGTAAGAAATTGCTGGTAGTTGTAGTTGTAGTTGTAGTGGTAGTTGTGCATGTCTTTATCAGATAACTGTATGAAAAATTCTATAAAAGGCCAGTCAGAAAATTTGAACCTTTCCAAAAATTTGAAAGAACGTTGACATTTGACTATCCGGCGAGCCCAAAAATAGCGGATTTGGGGGCGCAAATTGGGCAAGAACTTGAAGCCAACAAGCAAATTTTTTGAGAATTCACGTGGAGCTTCCATTTGGGGCAAATCACCTTGTCCGAAATAATAGATTGCGAATTTGGGACAGGCTTGGTTCGGCCGACCAACGGCCGAGGCCCGACTGTCATCGCAGACTTTCCTTTGCGGAACGACTCGGACTTTTACATAACGTTGGCTATGTAGTCACTTTGCTCATTGCATTACAGTGTTTTGCATGTGAGATTGGAATCCAAATCTCACGAAAAGTTGTTTGTTCTTGTATTAGTTGTAATGTGTGATGTTGCCTTCCTCGTGTCACAGCGTTGAACGTTGAACTTCCTCTGCCAGAGCGCTCTTAGTGAAGGTCACGGGTAGCCGATACAGGATCTAGTCTTCCGACTAGATCCTTTTTTTCTTCAAGTGGAGGAGTCCCCTCCCTTGGAACTTGCTTGGAACCCGCATTTACGTCGATGATTGAATGTTGAACGTTGACTCCCATCAGTCACAGACCACAAGAACAAACAAGTTTTCGTGAGATTTGAATTCCAATCTCACATGCAAAACACTGTACTTCAAAATCACGTCAATTTGAGCATATCTGTTATGTATGTCTGTTTATTTCACCGAAGATATCCTGTGAACGTTCCTTCAATTCATATTTCGCCTGACTGCCAGTGCCACTAGCCAGCTCACCAGCTCAACACCAATTTTGAACATTATGGTAACACGCAGGGTGACATGTTAGAACACGAGGGGAGCAACAGGCGCATGACTTCCCGCAATAATGATCTCCGCATTTTACGTGGGGTCGGAACAAAGTTAGCAGTTCTTTTGAGAACCGATAACTGAGGGTGGCTATTCCACTGTTATCTATACGATCCAGGCCGCACTGAACAGGAACAAGAACTTGTAGATTCGGAGGAAATTGAGGTTCACAATCGCACATATAACGTGCCTCAGCATGCTCCTCTACAGACTGATCGATCATATCGATCAATCACGCCTGCAGGCTTCATGCCGCATCATACATACATACATCGATATACCTGCCCTCTCGGCTCTAAAAGCTCCTTCCCCGCACTCTGTGGTTCATTGCGAGCCCCAACTTGACTGCGATTAAAGCAACCATTACCGGCGCAATCGGTCATCCCTGATTCCCGACATTAACACTCTAATTCCAGAGGCTACACTGACTATGTCGCCTACACCGCTACCTCAGGAACTCATCGACCAAATCATCGACCATTTACACGATGACCCACCGGCGTTGAGCAGTTGCGCACTTGTTTGCAACGCCTGGCTTCCTCCGAGTCGCCACCATTTCTTCGCCAAGATAACACTCAAAGCTATGGCTCCGAACGGTCCAACGTCGTGTCCACAGGAGCGCTGCAAACGCCTATATTGGCTTTTGATTCGCTCTCCGAAAATCATTCCCAACGTGCGCGAGTTAGAAGTCTGCGAAGGATCACCTTATCCTGGCCCCCACCCTGACACCCGCTCAACTACATGGGTCACAACGGAACGCACGCTGCCTCCGTTGCTCAAACTCCTCACGCACTTGAAGCGATTGGATTTTTCCGCCACGACAACGTTTTATTGGAAGACGTTACCCCCCACTTTCCAGAATGCCATACACGCCGTGCTATCATTACCATCACTCACTTACATTCGATTTCACTCATGGTCATTCTCAAATTTCGCATCCCTCGCATCCCTCCTATCACATTGTCATACACTTAAAGGCCTTGCGCTTTCATCCACCACCGTTAGCGATGATGCAACAGTTGATCAGGAGGATCGTTTGATTGAAGAGGACGAGAGCGCCGAGTCGCAAACCCCTCGCCTGGAAGTCCTGACTCTCGACTATGTGTCGATGGGATACTTGGGGCACTGGCTTTTAGGACAGAGTTCGCCCATGGACCTGTCATCTCTGCGGGAGCTACGCGTCTCGCATTTCCCAGACGCCTCGGTTATTAAGAAGCTCTTGTTGGCGGTGGGAGGGGCGCTGGAACATTTCCATCTCAAGCCGGGGACTTGGCCTGGTAAATTACACTTTACTACTGACCGGGTTGCCTGTCACTCACGTATGCTCTTCCGGTTATTCGATCAGTTCAGTCCTTTGACCTGGGTCACAACTGTGGGCTGCGTTCCATACGTCTAACGCTTGACGTCGTTGATACCGCGATAGACTGGGCAACCACCCTGCTATCAAGTGTTACATCTCGCAACGCGCTTGAAAGCATCGGTCTAGAGTTTTACGTTGATCTGAAAAGGCTCGAAGGGTGGAGCAGCCTTAGCGCACTTCTTGTGCAACCGGAGCTTGCGTCTCTACAGCAAGTCGAGATCGGACTCTTTGCGTCCCCTACCCACGCGGAATTTATCAAGGTGAAGGAGGAGTTGAGCGGTGTGGAAGATAGGTGCGTGGTACGTTTGTACCAGCTGGGTCTCAAGAGTCAGCGATCAAACCGCCAGCTGACGCCGAGAATAAGTCGTTATGAGGCGTGAAGGGTATTAAATTTTCTCTAATTGATTATGTATGGATGGTACATGTGGTATATATATTTCTATATGGCTCAGACAAGGTTAAGTCCGCAGATATGCTTTCGTATGATTTCTGCTCCCACTGTGTAGCATGATTATTATCCTCCTTTTTTGACATGGTAGCCTGATTGACGCACCATTTGTGATGAGAACATGCGATGCCGAAATGTCCTCCAGGAGAAAGTAAGGATGTATGTCAGCGAGAATAGCTATAGCCTTACAATCATGCAACTAAAATGCTAGGGAATCGATACACAAGTCGTGAGCGTTCCAGGACAGACGGCTTTTTAAACATACTCACAACATGGAGTTCCCTCCGCGAAACGTCGTGTCTACGATGAGCTTGAAGGAAGTGATTTCGAAAATAATCCGAGACGCTTTCGTAGGTGTTTGGTCTGTCTCCATAGCTGGTGATACTAAATATAATAGTGAGCGGCGGCAATGCGAAGTCGGCAAAAAAAGAAGACGCACTATTTTTGGACCTCTATACCAGCCTCGAGCTTCTGCTTTAGAAGGTCGATCTAGTGAAAAGAAGTTCACAAAATGAGCTACCTGGGGTTTCCGACAGTAAGCGCACCTTATTCAGGAAGAGAACGAGGTGTGCATGTCTGAGGATTCTATTAGCACATATGGCGGAGATGAGTTGGAGAGAATGGTGGAGCCGATTAGTTGCGGGGTCGTCTTCGAGGTACTAGTGATAATGGTAAAACAATTATGGGGGTGATGGGTACGAAAGGGTTGTTTTACCTCGTCGAATGCACTGATCGGAGCTACGGATTGGTTGGCGATGTCAGTCAATTTGCGACGAAGTGAAGGAAGTAAGAATACCGAAGAAAATCAACGACGTAGCTGTAGGACCATCAGTTGTGTCAACGAAGGAGAAAAGGTCTTGACCCACCAGCTTCAAAGTATGGAATCCAGGACAGCCGCTAACCATCGACATATTAACAAAATTGTTGTCCACAAGATACCAAGCGCGCTTACCCGACCACACTAGACAAGGGGTTAGTCATGGAGAAAGCAAGCTTTAAGATTAATGGATTCATCTCACAGCCCCGCTGACGTCAAAATAAGTGACGGTATTTATTTTACCAGCAAACTTGACGGCGAATGTGTGTTCCCCAACCCCTAGAGTAGTTAATCGTACGCGTAAAATATCGTCTGTAAATTTTGGTGTGAGCTATCATCGCCAAAAAAAATTGTTAGACAACTATACTGTTCGTAGGAATATAATCCGCTTGAGCTATTTGATCTATCTGTTCCAGGAAGCTAGAGCGCCGAAACCCGTAAGCCCGTGCCATCCAGAAAGAAAAAATTCACTCACTATGATGCCGAATCATCTAGCTGAATTTTCCGAAGCGGTATGTAATTGTTAACGGTGGGATGACGCCATAATATTCCAATTAGAGAGGCCGAGATGCTCAGATATTTCGCGGTGAGGTTGGTCGCTTGTAAAAGCCTCGAGGGCTTTTCCTTTTCTGAAGGAGATCCTTCGTTAGGAATTATAGACTGCTGCCACCCAGGCCGAACGCGAGCCCCTGAAGGTCTTGAGAAGGAAACGCCACCGCTGAGTTCCATAGCAAGTGACTCTTCGGTAGCTAGGAGCGGAAGTAGCTTTCCTCTGATAGCGGCAATCTCCTGTCTTATCTGGCGAGAATTGAACTCGTCCTCATCATCTTCATATGAGAATTCCAAGTCAAGATCCATTAGAATCATGCGAACCGCCTTCAGGATGTTCAAGAACACCGCCGCCCGCCATAATGTGCGTTTATTATCTAGAGCGTCTGGGGCGTAAAGCAATTGTAACTGCTTTATCAGCGTTGATTTGCCTGACGCAGCCGCCGGTAAGTGAGAGGTTACGCGGGTACTTGAGAAGGGAGGGGTTTACCGGAGTCAGGTTGGCCAAACAAGATGACTGGAGGAAGGAAGCCCGAAGACGTGAATATCAACAGTAACAGTGAGCCTGAGTGAGCGGAGAAGCAAACCTTTTACTTCTCGGACGTTTCTTTCCTTCCGTATCATTGCGTCCCTCTGCGAGTCCTTGAATAAGCGCATTCAGATCTTGAAGGGGAAAAGGCAACCGACCTTCAGCTCAACGTCAATCGCTTTGTTCACATTTTGAGCGGCGTTTTCAGGGGGGTTGGAAGAAAGAGACGCCCAGGAACGACGTCGACCGCCGAGGCCAAGGGAAGGGGGAGCAGGCTTGGGGACGGTGAGCGCTGGCATAGGAACAATGGTCAGGAAACAGTCTGTGATCCTTTAAGTCATTTATCTTCACAGAGTCGCTGGTCAGCTCGACCCCACCCGAAACACTTTCCGGGGTTAAATGACATGGTTCCGGTATCGATGACCCTCCTCGAGGCAATAGTCGTCATCAATATCGTAAACTTTCTTCACTCGGGCCGGCGTACCTGCCAGGGTAGTGAAGCGCCAGGTAGATTAGTTCACTGGAAGATTGTCGTTCAAGAGATTGATGTACGCCGATTAATCCGAACGACCTTGGAAGAGTTGAGTCCCAGCAGACGACTTGAAAGGCTTGAAATACTTTGGCCACTGGCTGGATAAAAACTTCGTGAGATGAACATTTGGAACGTTTGACAGGTAGAATTTCTTGAACTGTGAAACGTATCACATCCGTAAGTTGAAGGAAGATTGGATCTAGCAGAAGTTACAGAACTGACTATTGATAGTCTTCCGGGATCGAGCTCGAGTTTTTGTGCTTCTCACTCGGATAAATTTGTTTCCATTCTTTCTGGCGTCGGGCTCGACAATCCCGTCGATAACGTTTCCGAGATCAAGATCAAGCCAGGATTTGTTGTGAAGAGCTTACTCGGGAGCCCCCTCCAAAGGTTACCATGGGCTCAGTCTTCCAACAAACTGATGTTTCTCGTGAGATAGGGAAGGACATTGGGGAGATCAGGGTTGCCTCGGGCCACTGTTCTGAATCTTCTACAATGATTTTTGGGAGATCAGATCTTACACGGTGGGCGAAGTTGATGGAGGGGTCCGGACCACGGCGTCCAGGTTCGTCGAGTCCCGTCTCGGGCAATGGAACGAACGTCGGAAACTGGACACATTCACGTCTGTTCACGTTAACAGCGCAGCATCATTCTCGGAGCAAAACGTACTAGTATCTATGGTTATGTAAATGATGGATCGACGTCGTTGTAAATTTGTAAACAGATCATCGAGCTGGTCATGAGAAGACGTTTTAGAAGTTAGCGCATCAAACACTTTCAAGAAGTTGAAGGCGAACTCATTACGCGGACTCGGACAAGACTCGGATATCAGGTGTTGAGGTATGAGATGGGTCAAATTCAGGAAACAATTTTCGTTCAGAGGGTGGACTCGCAATGCTTCGACATTCCATTATAAGTGACGCGTACAGGGGGCTGGGAAGTAATATCTAAAAGCGATATCCACCCCATAAATGTTCCGCTGGTTTACCCGGCTCTAATTGACAACGTTTCAGCAGTCATCTTACACAATGAGAACTTAAAAGTCACTCACCAGTAAAGAAGAGATAGAAAAGCAGGAAGAGACAAATAGCAAGCAAGATCTTCGAAGGAAGATTGGGGGTCAGCTAGCGAAGTAAAAAGGGGAGTTTATCTCGCTCACATAGAGTAAAGTATGCTTTGCCTTTGGCTTCTCGATTTCAATCATCGCGACATTCTTGCTCAGCTCGGTCCAGCTGTTAGCGTCCACCATCAGTGGGACCGCGTGGTCTCTCTGCGTAAGGTGGAACACCTGACGGCGAGGCAATCTAGTCGGCTGAGGATCGTAAACGCCAAAGTCCTCCTGCAGGAGATCGATAAGTTGCTAAAGTGTGGGATATGTTTGTCAATCGACACGAGTACGAATGAGTCCACAAAGGGACATACCTCGAATTTGAGAACAATGAGAACGTCTTGAGCATATGTGCGCTTTCTTCCTCCATACAATACGATGACCTCAGGCAAGGGCGAGATGGTGGACACATGGGGAACTATAGCTGAGGCCGTAACGTTGGCGGGTTGGGCGGGTGAGTTTGTCGACGTTGGCCTCGCACTGCTATTGCGTTCAGAAGGCATAATGCTGGTTAGTTCGTAATACGAGGAAGGAAGTATCTGGGTGAAGATGTCAGGGAATGGAATTCACCTGGGGAAGATATAGAAATTGGGAGTGGCTCAACCCATGACTTGAATCTGAGTGCATCGCATCCCGAGTGCTTTGTCGAGTCATGAAGTGGGTTGCAACAAAGGGCCTCGTGGAGCCCTATATGCAAGGGTCTTGCGATCAATATTGACCGAGTCAGAAACCTGGCCACGTTGTCGCTTACAACAAAGAGAAAATGAACTGAAAGGATGGAAATTGTCAGACAGAAGATCCCGTTCCGTAATGCACAGCGAACACGGGCCAGCTTCCTGGATACACAAATCGATTTAGAAACGGAATCAACAACATAATGAATAGAGAAGTCATAAGAGTCGTGCACACGCGCATTCCGAAGAGCCAGCCCTTAGAGATGCGAAATTCTATACGTCAAACAAAAAGTCCTCTTGGTCCAATTCGAAAGTGGCGGGCTTGACGATCGACGCCGATTCCAAAGCGGGCTTCGTAATGCCTGCTTTGCCTGGAGGTCGTGCCGTTCCAGTGGCGGTAGATTTATAGGTGGTCATAGATGTAAGCGGTCGTTTTAGGGTGGCTGCTCTAGGGCTCGAGGCAACGGCGGCAGTAGTGGCTGCAGGGTTCCTGGTGGAAACAGGACGCACGATGGGCTTAGAGATGACAGCAGGTGTGGTCCTAGTCGTTGGATTCGCTAACTTTGTAGTTGGTCGAGAAGGGCCGACTTTCGATGCAGTGGTTGTCCTCATTGAAGTAGATGTTGCAGCTCGACTGAGCGTCGGACCGGCAATTGTGGTAAAGGCAGCTGATGGGATACGGGCATGCATGGGCTTTAGAACGGGAACTGGCCGTGCGGCGACTTTGGAAGGCATAGGCTTGGCTGCCACTGGCTTTGAGGGTTTTGATTGGCTGAAGGGATCATCATCGTCTACAGATATTATCAGATACACAAAGCAATAAACCTGCCTGGACTCACCTAGAAAATCAAGCTCCGGCAAATTGCTAGAGGCTGGTTCCAAGTTGGTCTCTGGAATCTCCAAGTCAAACGACACAGGGTCGAAAGGGACAGAGTATGCGAGATTCCGCAATGTTTGTCCAACAACCTTATAATCGGGTAGCTCGAAATCGATGGGTGGCTTGTACGGAAGGTCTAGCTTCCGTGTTAAGTCTTCAAGAAGCAAAATGAAACGCGGGACACACCTAGGGTATTCGGAGGCATGTACTCAATCTCATCAAAATCCTCGTCTTCTAAAATTTCTTGAGGCTGCGACACAGGAACCACAATGTCTCCATCGCTAACATCCCAATGTTTGCCTTGATTCATAGGCGTTTCGAAACTCTTGGTGGCACTGCGGGGTGCACGAACATGCTTCCGCGTCGAACTTGGTCGTTGTAGAGAGTCGGGTGTGCCATTGCCAATACCGTCTTCTTCTTGCGGGAATAACTTTCCCCCTTTCCCGAGCGGGGTGTTGAAATAGGTTCTGGCGCGGTTTACAAATGGCGTCTTATCCGCCAAAGGCCGGGTGGCGAGTACAGTGGGTTTCAATTGGGTTTTCGTCACCGTTGAGTCTTTGAAAAGACGCTGGGGCTCTATGTAAACGCCGATTTAATCACTCAAGCCTTACTATTTGATCATTTACTCACGAATCGTCAACGGTGTTCCCAGATGCTTCCCCCCTCCCAGAACCGTTTTCGCGCCAGGATGGATGGCGTTTTCAGCGCGATTCTTCAAACCGCAACCAGGGGTCTTCGTTGGGAAGTAGGGGGCATCTGTGGAGAGCTGAGCAGGTCGTGAACTCAACATCGCTGAAAGAAATTGAACATTGTGGTTGACAGTAGTCAAGCGTTTCCGAGCAGTGACTTGAATATCATGTGACCGTGCGTGATATCGCCTCGTCCTCCGATTTTCTTCAGAATCACAACGCCAGGAACGAGGCTGTGTTGGAATGCGCTAATTTCCAGCAGAAGTTCATGATCAGAGATGGATTCTCACTGTCTCAACTTCTATTCGTTCCGCTCAATTTCTGACGCCGCTCAATTTCATGCCAGTCAGAATCGGCGCAACTTCTGCCAGTGCGTCGAATGTAAGTATTATCTATCCTCCATCACATTTTGAACTTCCCTTATTCAGAGGGTTCATCACAGAAGGAACAATGTTGTCAAGAGTGCGGTAGGTTTGGTCTTCGCTTGAAGATTGTGTTTAACACAAGGATGATTTAAAGCAGGACTGGAAAAGAGTGCACAAGATGAACTGGGCCAAGAAATTGTCGAGGATGCGTGGGTGTGGAAAGTCTACAACGACGAGGCAACGAAGGCTGATGACGCACTCTTCGAGGCGTGTAATCGAGGAATGGACGTGCTTCTAGTTTTTGTGAGTGTTTGCAATAAACGCGATGGGGTCTGAGCTGATCACGCTCACCTTGCAGACGGGTTTATTCTCGGCTGTGTTGACGACGTTCGTCGTACAATCGTATCAACAGATGCTCCCCTCTTCCGTCGACACCACCAACGTCCTATTAGCGCAATTAATCGCACTTCAGGACAATAATACAAGAACATCACCCTCAGCGCTTCTCTCATCCATTCCTCAAATCGCTTCCCCGACGACGCGCGAGATTCACTGGGTAAATGGCTTATGGTTCGCAGCTCTAGCATGCAGTTTATCGGCTGCGCTAGTTTCGATGCTCGCGAAGCAGTGGCTCGTACCACCAGCCTATGAATCTGGCTCGCACCGATACCGAGCTCGCCAGCGCCAAGTGAGGTATACACAACTCGAGGTCTGGCACGTATTTGCTCTAATCAACGGACTGCCGTTGCTCCTCCACGCTGCGTTGTTGCTCTTCTTTGCTGGCCTCATTGTCCTACTTTGGTCTGGCGACACAGGCATTATGGCAACCACCTTCGTTATTGTCGCACTGGCGTATACATTTTATTTTGGGTCTATGTGGCTTTCGCTGCTGTATCCTTATTGTCCATATCAGCACCCAATCTCTGCACACTTACGAATATGGATGATGGAGCCAAGTTCGTTCCTTTCAATTGACAAGGACATTGGAAGTGGAAGCAAGGAGGTCTTGCGCTACCCTGTGTATGTGCCTTCCTGAGCATGAGCATCTTACGCAAGTTTAACCCTTATTTTGTATATAGGGCGATTCAGCACCCAGCTGAAGAGGTTGATGCAGATGACCGCGTTGACACGGCCGCGTTGATATGGATGCTTCATCGCTGCACCAACACCGAAGCATGTTCAGCAGCAGTCCAAGCGATGGCTGGGTTGCCCAGGGACTTCACTGCTTCACATATCCTTCGTGAAGCTGGAGCAGTCGACACTATCTTGCGGAAATTTCAACTTTGCTTTCAGATGGATTCTACCCACGAGGCACAATGGCATGTTGTGGATCCACGGAGCGCTGAGAAATATTGTCGAGCGTGGATGAATTCAACCCGAGGTACCGGTCATAAGTGGCCACGGGCACTCTTTGAGCCATTGCAAAAGCTCATCGACCAGGATTTCGAGATGGATGTGGCCGCAATAGCGTCGTGCACGATGGCGTTGGCCGCTATGGACAATCGCTGTGCGCAAATGGGCGTCATCACACATTTAGAACATTTTGCAAACGGCGATAGACAATACAGGCAGGCTACGCAGTGTTGGTTGCTTGGGACATTTGTGGACTGTTCCTTCAACTGGGAGCTCGAGGCAGCAGTCATAGAGGCTATTACCAGCAAGGCTGTTCCGATCCTCTTGCGCCTTTTCAAGTCAGCGAAGGCCGCCCCCATGGCCGACGTAAGGTGTGCCATCGTGCTAGCCCTAAGTTCTGTGACTGGTGGCATCCACAACCTGGACACGCTCAAGAGCGAAAATAGTCGACGTGAACGGTATTTCGAGCTAATCATTCCAGCTCTCTCCATCATCGTTCAAGATCCCACGCGATTCGGGATCAAGGAGGACTTGTTGGAAATGGCGGCTTGCGAGCTTTCACACCTTGCTTCTCCCACGTTCTTCAGGGCACAAGTATTTCAACCTGCACTGAAAAATGTCATTCGAAAGAGCTTGTCCAAGCTGTATGCGGACGGGAAGGTCAGAGTAGGTCTCGTTTCTGACCACATCCTCGCGGACGCCCTGCAGATTCTGTTCCCACCCATGGATATATGCTGGGAGAAACGGACTCAATTTGTTGCAATACTTTTGGACACGCTATCCGCATCATCCCATCCTGGTGTCGTTGGTTGGTCTGTTCGGCTTTTGGAGCCTCTGATGGTAGACAGTCCACCAAGCGTAGTTCAGGCTTTCGTTGACGGGAACGGCATCAATGTATTGCTGCGTGCAGCACATATGGGTGACACGGACAGCCGCCGCCTGCAACTAAACTGCTTGAGAACTCTGTGTATTTTCATTCGGAGTAGCGCGGGCGTATTCTTGAGAAAAGAGTACCATGATCAGAAGCAGGCTGAAGCACAGATCGACCAAATATTCAACTCAGACTTCTTCAACACCCTCTTGGCATACGTATCTGAACGTCGCTGGTGGTTACCGGAGATCGTAGATGTTTGGATACCCTCTCTCGTCAGCCTTTGCCAAATACGACCCAGCGATCCAATATGGGGAACCACATATGCCATTTTCCAAAAATTCGCCGATAGCAATGAAGGAGAAGATGGGTGTAGTCGATTGCTGTCTGACTTGAAGACAATTCGTGACCTCCACGATGCTAGGGCAACTACAATAGAGCCCTGCAACCAGAAGGAACTTTGTGACATACGGACGGATCCGCAGAGCGTCACATCTTCTCGCCTCCAATGACAGTGGTCATATGGACATATTATACAATGTTGTGGTTGGAGGTGAATTATGAGAACCTTGTTCGTTGCGATGCGCATTTGTGGCCGTCACATCAGCTTGCTTTGGACCACCAATCGTTGAGATCCAGACAGAGGAGTAGGTGGTACAAGGCATCGATTCCGCCCAAAGGCCTCCGTTCACCGCCTCCTGACACATCAACTAGTGATCTGGAAGACGAAGGACCTTTGTCCACCAAGCCTTTCAGAACCTTAGTCTAAGGTAAAAAATGTAAGGGGCGGTGAAAGTTCTTACGAAAGGAGAGAGTGTACATACCAAAGTCGTCATTTTTGTGCGAAACTTGCGGAATATATCCTCAATCAGCCCTGCAGCTTGGTATTCCTCCAATCGTCCTCGATGCAATTCCCCGCAGGCAACACAAAACTCCAAGACAAGTTCAAGGGAGTTGCGTAAGAGATCACCGACCCCTCTCTGCCCTGACCGGAGCAAACAAGCACTTAGAATATCGTCCAGTAGCACAGAGTGACCACGAGCAAGCTCGAAGACGTCCGAGAACCCATTGTTCTTGCCTGCGCTGGTAGCTGAAACCAGTGTTTCAGGAGTTAAACGAGCAACGAAAGGATCGAAGTTGCCCCGTATTGCGATATCAAACACATAGCTCTCCAAGCTTGAAACAAAAGACTGGGCAACAAATCTGAAATGTAGAAGAAGCTTTCTTGATGCCGTGAGAGTCTGAAAGAACGGGTTGGTCGTTGACCTGCCCATTCTGAAAAGACACTTGAGGGCGCTTTCCACTGAATAAAAAGTTAGCTTCCTATGGAATGAAACAAAGTCTGTGGCTCAAGTACATGCCTCTTAACAGACGCAGGATGAAAGCAAACAATCTTTGGTACTTTGAGAGTATCTCTGGGGATATCAAGATTTCCATAGGACGTGGGGGTTTGTAATCCATATAGAGGAAATCGAGGGCTCTGTGACAAAAAAAAATTAGGAATGAAATGGGCGACAGCACGCTGGAAACGTACTCCATAGCTATCAAGAGCGAATGATTAGAGAAAACCGACAAATATAGAAGAATGGCACGTACTCAATGGGTTCAGCCACTTATCCCTTCCAGGTCCAACGGGTAAATCCCGGATAGCAAAGCCCAACCTCCACCCAGCCTCCTCGATAACCTGTGCCTTCCCACCAATACCAAAGTCCTCCCCCTCCCTCTCAAACGAATCCACAATCACCGTCCTCAAAAAAAAGCTCAAATCAGCACCAACGGGCGGCCAAGTCTCACGTTCCAACAAACTTGGAGACAAACCCACGGCCCAAGGCTGCTGAGGTGTTGTTCCCGCTTTTTTACTGTTCGGGCGTCGCCTCAGCGAGCGTATCGACATGCTATGTGGCCCCGTGTCGATCTCGTACTCCCCAGTGTCGGAGAAGAGGGCTGCAAGAAGCCGGGATTTGAATGAGGGTGCAGTAAGGAGTAAGTACGAGCGTAGAAGGACGAGGTGGGACTGGAAGTTGAGATTCCCAGTGGATGTAATGAACAGGGAGAGGAGGGCAGATGAAAGCGTTGATGCGTGTTTGACGAGGTCACCAAAGACAAGGGAAGTGAGGTGGGGGAGGGTGGGTGTTATTGGGGGAAGAACATCGGGGAAGGAGTCAATGAAGGATCGTAAAGTGCGAATTGATGTGTCCCTGAGAGTGAATGACGAGGAGCTGATCATTGAGCCAGGCTCCAAGTCGAAGATGCTGAATTGTGATAATTCTGGATCGTACGTCTTGGAAGGATGGATTGGGGACAATTCACTAACGGGTTGGTCCACGATTGGGAGTGGTGTTGAGCCATCCCAAACAGTTTGGATGTCTGTAGCTGACCAGAACCATTTAATTAGACTTCGGGAGGGCGGAAGCGTGAGTAGCGGGTGGTCTGGGTGCGCAATCCGCAGAAGAACGAGAGACTTCTGGGCGGCTGGTAACACATCGAGCAGCTTTGAAGGGAAGAAATTCGGGAAAGTGTCCTCAATCTGTTCCAGGGCTTCGAAAATATCTTCCTCTTCTTCATCCTCATCTCCGTCATCATCAATTTCGTATTGATTATGTTTCTCTCCAACCACATGAGATGATTTTCGCAGTGGTCGGCCTCCGAACCCAACTGATCGCCCAACTTGCTGCAAATATTCCTGGGATGCACTAGTCAAGATGTAGGCGAATAGTGCCGAAATTCGGCGCGGTGACTGGCGTTCCAGGTGCATACTGAGATGCTCGTATACGCGAGACAGAAGGGGAACAGGAGAAGAGTCAAATTTCGGGTAGTCTCGCGGTGAGTGTCCCTCGCTCTGATTGAAAGTGGTTTAGCACGTAAGTGGAGAAGATAAAGCGAATGCATACTCGTCCATACAGGTCGGACAGAGCAACCAGAATTTCTTCATAGATGTTATATTGCATCCAAAGAGCACACAACGCCGTCCTCTCTACTGCCTCTTGTATAGGCGGGAGTTTGGCAAACTCCTCTCGTAGGTATGTAAGTGTGGTCGCTAATGAATGAGCGAAAGCATGTATCGTTGGTCCTTCCTTAGCTGATCTGCGGCCAAGCATCAGAATGGTATATACAACGATAATGAGTGAATGACAAACCTCTTCCGTATGCCTTTCAAAAATTCCTCTAGACGTCGCATAAGAGTACCTATCGTCAGAAAGCGAGATATGACACTTTTTGAGATAGCCAGTTAACAAGAGTGCTGGCGTAGAAAACGTTTGATAAACCTGCCGCTAACCACTTCATCTTTTCCATCAACCGATAGATATCCACGCTGGCCCTCCTGACAGCCCACTTGAACGAACCTCTCAGAAGAGGGGCACCATGTATGCAAAGTCGATGAGGTTCCGAGGATGATCATTTTGAGTGAGACCAACAGCCCCTCTTGTGTGACATACGACACGATAATATTGGGATCAGAGAAACGCGGTTGAACGCTGTCTAGGTGTTCGAACAGTACATCCGTGGCCGAAGCTGGAACACTCACTAGTGCCGTGCAGAAGCGAACACGAGGCTAGCTTGTTCTGACAAGAAGGCAGTTGAACTAGCCTTCGATGAATGAGTTGGACGCAGCCGGTCCCATGACAGGGTTCCATTCTGAACAGCAAAATGTCATCTCAGAGAACCCCGATAATCAATAGGAGCTAACAACACACCCTCACGCCCAGTTTACGCGACAGCGCACTCATCCACAGTTTATCCAAATCATCAGCATGGTTGTCGCTCTCAGAGGCGTCAGCGACGAGAATGGCAAGCTCGTGTGGCACACGAGGAGTATCTCTAGGTCGCTTGGGCAAAGACTGATTGATTCTGGCTAGTTTCAGGGTATCCATTATGGGGTTCTGTGGTTTGTCTTCCAAAGGTGGAACGAAGAACCGGGGAAGAATATCTGGGAGTCCTGGCATTGGTGCCGGTTCGTCGTCGAATTCTTGAAAACTGTAGTCCCGCCATATCGTCGTCATGGAGGGAGTTAGTTGGGATGGAAGGTGAGTGGAAAGGCGAACAACGTTTTGGCGCACAAATTCTAAGTCAAGACGCGTCAGGCGCGTTTGACCGTCGCCCCTCAGGCAAACACTCCTCAGTTGACGTTACCCGAGTATCATAAGAACTCATGCAGACTCCATCATCATTCGATTGGATATAGAACAGTGCTGAAGAATATACTACGGTACAATGGTGCATATTATAGACAAAAGTCCGATGAACTGAATGAAAAGAGCAAAGGTTGGATGATGATGGTAAAGACAGTCATGACTCGTGAAAAGAGTAGAGGTCGTCTCGGAAATCCAGGCTGAGAGTAAGATAAAAAAAACTGAAAAAGACTGAAAATAGCCAATCAACCACAGATACCATCGTCGATGTGGAGACCACATCGGGTGCACCTTACTCGGCGGTCTAGAAGACAAAGACCAATGCCCAATGGGAACCAAAATACGGCTGCTAGGATACCTGAAAATACGGCTATTAATAAAGCGTAAGAGGTTCACGAGAGTTCTCTAACCTAGTAAGCCATATCTTGTGTGTGGCACATGCATTCCTTCCTGTAAGCAGATCATCTCTGGATGGTTTGGGGGTAGCAGAGACACAATGCGCTCTCCCGTCCTCGGATTTGTGTAATTGTACACTGTGGGCGAAGGTACCATGGTGGGCTGTGACGTCGTTGACGCGTTGTAAGGCGTCAACGATTGACTCTCATTTGTGGTCGGCGGGGCAACCGCCTGAGGTTTATTCTTGTCCGCAGGGTCTACATTGGACAGATGAGTGAATAAATAACGACTTTTGGGTGCATACAACTCACATGCGTCTGTGGCAACATCGTACGACGGAGGGCTATCTATAAGAGAGTCGTTTGCATTAGCCATTTCTGACTGAATCTGGAGTCATTAGTGAGCGTCATGGGTGGAACCGACGAGCAATAGGGTTGTACCATGATATTGTGGTTGGCGTCAACAATCATTTGCAGTCGCTGTCGCTTATATAGTACAACGTCGGGGAGTTATTAGGAGGAAGAAACTGCGGGGCGCAGCTTTAGCCTTGGAGGCGATGTTGTCCAAATCAGGCGCTGACTACAGCCACGATCATATTAATGTCATGTGATCGAAGACCACGTGTCTTGCGCGTCTAGTTTCGGCATGTTTAAAAAATATTTTTCAGTTCCTTCACCTCTTTCCCGTCCCCACCATCGATCTCCCCCAGTTTCTCATTGATTATGGACACAACCATGACCAACGCCGGACCCTCCACGACCAGCCAAGACGCTTCATCTCCGGATGCCCATGATATGACTTCCAGGGACTAGTGCGCCTCTTCCATTGATTCAGAAAGTATGAACACCTGATTTCGTAAATTTCTTCTTCTTTGAATCCCTATAGCTATGCGGATTCGTATGCCCACTTTGGTGAATATTATTTCTAACGACATCCCGGTGTGACATAGGGAAATTGATCAAAATTTCTAGGTATTCACGAAGAGATGTTGAAGGATTCTGTGCGAACAGGATCGTACCGCTCTGCGATCATCAACAACCCCCACCTCTTCAAAGGAAAGACAGTGCTGGATGTTGGGTGTGGTACTGGTATTCTGAGTATGTTTGCTGCCAAGGCAGGTGCGAAACACGTCGTTGGGGTAAGTGTCTGTTGTTTCAGTATAATCGCCATCGGTCTAATCTCTGCTCGAAGATTGACATGTCCAACATCATCGATCAAGCACAAAATATCATTGAAGCCAATGGCTTCAAGGACAGTGCGTCCACCTTGCAAACCAGTCATTTCTTTTCATGTTAATCGGCACTAGCGATCACGCTCGTCAAGGGAAAGCTTGAGGAGTCCGTTCTTCCCCTACAAGAATTCGACATCATCATCTCAGAGTGGATGGGCTACTTCTTACTATACGAATCCATGCTCGACACCGTCCTCCTGGCGCGTGATAAGTACTTGAAAAAGGACGGCCTCATCTTTCCCGATACCGCCACATTATACCTTGCAGCCATCGAAGATCAAGATTACAAAGACGAAAAAATCAACTGTATGTCGTTCTTTCTCGAGTCTCCTCTTAATGCTCATGGTCTTTCCAGTCTGGGACAATGTGTATGGCTTTGACTACTCATGTATCAAAGACATCGCCCTTCGCGAGCCTCTGGTTGACACCGTCGAGCTCAAATCCGTCGTCACTGACCCGTGTCTTATTAAGGCTCGTTTGACTTTTCTCCTACATTCTCCACCACTGGCTTACATTCCCTCAGCACATTGATCTTCTCACCGCCAAGAAGGAGGACCTCACATTTGAAGCACCGTTCTCGCTAGCCAGTACCCGAGATGACTGTTAGTTTAATCCATCCGACACTCTATGCTTTAACTCACCCACCCCAGACGTTCATGCATTCCTGGCTTGGTTCGACATCTCATTCGAATGCACGCACAAGAAAGTGAAGTTCTCGACTGGGCCTCACGCACAATACACACACTGGAAGTAAGTGAACCTTGAATTTTCATTTCTCAAATCACTAACCACTTTTCATCAGACAAACTGTCTTCTACACACCATTGACACTTACCGTCAACAAGGGTGACAATATCGTTGGCAAAATTAAATGTGCACCCAATGCACGGAATAACCGCGACCTCGACATAGGCTTTGAGTTCAAAGTGGAGGGCCAAGCGGAGGAGCATAATATCCAATATAAAATGTGCGTTATCTCTTCAAGTTTTGTCCATATTCCCCGTTTCTCGTTTTTTGTCTGTGTCAATACTGGGATCCGAGAGAACGTACGCTAATCAATTGTCAGGTCTTAATTATACTCTACCTCGCCATACTGCATTGTACATAACGGTTTTATCACTGCCACGCACGCCCTTTCAATGCTTTTCCCACCACGCACCAAAAAACAACACCGTCTTGCATGCACCTATCCCTAACTGGATTACCGATATCTGCGCATCGCCACGTCCCCCCTCCTTCCTTTATTCCCATATCTCGTCTCATCTCGTTGGTTTATCTATCCTTATTCCGTCCATCGCACAACAGGTATTAACCATCTACATATATTTCTTGAGTTTGTCATCGTGGATGTGCTGGGCTTCTTCCCCCAAGTCTTTCATCGTTGTCACCGTCGTACTCATCTGGCTTTTTCGCTGTGCACTTGTAGAATGTCATTTAGAATGATTTGGATGTTATGTAGCTCACGATATCACCGTCTTTGGCAATTGTACACTGCTTGTACCTGCACCCTACAACTTAAGACTCGATTTGTGGTCACCTGCATTTAGGATTCTCTCGGTATCGATCTTCAACAACTTTGAAGCTAGTACTTCAAATTTCAAATTGATCCCTTGGTATCCTATTATCTGATTCGTACAGCATGTCACGCCCTCATCCCCCCACTTTCCTCACCATCCTGGATTTAAAGACCTCAAGCGTACTTCATCCTTCGAGTTTAGCAGATCAGAGGAAATTCTACACCATCCAGTGTGAGTCGAGCAGGAGGCTTCTTTCCAACCACAACTCATGATCATGGGCTTCGCGACATATTTCTCCGAGGGTTCTCTTCCAGTTTGAACAGCATTTTTGACCTTGTATTCCGGACGTTGCAAAAAGATGGTTGTACAGATCGGCATTGCCATGTACCGCATCATCGATGATAATGGTCGAGATCCTTACTTCCACTGGGCCCTGTGTTTGGGAGAGTCGTTGGCAACAGATCAAATGATCACAGTCTACCAGATCGTCTGCGATGACGCAATTGAGCGCGGAGTTGATCAATCTCAAGCCTGGAAGAACCATTTCACCTTCGTAAACCTTTGCGAGTCGAGCACTTTCGTCGGCGTCGTCATCGTCGGCACTATCATCGACCCAGATTGCACCATGAACGCCATTGACAGCTTTATCCGCGAAAACTGTCCACCCGTTAACCACACCGGATTCACCATCGTAGGTCCCGCCGTACCAAAGCCTGCATCTTCGATTTCGTGCGAAGGCTTACTAAAATTCCTGTACCCACTGTCTGGTGCACGGTTCCTTTTGCTGGGTCAAGGTGGATGGTTCTTAGCAGAATTAAAGGAGAAGCTATGAACCAGCGAGGCTGGGATGATCTTGATAGGGATTCGCAAGATAAAATCATCATACAGTTACGGGACATGGTTTCCCAGCTACGCGACATCGAACCTCCTGTCAGACCCGAGATATGTTTTATCCTTGGTGGCCCCGTTGCCGACTTGCGTTTGTGCCCGCATGAGCCTCTCTTCTATGTTGACGAACAGCAAGTGAATTTCCAGCTCTGGCGTGGGCGATCCCTCGGTACCGGGTGCAAAGACTTGCCCTATCATTACGCAGATCGTGGCGTCGCACGCAATTCGCCATCCCATTCTGTTCACTCACGGAGGTATTGCATTTCGCAACATCATGGTGGAAGGTGCAACTATCACCGCCCTGATTGAGCCTCGAGATTTAAGTAAGCTAGTACTGAGACGAATGGAAAGCGTAAGGCTTCCCTTGGATGTAGTTGTGTCTAGTGGGTCTTCACTTAACTTGAAGTGAATATTTCTTCAGTTTGTCATCGTGGATGTGCTGGACTTCCGGCTTTTTCGCTGTGCGCTTGTAGAATATCATCTAGAATGATTTGGATGTTATGTAGCTCACGATACCGTTATCACCGTCTTTGGCAATTGTAACCGCTTGTACCAGCACCTACAGCTTAAGAGTACTCATTTGCAGTCACCTGCAGTCACCCGCCTCTATTTAGGGCTCGATATTGAAATTTATTATCTCGGTACCAATGTTCAACGTTCAACAGCTTTGAAGCAACCCCTAATTCAAATTTCAACTTGGTCCTTTCGCTGTATATCTGACTCGAGTCTCGCGCAACAGCATGTCACGACAATATATAAGATGGAGGTTTGCTTTTTCCCCTTCATTCCTCGCTTTCCTCACCATCTTGGATACAAAGACGTCAAGCGTACTTCAGCCTTCGAATTTAGCAGGTCGCAAGAAATTCTACACTGTCCAGTGTGAGTCGAGCAGGAGGCTTCTTTCCAACCGCAACTCATGGGCTTCGCGACAAATTTCTCCGAGTATTCCCTTCCAGTTTAAACGGCATTCCTGACCTTGTATTTCCGGACATTGCAAAAAGATGGTTGTGCAGATCGGCATTGTCATGTACCGCATCATCGATGATAATGGTCGAGGTCCTTACTTCCACTGGGCCCTGTGTTTGGGGCAGTCGTTGGCCACAGATCAAAGGGTCGCAGTCTTCGAGATCCTCCGCGACGACGACGCAATCGCGCGCGGAGTTGATCGATCTCAAGCCTGGAAGAACCATTTCGGCTTCGTGAACCTTTGGCAGTCAAGCAGTTTTTCGGTGTCGTCGTTGTCGGCACCATCATCGACTGCACCACGAATACCATTGACAGCTTTATCCGAGAAAACTGTCCACCCCTCAACCACACTGGATTCACCATAGTAGGTCCCGCCGTACCCTGGACGTGCGCAGTCTGGGTTATGAATGCACTTCTTCTGCTCGAAGATAGCGGGTTAATTGACCTCCCATGCACAAAGGATGATCTTTATCTCAGAGTGCTCGAGCGGGCTGAGCGACTCTACACACTACGGCAAGGTGGATTCTTCAGAAGCGACTTCCCACAGCTACGTTTATGATTCAGAGCTCTGTGGATCTGGCTGCTTGAGTCCTGCCGATTTTTCTTCTTCTTTGAGTCGTCGTAGTGACATTATATTTGTATATTAGTGCTCAGTATACCGTCCGTTGCGATGGGAAACTTACAAACTTGTTCGATGTTCCATTTTACCAACTATACACATCTCCACTGTGGCAAACCCCATCCGAATTGCCCGTCGGCTCGCTTTTCCAGATCATACGCTGGTACAAATTCGCGAATACGTTCCGTAAAAGAGCTCTCGCCTTGGGCGCCAAAGTGGGTTTTGATGTATTCCCAGTGAGCGGGAAACCAACCTGCACACTCCCAATCAATCAGGGCGGTGATAGTTGCACCTTCCACCATGATGTTGCGAAATGCAATATCTCCGTGAGTGAACACAATGGGATGGCGAATTGCATGCGACGCCACGAGATCTGCGTAATAGGGCAAGTCTTTGCACCCGGTACTGAGGGATCGCCCACGCCGGAGCTGGAAATTCATTTGCTGTTCGTCAACATAGAAGAGAGGCTCATCCGTGCACAAGCGCAAGTCGGCAACGGGGCCACCAAGGATAGAACATATCTCGGGTCCGACAGGAGGTTCGATGTCGCGCAGCTGGGAAACCATGTCCCGTAACTGTATGATGATTTTGTCTTGCGAATCCCTATCAAGATCATCCCAGCCTCGCAGGTACATAGCTTCTCCTTTAATTCTGCTAAGAACCATCCACCTTGACCCAGCAAAAGGAACCGTGCACCAGACAGTGGGAACAGGAATTTTAGTATGCCTTCGCACGAAATCGATAGATGCAGGCTCTGAGTACGGGGCTCGCAACCGCTTGAGAAACAACCAGCGGCCAAGAGTAGCTAATCGGGTTAAACTCATCAGGGCGAATAGTTGAGACCAACTCGAGGAACTGACCAAACCATAACTTGCGAACGGTCCAGCGAAAGATAGATCTGATGAAGCTTCGAAGAGGATCCAATCTCAAGGCAATAGACCGATAGTGCCACCAAGGTTTCCTTTCTTTCCTTACCCGTTCCCAAAATTGCCTTGCTCGTTGCACGCTCTGGTAAAGGACATTTACGCTTGATTCGGAATAGTCCATTCAAGTTGAACGCTTACCTCCTCCCAGTTTTTCGCTTCGACCTTTTCCATAGCAACAACTACAAATTCAGATATCCTAGCTGGTTTTCGAACTGTGGTAGCCAAGATGCCTGCCACGGTAGTAGTGCCACTGTAGTGGGTGCAAAGCGGGTGGGTGTGTTGCAATTGATTATTGTTTTGAACGCATGGCAGCAGGTGCATCGTACACTTACAGTGACAGGCTGTCATGAGCCTATAGACAAGCAGCACTAACAGTTGTCATAAAGAATAGTTTGTCTATCAGAATTAGCTATACATACACTCCTAACATTTCCATCCACAAGTACATAGTAAGTAAGTAGAAATCATGCCAATATCACCGAACGGTGTGATGCCCTGACCCGAGCGATAGCCCTACCCCTCCCCGGTGAAGCCCCACACAGCAAGGCACACCAAGAATCCACAGAAAATGATCATTCGCATCTCCTCACCCGCTGAGGATTTCTCAAAGATCAAGTTCATGAATCCACGCACACCCTGCTTTCTCCGCCCCGGCGAGCTGAGGGGACGCAGATCCTTCACGTACTTCTTTGTCCTCGTTGAAACTCCAAGACCCCAAGGCCAAAACCTTTGACGGTTCTCATGCGCAGTGAGGTTGAGAGGGAGACCATACTGATCGCACGAAATTTCAAATGAACCAGATTCATGTGAGGGGAATGGGAAGGAGGGAAACGAGAGTGAAAATGGCAGAGGAGTTGAGTAGACTGGGGGAAGGAAGGCGAGAGAAAACTTTTGGAGACGGGGGTTACTTTGTGCAATTCGTGCGGCGCCTGAGGCAAGTGTTTCTTCTCCAGGATATTTGACGATACTCAGAGAGAAGGTGCGGAGTTTGGGAAGACCACTGCGAATGACCTTGGTAAAAGCGTCCTAGAGGGATGATAAGGGAAAGGCAAAGGGCCATTACCAATTTAAAAAACTTGCCAGGTGAAAAGAGGGCTTATGCTCGCATGTCAAGTCAAGGTGGCGTAAATTTGGACACGCCTGAACAAGAGAACGAAGGAGGTTGCCACTGTCATACATCGAGTGCAGAGTGAATGAAACCTTCAGTTCTGTGAGACTGGTGATGTCCCGGAGTAAGCTCGCCACTGTGATTGATGATACCTCGCGCGTCTCCACTGGATCCCGAAAAGTCACAGACTTCAAAGAAGAGTGCAGGTGAGGAAGGGCCTGGAGTTGTTGGTGAGTCCCTGAAAAGGACGTCACACCACTTAAACTTTCCGGGCTCAAGGTAGAGAGATGAATGGGCTGAATGGTGTGCCGTGACAAACTGATGCTTGCCAGGTATTCGTGAGCCTCGAGAAAAGCGACGAAAGGACGCTTCTCCCCCGGGCTTGATGACCTTGGAAACCAGTCCCAGCACACATCTCCGAGAGATAGCTTCTTCAACGTAGGCCACCGACCCCCTACCAGACAATGAATGTCCGTGGGCACAGAGGAAGAACCCTCGACACCAAGTTCTTCGAGGTTGGGACAGTTGCGAGTAAGCATATCGCAAATCTTTTTAAAGATTGGCTGATCATCTGTACAAAAGATGGCCTTTAAGCTCCGCACCTTGAAAACATTGGCGCACTAACCGTCGAGGAACATGTCAAGGTGACTTTCGTAAAACGCGTTCTTCAACGTTAGGGAAAATCCAAGAAGGTCAACGAAGTCAAATAGCTATCGAAGCCGTCAATCACAATCGAAGTAGAAGGATCTGTGAGACCCACATGGCTATTGAGGTTAGGAAGAACTGAGCCGATGGACGTTCCGATATAGCGCAATTGAGGACACCTTTAACAAGCGCGTTAAAGAAGGTAACGATGGGCGCAGAAGTGAATGAATACACACCCCATACGCAAGGCAAACCACATATCCTCATGGTATGGCGACTCCTCTGCATCCCAACAGAATTTTGTCAAGGCATCTAAACGCATTGCCCCTGCTACTTTCCTGACAGCAGCGCTCGCAGTGGCGTTGTCGATCAAGGAAACGAATGGTTTGGATAGGCTTATGATGAACTCTCGAACATGTCGTGCAACATCGACCCGTCTAGCGAGCATCCCAAGAGTCCATGTGCACTGTTCTGCAGACTTTAACACCACTTTTTCGTAGAGAACTGAGGACACATTGGAAAATATGTAGTTTGACTTTATAGAGAGGTCAATTGTGGCACGAGACCGTAAAATGGAATCACGCACCGTCAAGGAAAAGTTCAAGATGTCCTTACGCGACTCTAGGAACAGCGCAACCTCAATAAGTAGATCTCCAGGGATCCGGCTTATGGGTGAGTAGTAGGCGCTATATCCAGACACCAAAAGACGAAATTCCTTCGAGGTAGACATGCGTGAGGAAGACCGCCAAAGGGTTGGGGAGATTGATTATACGTTAGCGTAAGATTGGCGACTTTATAAGGATTTTTATGGGGTATCGGTCGTAAAGGCAATCTTGTGATTGCAAGAGAAATGTAATGATGTTGTGTATGGCAACAGGGAGTGGTCAGCTTCGTTTTCGCGGCAAACACCGTTGTTTGTCCACCTGCCGAGTTGCGTGCCGGACATAACTATTACAAAATACCATTTTCCCACAATAATTACCTTACTTGAGCTCGTAAAATGTTGAGCACTAACAGTTCTGAGAGTGCGTCGAAGATGGTAAGTACACAATCTCCTGTCTATTTGCTTTTTAACTTTGTTTGTTATCTTTATGTTATGATACTTCTGCTATGTAAATTGTTCTACCAACACTGTCCAGCTTTCAGCCAGTCACATTATGCTGTTCAAAAAATTAGTCAAAATTCAAAGTTCTTTTTCAGCCACTGTGCAAAGTTGAAGAATGGTGAAACAAACTTCAGCAGTTAAGATTGAAGAAAGTAATTTGATTCTCTTCACCACAAATCTGCAGCACTCCTCATGCTGAAGAAAACAATAAAAAAAGCTAACTTTCAACTAAAATGCCTTTAGTATCATTGAAATTCTGTGGGGTAAGTTATTGTAAGTCCTGTGATAATTACAAGTACTCAGAAGGGAATAAATCTTCTAGTACATTTTCAAATCACTGCTTTTCCCAGGTGTTATACTTTGAATGAGGTATTTTTTATTTACTCTGTGAATATGGAGGGTAAAGACATGACTGTAATGGAGAAGTAGCATTAGCAAGAAAGGACAGTAGCTCATCAATTAATTCCTGGAATACAAGAAAATATGTAGAGTGAATCCTAGTCAGAGATTGAAATATACATACCCATAGTCCTTGAATTTGAGTTGCAGTAAGGATATTCAAAAGATTTTCTCAGCTACCTTGCCACCAGTTTGAAAAATCTCAAAGTCTGCAGATGGAACCATGAGATGAAAAAAATTCCAATGCATTTTTTACTAATCCTTTGACCTGGATTGAACCTCATAGATTGCAACAGGCTGAGAGCTGGGTACAGTCATTCACCAGTCAATGAGGCACCCAAATAAAGAATGGCCTTGGAGATTTTAAATACGAGGGATATGAACATTATGAACTGAGAGAAGTATGCCCATACATCATGCCCTATGTAATATCTAGTTACAAACTCAAATTCAAGTTGTTGAACAACATATCACATGCTATCAGTGCCGCAAACGAAGATCAGTGCGAAACCAGTCAATGAGGCAGATGTCACGCTGCCCTAGTTTGGGCATTTTGCTTAGTCACTTCAGTTTCCCATCTCTTCGTCAGACGTCTGTGGCAAGTGTGACAGAATGTGACTTTCCCTACCTTCAAGTATGATTTCATTCATTCAGTGGTTTTTGGTTCACTGGAGTACCAGCTCAACTCAAAACTCTTGTAATTGAATACTTGTTGAATGCTATAAGATATAATTTTTTTAAAAAGGCTCTTTTCCAAGATTTAGTGCCAAGATCACACAGATATATATTCAGTTTTATGGTGAATGAGCACCTATTTGCAGGTATCAAGAGATCGAAATGTGCTACACCTTAGAAACTTGGGATTACTATGAAGAATATATATCCGCACACAATGCAAAAAAAATTAAAGAAATAGCTTGAGAACTGACCCCGGAAAAGTGTTTTGACTCATTGACTAGTGTGACTCATTGACCGGTGAATGACTGTAACATCAGTAAAACAATTCAGAAGGTTAAGTACCATGATACAGAGCCGACAAACAAATTTCCAAACTAAATAGGCAGGAAATGGTGTACCCATCATCACTGATGCACTCTCAGAACTGTTGTTTTCAGTGGATGCTTCACATTTAGGCTCTGGTGTCATGTCTGGGACAAGAGCCTCGTTTTTCAGAAATTACATATATGGCAACTACATGTAAATTTAATATAGGGCTGTATGGTGTAGTGGATTATTGCGCTTTTTTGATCTCCTCTTATGGCCAGCCCAAGTTCAATTCCAGTGGTTGACATCTTTTTTTTTTTTTTTCACAGAGATAATTGAATCATAAATATGTATCTTGTTAGAAACTTGACATATTGCTATGAAAATTTGTGAAGTATATTCTCTCCCTATCTACCATTTAAAAATGGGCCAGGCACCCATTTGGGGCCACAACTATGAGGAAACAGGTTGGATAACAGCCAAGAAAAAAACCACATGCATTTTTACACATGAAACTACAAAACAGGAGATTAGGCCAAGAGCTCAGATTAATTGCAAAGCAGATTTATGTTCAAGTTCCTCATGTTATGCTAACAAGTAATAAGTATAGAGTACTGAAAATAACAATGAACAGGAATAATGATGGCTCTAGTGTCATGTCTGGAACAGCTGAGAGTGTTTCAATCCTTTTCAAAAATGTGCATTTAAGAAGCAGGGTACTTGACACTGATTATATATGTAAAATTATAGATCAATAGCAAGGGTTGTTCAATTGTGACAGATCTATTTTCAATTTCAGATAGATTTGTTGTAACACAGTCCAGATCTTGAAATCATTACAAATTCTTTATATATGAAGGCCAAGACTACGTGAGGAAATATTAACAACATACCAGCAGCTCCTGTATCAGCATTTTATAGCAGTACAACAATTTTTTTTACCCATTAATTCTGTCTTTTTGTTGCCTTTGGTGCAGCAACCTGCCATTAGGAGGAAGAAGTGCATGTAAGGTACTTCCACATACTCTGAGATATTCTACTAGCATGGATACATACTTTGATGAGCAATTGCATTGAGTGGAACTGACTTTATGCTTAAAACAGCACAAATTCCCTTTCCAATGATTCAAAAATGCATTCTGGGTTCATATTAATGTATCCTACAATTTTCCACAAGTTAAGTGAGCTATTAAAATATTTTTCCAGCCTGCGGCGCATAGCACAGCAAGAAAAGCCAGTAGGAGGTGAACTGCTTGAGCAACTGCCTATTTGGGCGTGGGTGTGAGATTGATGGCTTATGTCTGTTTTTGGACGACCTTATGTCTTTTTTTGGACATGTCTCAATATAGACATAAATTATGTCTATATATGGACATAAGGTGTCCCAGACATGGCACCAGAGCCTCACATTTACAAGCCACAAGTAAGGTAATTATCGTGGGAAAACAGTATTTTGTAATAATTATGCGCGGCAGCAACTCGGCAAGTGGACAAATAACGGTGTTTGCCGAGAAAACGAAGCTGACCACTCCATGTTGCCATAGTTGTTGACATTTGAGGTTAGTCAGTGTCACACCTCGGTCACGAGTCCGACTGCCAGTGCCCTAGGCTTGCCGAAGCTGCCAACATGAAGAACGGACGGACGATGAAGTGTATGTAAAGGCAAGAATTTTTCGACATGGCCGCTCGATAACCCAGTATGTCCTCGGTATAAGACGGTCTGATTGGAGCAGTGAGCCTTGCTTGTCTAGGGATAGCCTTCTCGCACTGTCAGCTGCACGATATATATGCTAAGTAGGACCAGCCTGATCGAGATCAGATTTTCAAGCTTAACCAAAGCCTAACGGTCGTCTCCTGGGTTATCTCTCGTTTTCCTCGAAACAAAGTTATCAAATAAAGGATACACTTCATTGTTATCTTGTCAATATTCTTGCTTCGAGGACTTCCCGCAAGAGGGTACTCTCGATACTGACTTCAATCCGACAATTGAGACTTCCCTTGACATTTCTTATAAAGGAAAGCTGGTCGTTGATAAAACCCTTCAGAAGACTTTCAGGCGTTGGTAGGGTTTTTCTGAAACGCAAACCTCTCCCAATTTCCCTCTGTTCCAGGAACCATTGCCATTGACACCCAGCGCCCCGGGGCGCGTCTACACGGGCCTTCATAGGTCCTACTGAGTTGGCTTCATCGAGCCAACCAAATTTCATGTTCAACCTTTGGCTCCCATATGGGACAATTTTATCACCACGGATTCACAACTCAATTATCTTTTGTGGCTATCACATTCAACTCTTCATTTATTCCACTTATCGCTCTGGATGAAACAGGTGATAACGCTGCTGGGATTCACGCCTTGGTATCGTCCCTCCCACTAACACCGCGCAAGCGCGCTGCAATTCCACATGCATACAAGGACCGAATCAGGGCGGATTTTACGGCGGAGAAAGGGAAGCCTTGTTCTGCTCTGACGGTGGAAAGCCCCAAGTACACGAAGTATTGGGCACCATCGGGGTGGCTGCACAAGTGCGTTGCTCAACTTGCTGGTAGAAGACGCCTCATTGTAATGTAATGCAGTTAGTATGGAACAAACTCAAAACGCCCTCTGTGCTGAGCTTATTCAGAACTGTCAGTTCAAAAGGCAAATCGAGTGTGCTAGGACCTTCACTTGACTCCAACCCCAGTGGTATCAGCACATGTACAGTGACCACTAGAAATTTGAAGACTTTCAATGGACTCGTTCAGCCTGAGGCGCCTCCGCGACCCCCCCTCCCCCCACCCCATTTTCAGCCATCTCTAAATCGTACTCATATATCCCGGATGTCCGAGTCCAGAACAAAATATTGCATGTGCAAGGCATCTTCAGTGGCTATGTTTGCCTCCCATTCAGCAAACTGAGGACAATCTGCATGGGGAGCCAGATGTCTCCCCAGGCCTACAAAACGATTCCACTATGATCATGATCCTGGAAAGCACACGCGCGGGAGTCTGTTCTCCCATCATTGCGGAGGCACCTTTGTCCGGGTCGCAAAATTGACCCGAAGCGGCCACAAATCCGAGATAGCAAAATGTGGGCACTGTCAGTACACGCCCGTGCTTGTGTTTAGACGAACACCAAGAAGAAGCCCCAGGTGCACCTTTGATCTATGCAAGAAGTTATTTGCGTCCCGAGCCCTTGACATGTGCATATGTGCATCTTCACACTTCACTTCCACCAATACTTACTTACCCTGCCTGTTTTCTTTCAACTGAAATCCAATAAAAGTACCACAAAAAAAACAATCCATTCCAAACCACGCCCTACTACACTACAAAAGACAAGACACGGAGCCCTCTCCCCTCGTATGTTTTCTTGCACCCACAAAGCCAACCAAAAAAACCCAAGCGCTCACCACACAAAAACACCTCCCAAACAACATCCCCCAAACCCGCCGCGCAAAAAACCACAAAAAAAACACTACTACTCAAACCCTAAAAAAAAGGGGAGCAGCCGTGCCAAATGCAGAAGATTGCAAGGACGGAGTATGGGTGGGATGAAGAAGGAAGGTGTGGGTGGGAGACGGCGTCGGGAGGGTGGGAGTGGGGTGAGGGGGGAGGAAGGTAAGGTAAGGTAGAGGAGGTAGGTAGGTAGGGATGGGAAGGTCAGGATGTCCTATGTGTGGTAAGTAAAAAAAAGAAAAAAAGTGAGATGAATAGAGTAGAGAGAGACAGATCCTGGTCGATGATATGATGGATATCTATAAATAGCTGAGCGAGAAGACGAAAAGATTGAATACAGGCAAGACTGGAGAGAAACCGAGAACCGAGATAAAGATACTGAAAACCAAGACTTTTTGAGAGGAGGGGTTGCCAAAGGAATCCTGCTTTGCCGCAAATGTCCGTGCATTGCTGGTCGAGCTCCATATATAACGCAAGCGGGACGGCGGGTTGATCATCGAAAGTCGGTGCGTGTTGTCCACAAGGGGAAAGAAAGATGACTGAGGTCCTTCGCCCATTCAAAACACGTCAACAGCCGCCGCCATATCCCACCCATGCGTCATATCGAGGCCCAAGCCCGCATACATATCCCCCGCAGAAGACTCCTCGTTCATACCAGCCATCTCCTCCAAAAGCCTATGTATCCCCACCTCGTCCACCCAATCCGCCTCACTTGTCGACCTTTCATCTCCAAAGTGTATATCCAAAACCCCATCACGACCAACCACCACCCCCTCTTCCCTCTCTCCACTCACTTGCGTCGGGGCGGATGAGGAGGCCGCCGACGACGTTTGGATGAGGGCATCAAAATCAGGCAGGGCCGTGTTCGCGAGGCATGGTGAAGGGACGAGTATCTCGCGGAAGAAGTCATCCATGCTTGCGTCGTCCTCGTCCTTGGTGTCCGGAGTACTGATAGATGATGTTTCACCAGAGGAGAAGAGTGAGATGAGATCAAGCGCGGTGAGACCACCCGCTGCAGGGACATCGAGTTAGACTCGATGGTCGCCACCCGTGCTAGGTGGCGAGTGGGCTCGTGCGCTGGTTGATTACTGGACTCAGACTCTGTTGTTGTCGAGGTGGTGAAGGCAGAGGGCGTGAGGTCGAGGGAGGAATGTGAGGGAGCAGGGGAGGGAAAGGCAGTGGTGAAACTTGTGTCCATTGAGATTGAAGGTGTTGACGAAGAAGGCGCAGTCGTAGGTGTTGTTTGAGCTGGAGCTTGGGGAGCAGAGAAAGTCTGAACACCCTGAGCGGCAAGCGCCTTGATAACAGCTTCCCATCCTTGTTCAAGAGTCTTGATTCGCTCTTTGAGCTCTTCATTCTCCCGTTCCCGTTGGTCGTCACGGGTGGAAGAAACGGGAATAAGAGGTGCGGGTGTGGGTGCCGGTATCCCAGCGCGAAGGCGGCGGTTCTCCTCCTCCAACTCGGCGACCCTGCGCTCAAGGTAGGAGAATTGAGCTTTGCGGCGATCGCGCGAGTTCTGGGCGGCGATACGATTACGGTGGGCTCGGGCCTCCTTGCGGTCCTCTGAAGTTGTTTCTGTGCGAGGACGCTTGCGGGAAGGCCCAGCTTCTGGTTCTGGAGATGTGGCTGACAGTGGAGAAGTGGCTGACAGTGGGGAAGAGTGGTGGAGAGCGGAAGGATCAACGTAGTTTGACATTATTGTACGTAGAGTTAGAGAACGGAAAAGAGTGGGTCCAAGTTATAAAGTAGTAGAGATACTGCGTATCGCAGGACAACGTACGTGGCAGTCGTGAAGAAAGGGGCAATGCATACGTGTCACATATATTATCTTCATCAAAACCAAGCACGTTCATACACGAACAAATATATCTCTAATAATACACCTGGTGCTAGAAAAAAGCCCAAGAATAAAAGACGCCCAGTAAACCATGTTTGTTCCGCAGAAACGAAGAGGAGCTCATTCATATGCAAATAAAAGAGCTGCCGAAAAAACAGTCAATGTCAGGAGAGTTTACGAAAGGAAAAGTACGCACAATAATCACCCACCAGCGTCGTGCTCCACCGACCCAGAATCCAGTCGTCTCAAGAGCCTCTGCGCCAACAACGCCTCTTCAACATCAAAATCCACATCTTCCCCTCCCCCAAACTTCGCTCCCTCTTTCCCATGCCTCGCCTTTCTCCCAACTCGACCCTTCGGATTCTTGCTCACTCTTCCCGTGCCCTTTGACGAAGCCAACGACGTCATCGATGGAGAGGCAGGTATGGAAGGAAGAGAGGGCAACCTTCCCCATGCACTTAGTCGCTGTCCCTGCTGTCCTCTTCCACGCCCATACCAGCTCACCGCTCTTTCAATCCCCTCTTTCTCCTCTGTAAAAAGGACATTAACTCCGGGAGATGGACAGGCAAATGGGTCACGCAGGTCCATAAAGTCACCCGACTCTCCCTCCTCCTCTCTTTCTCCTTCACAATCTTCTCCCGCCCTTAGCTCCACATCAGACACCTTTGCCCTCGGACTGGCAACTCCACCAGGAAAACGAAAGGACCCGCGTCCATGACTTGACACGTGGATCGTCAAAGGGTACTTTGTCTTCCCCTTGAGCCCCAAGCCCAAACCCAACCCCAACGGTTGGTCCAACTGCTGCCTCATTTTCGACGAATGCTGGCTCTTCTTTCTCTTGGGCACAGATGAGCGCTCCCACTCTTTATCCACCACCTGACTCTGACTCGAAACGCGTTTCCGCATGGTTCCCAAGCTGGGACAAGGACTGGAACTTCCCCTACGCGCGTATGCATGTGCGCGTGCACGCTCATGGGCGTCGATATCTGGAAGAAAAGTTACTCCTCCTGCTACGGATTGACGCGAAGTGCCCAAGAACGGAACGGGTTTGCTAAAGGTAGGAGTCGTACTTGGCGTTGGGTATGGCATTGGGTCTGGAGACGGCAAACGTGTGGGAATGGGAATCGGCAGCGACGCAGATGGGGTAGAGAAAGAAGCTGGTGTTGGATCTTGAGTAGCTAGAACAACATCAGGAGAGCATGGGCTGGGGAGCTGAGATTCTGAGGGGCCACAGATGATCAGGTCCTGAGGTGGAGTCAAAGGCACACGTTGAGGTCTTGGCGAGGAGAACGACGAGGAGGCAGAAGCGCCGCGCATGTGGAAACAGGTCCTCGCTTTGCCTGTGCCACCTAGTATCGTAGACTTGGCCTTAAACTTCGGTGACGACCGAACGGGGGGAGGTGACAGTACAGTGAGGTGAGGGCGAGGTGGAGAGAGACCATTGATCGCTTGGGATGCTACAAGGGAATCCCTGGTAGCAACGAGAGTATCCGGTGGCTGGGTCAACGTCAGAATCGGCAGATAAGCATTGTATGCATGCACTGTTCAAATTAGTGTTGAAGAGAGGGAAAATAACCTAAAGGCAACGCACATAGGTAGGCAGACATGACACCAGTGATACAAAGTACGATGAATGCGGCCTCAACGATCTGTAGGATCGCATATATTGACCTTCCATATGTTGCAGAACCCGGGCGAGTGGACGCAGTCATTAGCACGGTGGCAGCAATGTCAAAGCAAAGTCCCATCAACGCTGCACCCTGTGCTGCGAGCAAAAATACAAGCAAACTCCTCGACCTACTTCGCCCGATCCGTGAGCTCAAGTTTTGATCATCACCAGTGGGATGCACAACTTGTCCGTTCTCCAAGTCATCTGGGGCAGGGAATGGAACTGTAGGGTGAAGATGAACGTGCGCACTTGACTGCCAATGGTCCACGGCAGCTAGGGTGGACGTGGATGAACTAATGCTCGGAAGTTTCTCATGGTGGGAGACCACAGAAGGAAAGGACGCCGAGGAGGCCGTTGGCGAGGGAAGCGGAGGAGCTAGAGAAAGAGACAGCGGGATGGAAGATTCCGAGTCCAAATTTGACGTGCCGCGCACGAATTGGCGGAAAGTGTGGACGACAAGGGGGATCGTGAGAATGGCATAGGATAAATAAAGAACGGGTGGCAGGTATGCGGGAAAAGAGGTGGAAACGAATGGTAAGAGGAGAGCTAGAAGGGTCGCTATATGCGCGTATAATGGATCAGAAAAAGGGCTAGAGTCAATGTTTAGGTCGAACGAACCGCTTGAAAGCGAAATTACGAGGATGGTGGTGTATGCTTTGAGTATGGTCGACAACAACACGTACCCACTCGAGAGATAGAGTACAGAAACTCCCACTGAAAGGAAAACACTTAATTAATCAGAGAAATAAGGTCAGTGGTTACGCTTACACTCGAGAAAGAGAAAAGCCTGTACGACAGACTCGGCCTTGGCCTTGGCCAGTTGGGCTGGCGCTGGGGGGTTGGGGCTTGCGTATGAAGCAGTCAAACCAAGGGCACCAGTGAGAGTCGAAAGCACAGTGAGCGATGCGATTGCAAGATACGAGACCAACGCGCGGCGCTTCTGAGTTGGCTGGTTGGCACCGTAATGAGCTGGTCGGTGAGAGAGAGCAAGAAGGAGGATGACGACGGCAAAGAGAGGAACAAGAAAGAAAAGAGCGGGAGGGATCGCTGGGAGAGGGTTGGCCATGGAGGGGGAGGACATGGTTGTGGCAAGTGGAATGAAAGCTAGCGCTGCATATTATGAGTCTTTGCTGCTCCGAGGAATTGCATCCCATCTAGGCAAGTCCTGCACCCAATCCGGCGAGTGTCGAACCCAATCTGGCACCTTGATCAGGGCGTCATCAGCGTAGATCACGTTCAGTTTGTACATCTACGTCAAGGAACCAAGACGCAAAAGAAGTTCTTCAACAAAGAACCCTCAACGGCGTGGTCCATCCCGGTTTTCATCCCCTCTTGACCAATGTCTAGACCACTGCTTAGCAACACAGATAATCCATGTATCACTTCGAACGACATCGAATCCACCGTAACCATATTTGTTTCCTCATGACGCCGTATTTGCATTGGGACGAGCAGAGGTGATAAGAGGGCTTTGAGCACCGACTTCGTTCGTAAAATGAAGCCAATGACCACATGGTCATCCTCCGTGAGACTTGTGATTTGCTTACTACAAAGTCTTGGCTACTGGTGTCGCAATCCCACAATTTCCGAGACCCAGGCCGTTATTCCAGTGGAGTCGAAGGTGAGAAGGATAGGAAGTGTCTCCAAACCGACGAGACCGAGAGCCTGTCAGTCCAATGTCAGTCAATCATTGTAGCAGTGGCGACGCGCACTTTACTCCTTCCGTCCAGCGAGCACGAGGCGACGACAAATGCAGATGGTCATACCAACCGTCAAATACACAAACAGGCTAACAAGCGCGACAGTGGCTGGAATGTCGGATTCAACTTCATGATGAGTAGAACGAACCCCTAGCCTTTATCAGGATTAGATACGAACTTGGCTCAAGGATCAATAAGAAACTGACGTTAGATTCTTTTCGAGTCCGTCAGAACGAATCTTCTGCAATAATCGAGTCGGGCCGTCAGATAAGCGCCATCACTTGTTCTCCACCCCTAATAATCTCTGCATGAGAAGAGGGAGATCCGGAGCGAGTCATTCCCGTGCTCGAATACCAAGGCCAAACATTGAGAAGAGCTTTGGAAAGTTCGAAGTGCTCGCTGCCCAGGTTCGAGGGTGGAAAATCCCACCAATCCCGCGTCATAATGTCGTCAGAAACCCCTATAGCCTAACCATTAGAGTTCTGACGTGAATGTTGGGAACGGCTGGACTAACCTCAAATGGGAGGCAGACGTGTATTAGACCTGCCGTGCATCATCCCAAACGTGCGATGTGAATTTAAACCCGATGTTGACCAGCACTCCGTTCTTTCCGTGCGCCTATTCTGCCGTCATTGAGAGGTCTTCCATGACTGCTATGAGATATGAGATGAACGACACAAAGAGAAATTTCGGAAATAAACAACGATAAGCAACTTTTCTTCCAGAAGAGATCGAAATGAGGCTCAATCCTGACTTTACTAATAATATTCACAGTTTCCTAACTCGAGTATGGTGTAACGGCTAACATTACCGCCTTTCATCTGTAGGAACTCATATAGTTCGCGGTAGCTCGGGGTTCGATTCCCCGTACTCGAATCGCATGTACTCCGTTTTTTTTTCCTCGCAAGGTGCTAGTTGTTATAGTACTGTCGTGTGCCTTTCATGCGGTCTCGCTTGGATGTACTTTTTTGTTCCCACTCACACCATTGAATTACGGTGAGATGCAACCATCAGAAAGAAATAACGTTAGATATATCCATGGCTCCTGGCCAGGATTCGTAAAAGCCATAAGCAAAAAGAAAACACCTTCGACGGGTAGGTCAGAGTCTCTCAAATATCGAAGAACAATGTAGATCACACTAAGATGTCTGCAGGGAAAGAAAAAAGCGAGTTCAATGACAGCGTTTGTGCGCGTCACGACGACCTTCAAGCGCCTTCCTTTGGCATGGGAAGCAAATTGATCTCTTCATAAGCATGGATATCCACCAGCTTCGGGCATCGCCGCTTAATCCCATCCAAAATCCACCTCTTAATCACCAGAGGAGGATACAACTCCACCAGCCTTGGCGCGGTCTGCAACCCGAGCCTTGTCAGGCCTGGGAACAATGTCAAGCAACCCAGAATTCGAGGATAAAACCTTTCAGTCATCATCGAAGGTCCAGGTACCACTATCGTCAGCCGAGAAAGGGTGGCGAGCTCCTCTTCCCATTCCGTCAGCTCTGGCGGGATTCCGTTAATCAGAGAAGAATGTATTCCGAAGAAATTCGAGTCGAACTCGAGCTCTACGAAAAAGGTCACTAGTGGGTGAGATTGTTGGACCCGGCGACGGAGGTTGCCTAGAATTTCTGCAATGGATAGTATGTCCAGGGGACATCCGACTGTTTTATAGGAAAATGATAAGCCAACAGATCGAAGTCGTGGAAGTTTCACGGGATGGGAAAAGATAAATGTGATTATCTCATGTGGGCCGTAAAGCCAGTGAAGTTCAGGAAGATCCAATGAAAATGAGTCCAGGGATTCTGTTAGCCGTTCATCAATCTTGGTCCCGGACCGGATGAAAAATTGTAGATTTATGAGAAGGCCAAATTGATTCATCCACGGGAGGGCGCTGAGGATGGTTGGTACGCTGCCGTCGATGAGGTAGAGGCCGGAAACTTCAGGCAACGAGTCGACGAGTCGAGCGAATGTTAAGGAGAACTCAGCTTCGGGTACCTTCTTTTCAAGAGGCCCGTTCCAATTCAAAGTGAGGGTGAATGTCGTGATGGGAGAGTGTTTCATCATGGGGAACGTCCAATTAGAGCATGGTGGGAATAGCATGTCCGCCGTGCCGATGGTAAGGCGTTTAACCTTGGTGTTCTGCAGGGCGGCTGGTGAACAACTGAAAAGCACACGCTCTCGCCCTCCCACCCTCTCATATCTCCCGGTATCATTGTCCATCGCATTATTATTGTCCTTGACAGCACCCGAAATGCTTTGACGCTTAAGCCGCTTTCGAAGGGTTTTAAGAAGACCACCAGTGGGGACAAGATTATCCTTCCCCGATGACTCGGAGAACGCGTAGCATCTGCTGAAAGGAAGCCCCATATTGGCTATCTTCAAGCCTTGACATGACTTTTCAACCGCTGTGTTGAGCAAGTCCTCCAAAACGGCAGAAGACCGTTTAAGTTCTGCGTCATCAAGAGGGCGGGTTCCGAGGATATTCAAAGTGAGACTGAAGTCGTCAATGGAGGAGAGTTTCATGAGTAGGCGGTGTAGTTGGCGAAGGGTACGGACGCCATCGGCAAGGGCGGAAGGCCAATGCTGGGTACGCGACAGCTGGACAGTGAGGTGCTTAAAATTCTGAAGAGTCGTGCTGGCGAGAAGAGCAGATAAAGGGTTGATATCTGTGTTCTTCTTCGGATATGTATAAAGCCTCAACCTGCAAAGCTGGGCGGGGTCCCGAATCCCTTCTTTTTCGAGCAGAACAGTGACTGCAAGACGATTGAACAAATGCGACACCCTGGTGCAGTCTTGCAAAGTCGGGTTGGGCACTTCTCTCAAGATCGAGAGAATTAACTCCGTCGGTAGATCGAGCAAACCGAGATGGGTGGCTGATTCGAGTTGTTCATCTTGAATCATAACTGTAACAGTTGAGAGTGTCGAACATGTGTAATAGGGGAAATGGCCGCCCTAAGGCCTTGTGCCAATCATCATCCTTTTTTGGTGTAGTCTCGTGAGGGTTGCCGGAAGCAAGGACGTGCTTGCATATGTTATGTCTCAAGGCCTTCCTACTTTAGCTCTTCAACCTCCAAAACCACTTCTGTTCTCAACCGTGCTGTCTACAAAGGACAAGGTTGCGATGGACTAGCTTGTGGACCCCGCTGATTTTTCTTATTAGTTATGGAGAGATGAATTGTCGAGGAGGCCGCAAAGGCATTGCGACAAGGACAATACTATGGTAGTGCAAATCCAGTGTCCACTCGGGGCCCTATGGTCAGTCTTGGAATTCTACCCTCAGAAGGGGAGTCGACCATGATGGGAAGATGCCGAAGGATGCCGATAGTTCAAGCTCCGGCTTTTTGAAACTTTTCGGACTTCCACCGTAAACACCTCTAATTCGACGTTATATTTTGTTAACAAATGGAAATCTCGATGTATCGTAAGGATCCTGTCTGCACGCTCTGTACGCCTGGCACGCTCACGCCGATTTCTGTAAGCCCCTTCGATTGGGCTCCGAGTCCGCGTCTTCATAAATTCATAGAGCAGCCTGCAGAGTTTCTTGGAAATGAGGGTACGGGGTGTGCCTGCTGCAGTGGATGCAGAACCCTTGGCTGACAATCTTTCGGGTAGCAGTCATAGCAAAATCTCACATGCAAAAGATTGTAACTTTAAGTCGATTTAATCAAATCTGTGAATTTGAGTTAATTTCCTCTCAAATCGTTCGTCTTAAATCGTCTACAAGAGAATAAGGTTGTGATGGACTACTAGCTTGTGGACTCCGCTGATTTTCGTCATTCGATTATAGAGAGATCAATTGTCGCCGGGAAGGCCGCAAAGGCTTTGCGGTCAATTGGAACTTGGTACCCTGTGCCCCCATCGCAGGCTTAAACACGTTTCCGTTGAACCACTCGGCGGCAAAGCTCATATCGTAACGCTTAAAGGGTCACTCTCAGAAATATGGTCTCAATCACTCCTAAACCACATAACTTGCTGCCTGATTTTTTTTGCCTCCGTATCAACTATTGAGCTCGGAAGCGGCAAGACAATCATATATCATTATGCCCCGCCGCCCCGCCACTTTTCCAAGACGGCGCCTGTCGACCCTAATTATCCCCTCTCGGGTTATCAGATACCTACCATACCTTCAATCACGCGTCGGCGTTGGCAAGGTTACCCATCGTCACGATGCCTCACAGCATCACCCCAGCCACACCCATTGTCTCTGTATCGACCGACTCATCATTTCGACTCTCATGTGCTTGGTCTACCCACCCGAAATGCTCGGTGAAGTATTTATGTTCTGCGCTACCACCATCTACAGCCCGGCTTTCTGATAATTTTGCCTTTGTCACCACACCCATTGATGCTCCTTTGCCAAGTCTGCTGGTATTTGAGATCCCTTTTGCTGTCCATATGGCCTACAATTGTCAATCTGGTCTTCCATTTCAGTGATATAGCGCGACCCGGGGACACTCCCACCTGACATTCTACAGGATATGGCTAGGCTGCTCTCGTCTAACTCCTCTTTGGCCGGATAAAAACCCGGATACTCTTCCGATTTTCACACCTTGGATTCGGTATTCCATAGGCTGTTTATGTCCGAGATTCATCGCTGGCGATTTGTGAGCGTTCGGCTTACGACCCCACATCTGCTGTATCATAGTTTTTGACTATTCCTAACAATGCAGCTCCCATGCGTGCTAAACAACTTGGAGCCGAGGGGCACTCACCTAGACCTGTGGACTCTGATTTCAAAATTTTCAGGTTTCGTGCGCTAAAGCAGGTCTCATTAGAGAGCATTGATGACCCGCCGCAATCTATCATGAAAATTCCTTGGCAGCAGATGAGGCATATCAAGATAAATGGACGTAGGGCGCTAGCCCGCGATTGCCTCCCTCTTCTGGCACGTAGTCACTTTCAGGCTATCGAACGAACTTGGACAGTCTCATGATACGCCATCCTCGATTGTCCTTCCCTACCTTCGCTCCATGACCTCATTACCTCTCTTGCATCATCTCGATCTCCCTGTTTGACTCAACTAGAAATTCATGATCACGAGGCCCTCTCCTCGATCACGCAGTTTTCAACGAGTTCATCCACTGGACCTCTCCCCAGCTCAAGTATCTCATTATTCAAGACATCCTATGTCCGGTCGAGCAAACATGAGCGGCATACGACGCATCCCAAACGTCAACTTCAGGGTATCCAGGCGGTCGTATCCTACAACCTGCGCAGACATGGCGGATAAGACATTCAAGAGTTGCCCCTTTGCTCTCCGTTATCAAGTCGGCTGGACATCTCAACCTGACATGGAGATTGAGGATGAACCAGCACGGATTATCATGGTGGGAGTGTGGGTCAACCTAATTTGACTATGTACAATGGGTAAGCCACAGTTGTGAATTACGGCAGACGAGCGAGGTGGCTACCATGGACGTGTCTTGGCGTAAAGATCTCTCTCCTGCGACATTGCGGACATGTGAAGATTTGGACCTTGTATCCAACTTGTATCGGTTTTTTGTGCAGGGTTATATACCCTTACGTTCCGGATACCCAGTACCATTTGTCGGACCAACATGAGCGATCGGGGCGTAGAAAGGTACTGTGCAAAGTCTTTACAGCGCCATCGAACGATTTAAGTGTCGAACGGCATGTTCATGAGGAAACAAAATCTTTATATAGGTATTGCCATCTCCTAATTACACTTGTTTATTCTCTGTGCTCCTCCGTCCAACATGTCTCTAACCCCCAAGATCATATACGGCACAGCATGGTGCGCTGAATCTGTTCCAAAAAAACGAGTATACTGAGCCTTGCATAGGAAAATGGAACAAACGGCCTCCCTAGTCGTCGCAGCCGTTCTACAGGGCTTTCGAGCGATCGACACTGGTACGTATGACCGCTGAACAGCTGAAGGAGTGCAACGTTACGATTGTAACACATCTGGAAGCTTGTCAGCCCAAGCACTACAGGTGCGTTGATTCAGGTTGTGCATTGGTGGATTCATGGGTTGACTGACCGAACTTGAAGAGAAGATCTAGTAGGCCAAGCCCTCCAAGAACTACAAGAAAAGCATAACATCAAGCGAGAGGATCTATTCATCCAAACAAAGTCCGTCCTCTTCCTTCTCCTCATCTTTATCTCCAACGCCCTCCGGCAGATTCACCCCCCTCAGCGGGCAAGACACCACCAAACCCCTCCCCTACTCACCCACCTCCCCCCTCTCCACCCAAATAACAACCTCCTTCACACGCACCCTCTCAAACCTCCAAACAACCTACGTAGACAGCTACCTCCTCCACTCACCCCTCCGCACACCAGAGCAAACCCTCGAAGCGTGGGGTGTCCTCGCTAGACTGCAAGACGAGGGAAAAGCGCGGTTGATAGGCGTCAGCAACACGTATGACGTGCGGGTCTTGGCGAGGCTGCATAAGGAGAGAAAGGTGCAGGTTGTGCAGAATAGGTGGTATGAAGGGAATGGGTGGGATAAGGCCGTTGTGGGGTTTTGTAGGGAGCATGGGATTATGTATCAGTGCGTTACATGCCTTTTCTGGTCTCCCTCCCCTCCTCCCCAGCTAATCGTTCCTTAGATCGTTTTGGACACTCACAGGCTCCCCAAGCCTGCTCTCCCACCCCGCCCTCCTAGCCATTGCCCAATCGGCGAATATCACCCCCGCGCAGGCTGTTTACCGTATATCGCAGCTGGAGGGGATCGTGCCGCTATCAGGGACGAAGGATGAGACGCATATGCGGGAAGATGTAGAGGTGCAGGATGTCCAGCTTGATGAGGATGGGTTGGATTGGGCGTTTGATGAGGTTAGGGAGTTTATTCGTTGACGAGGGGAGGACTTTTAAATAAATATATGTATGTATGTAACTTGTAAAATATCACTCGGGCGCCAACCTATCCACAATCTCATCCCACCGTTCCCCAGTAACATCCTCCGAATCAATCCTCGCAGCATGCACCTTGTCGCCCAACACCTCTTTACTTTCGTACCCCGCGCTGTAGTGGGATTCCACCAAGATAGCAAAGCGCACGTCTCGGATAGTTATTCCTGGGACTCTCACGTAGGATGGTGGTGATTCTGCGCTTTCAGCGGGAGCGGGAGCAGGACGTTTAGCGGCATGCGTCTGCGTGACGAGGGATACTTTTGTCGTTTTCTTGCCGTGCGTGATCGTTATAGTTGACGGGTGGTGCTGTAGCATGTAAACAGAAACCCCGAGTGCGTGCGTAGGAAAAGAAGGTACGGTGAGAGAGAGAAGGGAAAGACGTACATCCTCATCATGCGCAATGACACCAACGTCACCTACAAACTTGACGGCTTCGTCGAATTTCTTGAAAGCGTACTCTGCGCTGAGGAACGTTGATTCTTTTCCCTGCGTACGCGTTCAAGCTCAAGCAACACTTTTTTTTCATGGCGACGCACCTTTACGCTAGATTCTTGAACACTCGGCTTCCACCCCCTCTTATAAAGCGGGTGGAGGTACTCTTCAATTCCGGATCTCCCTAGCCATGGGGTGGGCCAGCCTTGGGCGGGTGGTGGGAGTGCGGGGATCTGTGGTAGAGGATTGGGCTTGAAGGTAGGATGAGACACGTTCAGATTTCCTGGGTCGTCCTTTGGAGGAGCCATACTGCTTAGAAAGCGGAACGGCATTGAATACGATTGCACAAGCCAATGGGTTGTTAATCGTGAGCTTGCTACACGTCGTTGAGCCCGTAATAATTTCTGCATGTCTGGTGGTCAGGATCACAACTGACGGATCAAATTAGGCATGATTCTACATATAACAAAACGAGGAGACGGTCTATAAAGTAAAGAAAAATCATAGGTTGTATTATCACGAAACGTCCATATTCTTCTTCCCATTCCTATTGCCCTCCCCTTCCTCACCTTCAGCACCCTCAGGGAACACCTGGGACGCACTCGTCGGCGTACTTGACACCGACGGTCCAGGAGTCCCCCCTCCCACATTCGGTCCAGGGTTAGGCGTCCCAGAAGAACGACTAACACTACGCTCCTGTCTCTGACTCTGCTGCTGCATCCGCCCACTCCCATCATGTTCCTCACCACCACCACCAAGAGGCAACGACGGCGCGCGACTATCACCGCCGCCCGTATCACCAACAGGCAACGCCATCGTCCGTAGGTACCGCTCCTCACTGACATTCCCAGGACCAACGGTAGCAAGGACAGCGGCAATATCGCTTCCCGTCCTGTCAGCAACGTTCATCCCTCTATCACTCACCCTCCCCCCTCCACGCTCCCAAGATAAAGCAGTATTCGCGCCCGTCGTCCCACCGGTCGACGACAAAAAGTCAAACCAGCTCGGGTTCCCACCACCATTCTGCGCCTGGCCCTGATGCTGCCCGTCATTCCTATGCACCCCCGCCGGCGGGGAAGGACCATGCACAGGCCAATCCAACCCCAACCCAGAGCCTCGTCCAGGTTGTTGTTGTTGTTGGTGATGATGGGAACGTGTGTCCCCGTCCCCAAAGGCAGGGAATATCTCCCCGCGGCCTCCTCCACTGGGGGGGTAATCACCAGGCCCATCGTGATGCCTCTGATGCCCGCTGATCAGCCTATGTCCATGTCCATGCCCATGGTTCGGGTGATGGAACTCATGCTGCCCCGAGAAATCCGACTCGTGCAGGGGAATGAACGACGGAGGAGGAGGCGCGTGATGGTGATGCTGCGCGCCAAACATGGGCGTATACTGCTGGTGGTACTGTGGAGGCCTGGAGGTAGGATGCGCCCCGTACCCCCCATACCCATCGTCGTCGAGCTCTCGGGGTCGTTTATGCGAAGACGGTTGAGGAGGCTGTGGGGGCGGCATGTGTACGGATGCAGGGAGGGTGCGCCAGTTGTTCCCGTGGGTGTTGCTATTCGTAGTATTGTTCTGGTTTATGGGTGCGGGATGACGAGGGCCGGGGTAGTCGCGCTGTTGGTGTTGTTACTGGGTAAATACGGGAAAAATGTAAATGTTTCAAGTACGCACGTCGTTATTGTGGGAGATGTTCATATCACTAGGGGGCTTGAGCTTCCCCGCCTCCTTCTTCCGTTTCGTGCGTACGGGTGCGACTTCTTCTTCGTCATCGTCCTCGTCCCCCTCGTCGATCTTCCCCGCGTTGGAACCTGAAAAGTCACCTGGACCACGGTTGTCCGTTTCGCCGTCGTGCTGTTTTTGTTGTTGTTTTGGATTGAGTGAAAAGGACTGAGAAGGGATGAGGGGGGACGTACGTGGAGATGCCTCTGCACTATATCTTGAACCCCACGAGAAGAGTACTGGTACAACTTGGGGCCATGTCCCGGTCTATCTTCTACATCGTCGTCGTCATCAGCTTCGACTCACAGTAGAGACAAAAAGAACGCACCAAAAATGATAACAGCAACATCGACACTACAAAGCACGCCGAGCTCATAGGCTTTCTTGAACAACCCATTCTTACGCTGATGTGAATGAAAAAGGTAAGCAAGTTTTAAGCGTACTAAGTGTAAGTGAAAGGGGAGGGATAAGAATAGAGAACTATTTTTGTGCACTTGGGCTTGGCGTGAAAGAAAATAGACTGGACAAGCCCCATGAATGTCAAAACTTGCCTTGAGGAAAGTGACGGATCGGTTCCGTTCGTGCTATTCAAAAACCGTCAGTTACAATGACCGTTCGTTCAGAGGGGGACGTACGGTTATGGGTTGAATCTCAATTTTGCGACGGCCCATTTTGTGTCTTTGCTATTGGATATAGGAGAACTTTGGGCGTTGGCGTTGGCGTTGTTGGCGGTAGTGTGGTGAAGGGTTAGCAGTGGCCGACGAGTATGAGTGAGGTGGGCGGGGGGTTGTACGTGGAAAGGAGAGAAGATGGGGATTGTGGGCTGGTGGGATTGGATGCCTTGAACGAGCTAACGTAATGCCATCATCTGGCACAAGTCTGAGTCTTCAATCTCACTTGCAAGTGACTCGCAGCGTCAGATCTCTACGGTGCGGTCTTTCGTCGCTGGATTATAACTCCTGACTATTACCCTAATCTACGTTACGACGGCTATCAGGTTCGGCAATGTTGACTTCAATGCGTCTCCGATTTCGAATCAACTGGCGGTTGAAATTGTGAATCCCCCGCCAATGAATTCGCCGTTACTCGAGCTCTGCAATCTGGGGGGCAAAGCAAACCCTTTGTCTATCTGGATAGGCTTCGAAATAGTCTTGGCTGAATATCGCCTTATGGAAAGACTACACACACCAAACTTCGCCAAGCGAAAACATAAGTTGCTCACCGACTCAACTTCCAGGTCCAGCTCTCATCTTCATTATGGGAAGAGGGACAAACGATCCGAAGAACTCCCCGCTTTTCCAACATGAACATATACAAGTTAGAAGCCCGAATACGTTGACAACTCGGATTCAAGCCGACTTCCATTGTCATAACTGTACCCAAAGTGTAATCTTGTATGCCGAGGTGCGAGGTTACGTTCATACGTATTTGCGACTGTGCAGTTTGCCGCAGAGATTTCTTCCTCATGCTGGGATCCTAACATGACTCTCGCTCAGGCGTTGTTTGAGGTTTATTTTGTTACACCTCCACCTCTGGCTCTTTGCGGTCAAGTCAGACCTCAAGGCCTCAAATCTTCCCTGAAGTCGACATTTTATCCCGCATGTCACACCATCACATACAGCCCTCGGATGGCGTCACGAGCAGTCGGTATCATTCAAACCTGGTACGTTTCAATTCTTCATCCTCACTTCGAAAGCGCCGTCGCACCGTTTCATGGGTGACACTCGCACCTTACAGCCATGCTTCTCTGTTAGTACATCGGTCCGTACACGCACTTTTCATCACTACAGACACTACACGATGTAGGTGCGAAAACTGGGTTCGACTTCCAGACAGAGAGATGCAATTGTGGTCCCGTACTGTCTTTTTTTTTCATAGCGTGAATTTCTACTTTACTCAAGGTGTTTTAACATACTTGTGAAGTGTAACAATCTACCACAGTGCGACCTCAGCCGACGTGCGTCCACTCCCCGGCCCGAGCATGGCCCAAACGTGCGCATTCTGAGTCCCAGATATCTACCTGTTACCAAATTCTCTGAAGTGTTATCTCTAGCCTTGTCTAGCATGTGCATTGTTGAGGAACCAGGGTGTTTCAACTCTCAAACCTGTCGTGGTCAAGTCGTAGCGCATGGTCATGGTGATATTGATTATAACTTATATAAGTTCTTTGTTAGTATATCGGTTAGTACACGCGCTTGTCATTGGATTTCTGTAAACACGCGCGAAAGCTGGGTTCGACTCCCAGACAGAGAGAACTTTTTATGGCGTGAACTTGACTGCTAATAATAGTGCGATCCTAGCCGACGTGCGCCCACTCCAAGCATGGCCCAAACGCGCACACTCGCGCAAAGTCCATCTTTTCAAATGGAAACAGGTTTCCTCTCCGATGTCGTCGTTCATGCTGATGCTCATATTGGAAACCAGAGTCATGTTAACTTCTCTGTTAGCATTTCGGTCTGGGTTAGTGCACGCACCTGTCATGATAACGCAGTTCAGCCGGGTTCAATGCGCGAAAGCTGGGTTCGACTCCCAGACAGAGATTAAAGTGATATCAATGGTTTTTTCATGGCGTGAACTTCTACTAGTACTAGGCTACTACAAGTTTACTTTCCAATGTTGTTCTGACATACTTGTACCCAGTGCGACCTTATAACCAACTTATAACTAGCCGATGTCCGTCCACTCCAAACGCTAAGTAATGACCCGTATCAATTTTTTTGAAGTCGAGAGAGAGAAGTGTGTACATTGTTAAAAAACTGCGAAAAGCATTATTGTTTGAAACTTCCTCATGCTGATTATACTGATCCTCATATCAGAAACTATTATTCTAGCTTCTCTGTTGGTATTTCGGTTAGTACACGCGCCTGTCATAAGTAAGAACTCTTGAGCGATATCTGACGCGCGAAAGCTGGGTTCGACTCCCAGACAGAGAGATGGAGGTCTAAAATCGATTTTGCTACGCGCCGTTGTTGCGCCCTTGTCACATCAGATCTAGAGCTTCCAACTCCATGCAAGGCAACATAGGCGACGATTTGGATTCTTGGCTTATTGCATCCGTTGTGTTTCCGCCGCTGATGTCGCGTAACCTTAGGCCTGACGAAAGCATTCAGTTACCTCTTTCAGGCCATAGGCAGAAAGAAGGTCGTTCCGTCGCCATGATCCTTCGAAATGCTGAGGTTGTGTGATACGCAAGATGGCTGTCCGTTGATACATTTGAAAGCAAACCAACAGTTGCTCCTTAAATCGTTATATTTCCAGAAATTATAGTGATGGTGTAGGTGTTCACCCGTATAGTGATGAGCGCTGAGCCGCAGCAATTAAATAAAGAACGATCCGAGATTGCCGTATCTGGTAGCATGTTGTTGAAAGTCGTTTTGGATATCGTAATTCGTGGCGTGTAGGAGTCAGCCCCTCAGTTCCCATCTTCCCATCTAACACCAATCCAGCCTAAAAGTCTAGTCAATACTCGTTCGCGCTTTAGAAAGAGAAAAGGAACACGCACGCGTCGGTGTTGAGCATACAGACCCTGGGCCATCTCGGGTCCGGAATAGACCCAGAGATAGAAGTACTTTCACAATCGTTGGAGGTACTTTTACCCCGCCGGGCCAAGTAGTCATTTGTAACCGGTACCTGGCCAGAAGCTGGCCTGGTCGTAATAGCGCAGGTGGCGAATTCAATGACCGCATATCCATTACGGATAGGTGACACTGATACATCCCCTAGATACCTATTCATAAGAACCACGCAATGTTCCAATTTCGCCGGGGGAAATCCACCGCAGGTGACAGCGTTTACGCAGTGAGTACCGAGCAAGCCGAGCAGTAGTAACGCAGAGGCAAGTTGTTTATACATCTGGAAGACAATGTCATTGGATAGGTATGCAATAGGCTGTGTTGGGTTACCTTGCTTTGAGTTGAACGACGTGCACATGTGCTTGGTGGGACTCAAAAGGTCACAAAGTAATTTCTAAATTCTGGCTATGCATCGAACAAACATGTGGACAATTCGGTACGTTCCGTGTGAATCGGGACAATCAACGGCGATGCCGTCGATTTATAACAACTGAAAACATCTCCTTTGGATCACTTCCCAAAAAACAGACTTCGCCCACAATTCGCCCATTCTTCGTTTTTTTTGACGGAAAAAAGCGGAAATAGGTTTTAGTATACCCAGAAGGCCCTGTCTAAAAATTTCGTGGCAATACATCTTGTGGAAAGTTTGAGATCTACTGAGTGCCGACTCAGAGGGTCTGCCGAATTACTGATACGGCATAGTAATGCTTCGGCCTCTCCATGGATGAGGGTAACATACCATCAAAACGAAGGCCGCTTCGTTGTCGTTCAATTTCACGGGTAGGTGCTCGTTGCCATTGTTGTACTTTGCAGTCAACTAACCTTAGTAGCCGACGTGTGTCCACTCCAAGCATGGCCCAAACGCGCTCACTCCCAGAATGACCCATTCAAATTTCCCTAAGTTGAGAGAGAAGTGGTATATCTCCTAACGTAGGTTGAAAGAAACCATACAACTTCAAGTACCAATCGTCGTGTATTGTCAAAACTCACATCGAAAGCTGAAGTTTGAAATCCCAACATCTCTGTTAGTATATCGGTTAGTACACGCGCCTGTCATTGCTGCAGTTTGTTCACGACGCGCGAAAGCTGGGTTCGACTCCCAGACAGAGAGATACATATTTTCTTTTGACATTGCTACAAGCAGTCTAAGCTCAGATATCAAGCTTCCTGTGTGAGATCCAAAGAAGTGGTATATCTATATCTGCCTACATAGCACATATCGTACATACATCTTACCCAAAAAAAGCAAGCAAGTCCCATCCGTAATCACAAAGATACCCATGATTCACTATCACGAAGATAGCTTAACCACCCAAGTCTCCGTAACTCCCTGCGACAGCGGCAACACCATCGCCTTCTCAAGTTCGTCATCCTTCTCCAACCCCTTGAAAATCGTCTCATCCCCCAAGAAATCAATCCTCTTATAATGTTTATCCCCCTTGCCCCCATCCGCCGTCAACCGCTTCTTCACAGCCTTCTCCACCGTTTCCTTCATTTCCCCATCCCTAACAATAAATCCCCACTCCGAATCGACAATGGGCTGCTGCAGCGCAGAGTACAGCGCGTCCCACACGACTTCGCACGTGATGTTGTCCGGGGAGACGATATCGATCGTCCAGGGGAAAGATTTCGAGATCAGACGCATGTGTGTGAAGGGCGATGCGCGGGCGGGTGAGTTGCGGTTGGAGTAGTATGTCGATGCGAGGATCTCGGTGCGTGGTTTTCTTTTGATGTCGAAGCGGAGGAGGGTTGTGTCGGCTGCTAGAATTGGGTTTAGGTTGGGGTATTGTTTGGATCGGACGGAAGCTGGTACGGAGGTGTTGTTAGTATTTTCGTTGAGTTTTGAGATAAAGTCGTACGTGGTGGATTTGGTCTACCTCCGTATGCTTCTGGGTGAGTCCACCAGTTTGCGTACTGTGGGCCAGGGATGTAGACGTGAGGGTGATGTTGCGGGTAGGGTGGGGCGGACCACGGTGGTTGGCCCCAGTGAGCCATGGGTCTTTAGATTGATTGAGAAGTGGTAAAGGGAGCTGAGGGAAGCGAGTCAGATAGTGCGGCGGCTTTATATGACGCGACTTGCCTGATTTGATTTGCGGCCGGGCTACTTGAAAAACATCGGAACACTGACTCATCGCCAGCGCTTGCGGTTTATAGGTTCCAGGGTAAGTCGAAGAAATCGTGATTATGTTTAAAATGCGGTGCCATCCCATCCTCATGGCTTCACGTGATGATTCGCGAGTACCTGCAAGGTAAGTAGGGAAGGGGGGTCGGTGAGCAATCTGCTGCAATCCAAGACGGGAGGTTGTCCAAAAGATCTACTCAGCGCTGCGGCGGCCGCGCCGAGAAGAGAAGCCCAAGAATATGGGTGTGTCGTCCTGACTAGTCCTGACTGGCATGACGTTATGCGGCGGGGTAAAGACGACGGTGTGTGTTGCACACCAGTTGAGCCATTCGAAGCAAAGGGTCCCTTTTCGAAACTTCGCGAACACGGCCATTAGCATGCAGCATGTATGGTGCTGAACCTTCGAACAGTGCCATGGATCAAATAGAATACCGGCGAGGACAGGGAGACACAGGGACCCAAGTGGGAGTTATGGTGGGCTTGTTGAGGTTGTAAGGCAAGTTGGTAATCGTCCGTGATCGATCCGAGGGATGTTCCGTCTGTCACTGGTCAGGAGCAGCTGAGGAGCAGGACACAAGCTTCTGGGCGCTTGTTTGGCGCCCATACTCATCCCCGAATCTCCGCCAGCGCCTAAGTAACCACACGCCTAACAATAACCTTGATACTGGCGCTACCTTGAGCGTCAAGATTCCTGGCTTTCCAAGGAATTTCGGGGCGAAAAATTGCCCGTTCATCCGACTTCAATGGACCAACTGTCATTAAAAATGAGGCCCTTGGAAAAGCAGCGAGCTTCAAGGCCGCGTGTGTTTGCAGGGTAAATGGTACATCGGCAACTTGAAAGATATGAGTGCGAACATTCAACAAGGGTTAGAAACAATTCTGAAAATTTGATCTCAGACAGTGAGAGGCTGAAGCGCTGAAGACCTTGTGAAGACCGCCTCGTAAATATCCTAAAATTCAAGCTGCATCAGCAAGGAAAGGTCAGGGTCTTTTGAGTGTTCCCTTGCCAATACGAAGGCTCTGATTGGTCGAGGAGAGAAAGATGATTTGAAAGAATCCAATACCTCGCGTAAAAGTAACGTAATGCGCATGATACCTCGCTGATAGACCGGCCCAGCCGCGTGTCTTCGTTTCAAGTTGTACCACAACCACAACCATGTCCTTCAACGCCCTCCGCGCCTCCCTCCGCACCGCTGCGCCTCTCCGTCGTGCAGCTGCTGGCAAGGCTCTCCCCCGTTCCTCCTTTTACCGCAAGTACTCGACGCCTCCCCCTCCGGCTGCTGAGACGCCCAAGCCCAAGTCTGGGAACAACACCACGCTTTACCTCGGTCTTGCTGGTGTTGCGGCCATTGGTGTCACTTACTACTTTATCAGAGGCGAGGACGGTGCTGCTGCCGTCAAGTCTATCCAGACCAAGGCAAAGTTTGTCCCCACCCAGCAGGATTACCAAAAGGTTTGTTCCTCATCATGTCTAGTTTGCTTGGGACATTGTGCTCATTGTTCTGCGTAGGTGTACAACAGGGTTGCTGAGCTGTTGGACGAGGCTGGAGAGTATGATGGCAAGTCTGTAATTGTAACCCACAAGTCTAAATACTGACCCACATTCCAGACGGCTCCTATGGTCCCGTCATCCTCCGCCTTGCTTGGCACTCTTCTGGCACCTATGACAAGGATTCCAACACTGGTGGGAGGTAAGTCTCATTCGCCTAAACACGCGTGCGTACACCTCAGGACACCGTCCCGAATAGCAATTACGCCACCATGCGTTTCGAGCCCGAGTCCGTACACGATGCCAACGCCGGCTTGAACATCGCCCGTGACCTCATGGAAAAGGTCAAGCAGGAGTTCCCATGGATCTCCTACGGTGATCTTTGGACTCTTGGTGGTGTAGCTGCCATACAGGTATATATATATATATTGATATCTTCAAAGCTATTTTGTTGACACGCTTGGCAGGAAATGCAAGGCCCCAAGATCCCCTGGCGTCCAGGCCGCATTGACGGTCTTGCAGCACAGGCGACCCCTGATGGCCGTCTTCCCGACGCTTCTCAAGGTTCGGATCACCTGCGCAACGTACGACCTTTTCATTCTTTTGTCCTGCTTTTCGTGAGCTAACCCACTTAATATTACAGATCTTCTACCGCATGGGGTACGTTCTCCACCTCCTTCCCAGTGGTATACTAGGACTAACCATCTTGTCTTAGCTTCAATGACCAAGAGATCGTCGCCCTCTCCGGTGCCCACGCTCTTGGCCGCTGCCACTCAAACAGGTGCGGCCTTCTTTCCATTTTGCGACTCCGCTCCGCATCTCACACCATTTTCCTCCCGCTTTAGGTCCACCTATGAAGGTCCCTGGACATTTTCCCCTACAACCCTGACAAACGACTACTTCAAGCTCCTGTTTGACGAAAAGTGGGTCTGGAAGAAATGGAATGGCCCCAAGCAGCTGGAGGATAAGAAGACAAAGACGCTCATGATGTTGCCGTGCGTATTCGTATGCGATATCGAGAGGGAGAAATTAATGGGATGCGTAATATAGGACCGACTACGTCTTGACACAAGACAAGTCGTTCAAGAAGCACGCCAAGGCTTATGCGGATGATCAGGATTTGTTCTTTAGGGAGTACGTTGTCTTTTTGTTGATATTCCTTCTCCTTTTTTATTTTGCTGATTCGCATTGATATTCAGCTTCTCTAAAGCTGTGTCTCGCCTGTTCGAGCTCGGTGTACCCACTGAGCAGTTCGCCACTCCCGAACCATGGCTCTTGCCAACGGTTGATGAGCAAAAGTCGGCCAAGGAGGAGGCCAAGTAAATGTAAGGAAGGAGTTGACGTGAGGGGCATTTAAGGGAAAGAGAGAGATGCGAATTTATTGGCAAACTAACAAACACCCTCACTCACATTTGCATAGATGGTTGAAGCATTTACTTGAAGATTTAGTCTCAATCTAATCTCAATCTTGGTTATTACTTGCTTCAAGTCGATTTTATATGCGACAGCGGTTTGTTACACTTCTTCTGGCCTTTGACCCTCAGTAAAAACGATTCGTCATGCCTCAGTCATATGGTAGTCACGCTACTACACGAAAATGCACGACATGACTAAAAGCAGTCTTTTTTACAAAATTTTGACTTCGAGTTGACTTCGCCAAGTCGTGTTAAGTCGTGTGGTCTCGTCTGCTGATGCCCACCATCCGTAAGTTACAGTCATTTGGTAGTCATGTAGTCATCTCCTCATAGTCCTTTCATAGTCAAATAAAAGCCAGAACACAGTCATATGATAGTCTCATTCCCGTCATGCTCAGGTCATTTGATTGATGTATGTTAGTCATGTAGTTCTCATCACAACCTCAGGTAACAGTATCCAAATCGGAATCATGGAATAAATCATATATTTTCCAAGCCTACTGACTGTGCTGTATATACGGCCCTTCTAGCACCACCTGAAGTCCAAATTCTCATCTCCTAATCAAGCCGCATCTTCGGAGGTCATTCTCGAGAGGGGGGGATCATTTGTCGGAGGAGGGACGAGACCAATTGTTGAGGTAGGGGGAAGGCCGAGACCATTCATCGAAATAAGGGGGGAAGCCGAAAGACATTCATCAAAGGAGGGAGGAGGCCATTGGGCGAGTTAGCAGGAGACCATTGGTTGAGGGAGGAGGCAGTTCATCGAGGCAGGAGACACGTCGTTGATGGAGGAGACAGTTCGTCGAAGGCAGAAACAGGTCGTCGAAGGAAGAGAGAGTTCGTCGAGGGAGGAGACAGGTCGTCGAGGGTGGAGACAGGTCGTCGAGCTTAGAGCTTAGAAACCATTTGTTGAGGGGATACCAGTTGTCGAGGGAGGAGACCGATCATCAAAGGGGGAGACCATTCGTTGAGGGAGGAGACCGTCTGCTGAAGGAGGAAATCATTCGTCGAGAAAGGAGGCCATTGGTCATCGGAGGGAAGAGGCCTTTCCTAGTGAGGAGACCCTTCGTTGCGAGAGGAGGCCGCTGGTCGAGCGAGGGAGAAGGCGTTCGTCGCGGGAAGGCCGTTCGTCAACTTATAAATCGGAGCTTGCGTGGGTGTGGTGGGATGGAAGAACGAGGGAAGAACGAGGGATTTTCACGCTGTCAACATGATCACCTGATGTCGGAGTTCCAACGGACTTCAACAAATTGCATCAAGCATGCGTAAAACTGAGGACGAAGGCGATACAAATGATAGTAATTCGGATGACGAGGATTAGACTACAACATGACTTGTAACTGACTATTCCTCGACTTCAGTTAGGCCGTGAAAACTTTGCAGATACATAACTGAGCGCCACATGACTTTGCATTTACCAACGTGACTTCACATGACCTTCTTGTGAGAGGTAGATGACTTGACCTGACTTTCGTTTTTACTGAGTTTGACCACTTAGATGTATGATGCCTCCCGACGCGGAAGCGCCTCCCATGATTTCCGCAATCCCTTTGCCTCGATCAGCTTTGCTGGCATGCAGTATACAGGATCCAAGTCCGCTAGACCGGGGTATCCGAGAATGGAGAGTCCTACATCGTAGTTCAACAAGATGTCATCGGGGAAAGAGTAAGGAAGACTGACCTGCAACACCAAACAATGTATGAAAGACGTCTACCATATCTCCAGGGCGGTCTGCTATACCCCCGTTCTCTGTGTCCTGATAGATGATAAATAAGATAAGAAAGGGTTAGAGCATACAGTGGAAAGAGACGCCAAACTAACCTGGGCGGAGAGTATGAACGCAGTCAACTTATCCACGTCGATCCAGTGCACTTTGCGCAATATCGAAAGGGCGGAGAGGACCCAGAAGCTATAGCACACCTGCACTCTTTCATTAGCCACAACTAAAAGCAAAGAGAGATGCAAACGTACATCCTCCAACTTTTCTGGCCTTCCATTCAACCCCCCATTGGGCAACTGCCGTTCAGATAACCAAAACGCAAGCGTATCAACATCCACGCAGTCCATCCTATCAAGAATAGCAAGCGCCGCTACGCATACGAACACTATTCGACCCATCATTATCATCATCTGGAAGAAAAGGAAGAAAGACCGAACGAACGAACCTTGCGCAGCATGACTCTCCGCCCCCACACAACTCCCAAACCCACCATCATAATTCCTACACCTTAAGATATACTCCACCGTCTTTTCCCTCTTCCCGTCTTTATCTAGCTCGTGTAGTCGACCGAGGAGGGATAGGGCGCTCACGGCGCAATACAGGAACCGGGTGTCGATCTCCCCGAATTGGTCCCCTGCGAAGACGCCGGATGGTTGGTGCAAGGAGAGGATGACTGCGTGTGGGGTGGGGTGTCAGTGGGACTGAGATAATTGGATAGGGTAATGAGGGGACGTACAGCTGACAACGCGGTCGACGTCGACCTTGTCTATCGCGTCTTGGGCGGTTAAGATTTGGATGGCGCTGAGTGTTGAGAGGAGGTGCGCGTCGTGGTCTGGGTGGGCACCGAAAGCTCCTAGAAATTTGGATGTGGATCAGTAACGATCAATGAAGTACGACAATGGATGTGGGGAGGACACAAAGAACCCGACAATACCTGCCTCTTCATCCCAACAACTCATCACGAAATCGATCATCTCCTCCCTATCCAACGCGTCTGGGTGGTTCATTATAGCTAGCGCCGTGTACCCCCAGTAAACCGCGTTGAGGCGGAGGTGGGCGGAGAGGTGGTAGGCTAGTTCATCTTTGCTCTGCTGGTGTGGTGAGTAACATTGTGGGATGGAGAGCGTGAAAGAGAACGCACATCGCCTAGTTTCTGGATGTACGATACGTGAAGAGGGATTAGGAGTTGTGAAGGGTTTGCGGACATCGTCGTTTCGATCAGTGCTACGCAACAAATGTCAGCAGGGCGCAGGGGCGCAGAGGCTTCAGAAATAGCTCCCTACCCCTGGAACCCGCCATTACGCCAATCTTACGGTTGGGCTACGCAGACACCGACCTCATCGTTTTGGTGGTATTGCCAGAAAATTTCCACCCACATGAGTGAAGTAAAAAGACAAATTTTATTTATCTACGCGTCCCGTTTGTACATTTCTTTGCGGTGCTCCAGTTATTTGATTACAGTAGAGGCCAAGTATCAAGAACAACGAAAGGAGCATCACTTGAAGGTAGGCTTTGAATGACCTGGCATGAACCTCAACCGCGCCAACAAAACGCTATTCCACGGGCCATTTTGTCGAGGCGAAACCTTGCTTGCAGGCTGTTGTGGGGTGAATATTCCCCATGGCTGACCGATTTTAGGTGAGGAGTAGACGCTGAAGTAGGCCTGAGATAGGATGGGAGTTAGTGATGGGTGGAGGGGGGAAAATAACAACGTACCTGTCCGTCTGGGTGACTGTGGCTAACGAACAAGGCGTGATTTGGCGCGCAGAGCGTTCCGATGACTACCGTGAAAGTTAGCGCCATCAAGATAAAGAGAAAGGTGGAAAGACGTAAATACGCACCAAGGAAAAGATCTTCCTTTTGTATAGTATGCTGCGTCCCATAACTGATTATAATGGAAGTTACATTCGCCTGGAACCAGTTGCTCAGCGCTTCCAGCGGTTCAAGGTACCGATACTCCGTCGTCTCGACGCACATAACCGCGATCCCATGACCGGCTTGTAGAGGATAGGTATATTTCCGTCTCACTTTCTGTCTACAAGTCACAACGCCGCAAAAAAAAAATGTAAGCATGCCAACGAACGACCAAATTTAAGAAAGAAAGAAGAAAGAAAAAAACTCACGGAACCCCTCGACTCCTAAACGTCAACAACCTCACCGCAAAAGGAGCCATAATAGAAGCCAACCGTTGCAGCGTACTCCTCTTATCCGGCCCCCGTCTGCCTTCGTTTACTTCCCCGTACCTGTATATTGAGGGAAGACTGCGCACCCTGCCGTCGTTCGAATCTTTTGGGCGGAAGGCGTTGAAGAGTGTGATGAATCGGCCTTCACGGAGGTATCCTACTGCGCCGAGGTCGATGGGGCATGGGTTCCACAGGGGTATTATGACTACCAGCAAGATAATGAAGTATATGTCTTTGCATTAATGGACGGACTCACGCGAAGAATGATAGTGATGTTTCAACAGATGCCGATATACCTTCTCATTATGGATCTCCGCAATATGCTCGTCTCTCGACGATAACCTGTCATCATCCTCCCTCACGATATCATCTTCGTCCTCAAACGACGACGACCCGTCGGACAGAGTGAGGGGGGGCGAGGAACGACTGGAATGGGCGAATGTCGTGTAGGTTACTGGTTCGACGCGCGGTATGCCGATACTGGAGACGGTGGCTTCCTGGTGGGTAATGCGGGGAGAGGAAGGTGTTTCTTGGATTGTATCTGGAGTTGAGGATTCATACGTGGCGCAGTGTCTGAAGAAAAAGAGCGAAGGGACTGACCAGGAGGCAGCTCAACGTGCCGCACATCAGGCGAAAACAAATTGGATTCAACCGCCCCAAGATGTAACGACTCCGGATCAATATGTCCAGCATTACTCCTGCGCTGTTTTATATCCCGCACAATCTTAGTGGGATCGTTGGCGGGATGATCATTTTCTAAGACTGGCTGATCGTTCTCTGGGACTTCGGTCATGCCATGAAAAAATTGCACAGGAGCCTGCTTTGTCGTACCTCTTGGCAGCGCAGGTAGTGGTTTCAAACGCGAAGGGATGGTGGCCATGGTGTTACGCGAGTGTATACGAAGCTGATATTGGCGTTGCTGTGTTGGCTGGAAGGGGAAGATAAGTCGATTTGAATGGATCTGAATGGCTTCAAGCCAAAACCGAGTACTGCTTGTAGTCCGTGCGCAAGACGTCATTTCAGTCACAACCTGTCACACTATCCTGTCGGGGATATTCGGATCAGAAGGGAGGTAAGGAGTCGTCTTCATTGCTGGGGAGAGTAGGTGTTGACGTTTATGAGTTGAGAGGAATGAGAACACGTGGAGTTGTCGATGTCGAGTCGGTTTTAGGGGAAGGAGAAGTCAGCGATGAATAAGGTGCAAGGAACAGTAAGGTTGAAGGAAGGTGGTGGAGGAAGATGGCATGTCGGAAATTTCCCAGCCGCCTGATAAGGCCTCCCAGTGAAAATCGACCCTGTGCAGATCGGGTTCCTCCGGATCAAATCGATATATTTGCCACTTTCCGGCCATTTCCCCTGTTCAGATCGGGTTCCACCGATCCATTTGGCCATTTTTCAGGGTCAATTTTCACTGGGGATAAGGTGCCGGCCTTATCCCCGACTCTGGAACAGAGAGGGTTCTGTCAGAACGAGACACGAGAAACATTGCCCAATATTACCAGTTAGAATATCCTGAGAAAGTGCGACACTTTTTCTTTTCAGGAACATTCTGATTATATTTAAAGTATTTCATGTCAGGAAAGGCATGGGATTTTTTAAAATCCGGGCCAAGAACTTTGCTTTGCCTTTACCACACCTGTAAAGGGTGAACAAAAGCTGAAATATTCAAACCATTTTCATGTTAGTGAAATTGTAGTAAAAGTTAGACTGATGGGTAAGATTAAGAGGAAAGCCAAAGCAAAGGGATCCTTTGTTTTCAGACGTGATGCAAAATTGATACATGCTGATAAAGGGGGCGGGAAAGGATGAAATTTCTGAGAAAGGGCTCTTTGTTCAGACGATGCCACATAAAAGGCAAGGTGTGCAGGATCTGTTCAACTATTCTTTGGATTTTACTAGCGGGAATATTCAAACAATGGAATGGCTTTCTTCTTTGTGGAAAGGGAAAGAATTAGATATAAGAATGAGTATCACCCTGTGTAATTATTAGCCTGTCCTCGCAATATTCCAGCCCGGAAAAAGTGTCGCACTTGCTCTGGCTATCCCGATTTGGGATATTGGGCTATGTTTCTCGTGAGAATGCTCGACTCCAGCCAACTGTTGTGTGATGGCTTCCCACGAATTTCGGCTTGTTCCGTTCTTTGTTACAACCTTTTGGTAAGGGTCCCTAAAGTCTCGGCTGGCCTGCGAGGAGCGAACCGCGCTAGCGGTTCGGCGACGAGCAGGCCACTAATAGTAATTTAGAAGATTATTCAGGTGGGATGTATAAATTACATTATTACAAACAGAGTTGGGGACTGGCGCTTGTGCCGCTAAACGATAATGTAGATTACCGGTATCATCAGGTCTGATCTGGTCTGACCAGAGGGCATTTTGCTCTCACGATGTTGTGCCAAGCAAGGACCCCTGAAAGTAGTGTTGGATCCCTGATCCCAAAATTATGGCAACAGGGATCAGCCAGCTTCAATATCACGGCTAAGACCGATATTTGTACAATGCCGACTGATATGCCGAAGCTAATTATAACTATTCACAATTTAATATTGATATTGTCCATCAAATATTTCGTACTGTCACAATCAATTCACAATTTCCTATTGCCAAAGTGAAAGCGCTGATTCGTGTTGTTTCCCATACAATTTGAGATTCGCTAGCGAAGCGAGGAATGAGTGTAGCGTTAGAATAGGGTCTTTGAGCGAACGAGTGGTGCAGCATGTGCCGTTTTCTCTTCTTACCACCACCTCGTTCGCCACACAGAAGGAGTTCATTAGCTCCTTCCTCATTTTTCATTGCCTACTACACTCTTTAGAACTACACACAGTAACATTCCCTACTACACATCCCCATGCCGCGAATTCTTCAGGACCCGACCAATGTCCCATGCCCGGATTTCGCAGGAGCAGGATACGCCGCTGTCAGGCAAGTCCTGTCCAACAACGGCCAGGTAACCAACGACCAGGCTATACAACAACTAACCACTGCTTGGAACCAAACGCACGAGCTCGAAGTCAAAGCTTGGAACCAGCAAGTGCAGACAGAGCTAGAAGAGCACCAGGAGCAGGCCAGGCTGGTGGCAGAAGAAGAGACGAGACGCCAAGAGGAAGACCGACGCCTAAAGGACGAGGAAAGGAAAGAGCAAGAGAAGAAACGGCCCAAAATCAATGACTTCGACAAGGGCAAGATAATCGCCGACCACGTCATGGCTCGTCCGTCACAGTTTGCCATCGGAAAGTTGAAGTCATTCAGCTATGTCGAGTTATGGTACTTTACTGACGAAGGATGTGCTGAGGCACAGGACGCCAGCAAGGCCCAATCAGATGACACATACGGCATCACCAAGGTCGACGACCTAGTCGTGTTCAAGCCCGTTGGATCCTTCAAAGCATCCCAGAACGTTGTCCCAGACGCTAACCTCACCTGGACGCAGATGAACATCGCGAAGAACATGCTAATTCAGTACATGGGCTTCTGTGACTGGCCCCAGAAGCATATCCAGTCGTTCGCGCATTTCTACTTCAACCTTGAGCTTGAACCGATACACTCACGGCCCCACGGTGAAAAGGTGCTCATTGTATACCAAGCCAAGGCCAGGAGACTGTGGCACGACGAGCTGTCGAGAGGCACAGGCTTTAACATCGCGCCTATAAATAAGACGCTCCTCAGCACCGTGGCTGAGGAGGTGTGGGACATGGTCAGGATGGATTCCATCAAAAAGGTCAGTTATTCCCCTCCTTCCCCCCGAATTTCCAACATACGCTGACTGCTTCTACCCACCCTTCCCCCCCCACCCTTTTTTCCTCCACGTCTGCCATACCATGCCATCCCGCCACCTTATTGCCATCTGCCATGCCTTGCCATCACGCCAAATGCCCACAAAACAACACTATAACACCTGAATCCGACGCCTCGCGATGCCACTATCGACAACAACCATGCCTCGTCACTCCACACCACTGACAACCATGCCACGCCATGCCACTAACGACATTGCCATTGCAGCATGATGCCATAGCCATGTCCCCAGCACGGGACCGGGACAGGAGAAGCTCCAGGATGGGCTCATCCTCGTCTCCATCCAAACGAGGTCGCGCGCAATCCCCCTCACGCTCGCGCTCTCGCTCGCGTTCGCATTCCCCTCCCCGCCAGCGCCGTCGTCGTTACGCCTCGCCAGAGCGCTCCTCCAGAGATGCTGGTTCACAGGGCAGGCGCAACCGTCAGGCCACAAACGGCAGAGGCAGAAACAGAAGCGGCAATGCTTCGTTTTTTCAAGGGGGCACAGCGGGACGTGGCTCCTCCGCCTGTGTCATGTGCCTGGGACGCCACGAGCACGATTATGCCAAATGCTCCGCCACCAAGCTATGGAACGGGGGGAAGGTCTGGGTACAAAGAGCCGACAATGGGCGACTCGTCTCCATCGACGGGCTCCCCATTTGTTTCAGCTTCCAGACCTCAGCAGGATGTTCAGACACTGTACACCCCTCTCGGCACACCTGCTCAGGGTGTGGGAAGTCAGGGCACGGCGCTCAGCAATGCCCTCAGGTCCAGAAGAACTAACCCCCGCACCCCTTACAAGCCAGAGGCATGGCGTAGTCAACTCGACAGACACAGTCTCGACTCCCGTTATCCAACATTATACCACAGCCTTACGCACGGCTTTGATCTCGGGATTCCTAATATATCTCAATCATATGTTCCAGCTAATAACCCGTCTATTAATAAGTTTCTTGAAGAATATGAGGAAATTGTGGAGAAAGAATTCCGGAAGGGCAGATACATTGGCCCCTTCTCCAGGGCAGAACTGGAATCTGTCATTGGACCCTTCCAGTCATCCCCCCTCTCCCTTGTTCCCAAACCTGGAAAACCGGGAAAATATCGCGGGGTGCATGACTTCTCCCACCCGCGTCAGCCATCGACAAATCCAATCTCATCTATCAATTCTGCCATCAATGCACATGATTTCCCCTGCACATGGGGAACCTTTTCCACAATATGCCTCATCATTTTCCGACTACCACCCGGCTCCCAGGCCTCCATTCGAGATGTCGCTGAGGCTTACAGGACCATACCTGTACATCACAGTCAGTGGCCAGGTTTGGTCATGCGACTACAAGGTGCAGACACCTTCGCCGCCAACACATGCAACAACTTTGGCCTCACCTCTGCAGGTGGGGCCCATGGACTTCTTGCGGATGCAGGAACGGACATCTTCCGTGCGAACGGAATTGGTCCCTTATCAAAATGGGTTGATGACCACATTTTCTTTCGAATTCCCCGCTCCTGCCTCAGCGTGTACAATGCCCAGCGCCAATCCTGGCATCAACTGGTCAAAACCAATGGAGGACGCCTACACGAAGGTAGTCGTATTTGGTACAGAGGCGACACCATGCCTGATGGGCGCCCAGAGGAGTTTGACGAGGACATGGCCAGCCCCATACGCGATCTCTCGAGCGTATCCGCACATTCTGCCAATGATGCTCTTTTTACATACGCTGACGAAGATATTGATCTTCTTTCAGATGAATTGGGCATTCCGTGGGAGAGCTCCAAGACCATCCCCTTTGGCTCAGTGGTCCCATACCTCGGCTTTGTATGGGACCTCGAGGCGCGCACTGTGGCCATCCCAGCGGAGAAGAGGCGCAAATACCTCAACGCAATTGAGGAATGGGGGAAAAAGCCAACACATGCACTGGCAGAAGTACAAAAGCTATATGGTAAGTTGTTGCACGCTTCCCTCGTCATTACTGCGGGGTGTGCGTACCTTACGAATTTGGAAGCCATGCTCTCAGGTTTCAATAACAGTCCTTTCGTGCCACACACCCCACCCCGCAATACAGCTGACGACCTTCAATGGTGGACAACACACCTCCAATCTCCCACCCT